ACAAGCTCATATTTTGGTATTTCTTTATTGTTATTCTATACGAGCAGAGTACTCATTCTTTGTGGGGTTGGCGTATTAGTATAAAATGCTTATTGCATTGTTATACTCGTGCTTTGCGTTTGCAATGGGGGAGGATAAGGTTTGAGAAAATTTGGTTCTTTATATTTACGTTATGCAATAATATTACACATCTACCATAGCCATATACTGTTCTACCATACATAAACAAACTGTAAACAATACTTTGACAGATCTCATTGTGAATCTCAACTTTTTGATGCTGCTTACTTCAAATTTCCTGTTATCATAATTGCAAAATAATTGGTATCAGCAATCTAACACATATTTTCTCCCATTATAGCTTGTCAACAACCTTTATAAAATTGTAAGCTTTGGGAGTAACTATATGATATTTTATAGGGAAATCACAAAAGTTGCAATCACTTTTGTTGAACCATAATTGTTTCAGCAATGGGGGTTGCGCTATTTTGTTTAGAATTAAAGACCTTAACACATTAATTTTCCTGAAATTATATTTTTGTTATTTTATGGGTTTTTCGTGAGAAAAAAGCATAAGTTACAATAACTTTTGAACCATAGTCATTACGTAAATTGTATTTATACCATTTTGTTCAAAATTTGAAGGACCATAACATATTAATTTTAATCAAAACCGTTTTTCTTTTTTCAAAAATACTATTTTCTGTCATTTTTTGGAGAAATAACAAAAGTTAAAATATCTTTTGAACTCTAACTTTTACTTTTTTGTACCATTTAGTTCAGAATTTAAAGGACTATAACATACTAAATTTTTATCAAAATTTTTCAGGCAGTTTTTGAGAGAATCCTATTTTTCTGTTAATTCATGGGTTTTTTTATGGAAAAATTACCATTACAAATCAAAATTTAAAAAATAATTTAAAAAGCCGAGATACCATGGATTAGAGGCTACATAACAAATTTCTCCATACTTTCTCTATGGTATAGGGGGAGAAAGTTAAAATAATAGTGCTGCACCCTGTTGGTAAACCTTATAATTTCATGCTATTGAATATCATACAACCAACTTATTAAGTTGAATCGGCTGACAAAATTATTTTATTCCTTTTAAACGTGAACGAACACCCATACGGTTAACATGGGAAACTCCGGAGCCACTAGGGCGGAGCCTGAAAGGGTTTTTCTGATAAGAACATGACTATATGTTAATCAAGAATGTGAGGTATCATCATGAAAAATTCCAGTCCAATACAACCAGTAGTTAATGCGTGATTCAAACAAACCCACAAACTTTCACATTTATATTAGTATGATTACATTGCCTATCAGCTAATATGCATTGTTACATAGTTATTTATGTCTTACGCTCCTTTAACATTATACGGTTTTCACTGTCTGGTTGAAAACAGTATGATTTTACTCCGTTTCTATGTTTCTTTTACAAGTTTAGAGAACCAAATCTTCTCAAAACGTGTCCTCTCCCATTGCAAACGCAAGGCACAAGTACAACTGCAATTAGCATTTTATACTCATACGCCAACCCCGTACCAAGGAGGGGTACTCTGCTAATAGTACACAATGAAATACAGCAAATTTTGTTTGGTGGAACGACAAAAATATCACAAGTGAATGGAAATAGTTTTATTTTAACAACACATACATTTAAATGGAATAAAATAGGCACTTAAACATTCAGTAACTACAATACAATATATACAAAGCTTATGCACTTCATACAGTAAAAATAGAAATTTCCCAAGAGGAAGGTCGGTGGTCTAAACATTTTTTCTTGAAATTTGTCATTGAATAATCTAAATGATGTACAAGTTTTATACAAAGAAGAATGACAAAAATGACTCGGGAATGTTAGAGTGGTGTACGACTCATTTTTTGACATAATATTTAAAATCAAGTGATGTTTTCTGTTGTCATAATTTTTGTGTTGAACGAAAACATAAGCAAACCTGTCAGTACTCAAATTACAAGAATATAATTCCCTAATTTGTTTCCAAACCAAAGTGACAAACGATAAGTTTGCATATTCAGTGTTGCATGGGTACATAAATGCTTAAATGTGTGATTAAAATCAAGGAATGTGCATTAAAAAAAACATACAGTGGGCACAGGAGTGCCAATATCAGTAGGACAATAGATAGATGATTATTTTTATTTGATGTTGCGTGTTTTCTAAGCCAATAGCATTTTTTATGTTTTAAAAGGGAATGGTCTCGATACTATCTAACGTCTTTTTTGTAAGATAGCATCATTAATTCATAGCCCATATGACAAATATAATTTGGGTCTGGAAACAATCTCAATAAAACCAAAAGAACTTAAGATTTTAAGGCGAGCACTATAACCACTCGGCTACCCAGACAATTAGATGAAAGGAAATAAGCAAAACTGTGTTTAGGCTAAACAAAAATGCACAACATTTTGAAGGTTGAGAGAAACTTTCTTTCTATTTTTTTCCACTTAGAAAAATGCAAAACTTAAAAGGCACACACACAAACTACCATAATCATATATCAAGTATATTTAATTCTATGATCTATTAAAAATAAACATTCAAAGGATTAAAAGACCAGCTTTTTCTAACTGCCCACATGAGTTCCCAAACCTTTCCGAGAGCTTCATCACAGCCATTAATGTTCAAAAAAGGCAAAACACAAAGAAAGAAATACTATTTATACTCAAGTAGTATGGTGGCTTTGTCCATGCTTAAAACAGTGCATGACTACAAAAATAGAAACAAGCATGTCATTCACACCCATATGGAAAAACAAGTACCCTTGCCTAAAGGAAATATCACATTTTTTTATAACCAACAAAGGACAAATAACACTGTTATTTATATTTTATAAACCTTTTTAACATTCTGTGAACCACAAGGATTTGAAGGATTGAAGCCTAATGACAATATATGTACATGGTAATATCTCTATGACCATCTTCATTAAGTAAACACCTTGCAAAATTTGAACTAATTTTGTGAAGTGGTTTTTGCGTTATAGTAAGACACCTCATTTTTGTAAAGTAGTACATATATAGATTATTTAATATGTATCAACATTTAATAAAATAAACAGTTGAGCATATTTATCATAATATAAATAAAAAACAAATCCACTAATATTATCATGCTCTTGCAAAAAAAATTGTTTGATACTAGTACGAGAGCTCGTCCCGTGGTCCAAAACTCGGCCAAAACTATGTATTGTGCAAACTTCTCTATTTTCACCCCACACAGTAAATAAAACATGTGATTGGAATTTCTTTCAAATTAATTGTTTTGATTTTCTGTTTATATTTTGTTATTTGTTATTTCGTCACCAACATGGCAATCCTTAAGGCCCATGTTAATTTTTTTTATATTTTAAATTCATTTTTTGTTTGCTTATTTTTGAGTTTATTTTAATTTATAAAGGGATTCTGCACATCTTCAGGCAAATATCTTTCTAATAGTATGCATAGATTTTCCCTGTGATGCACAGGAGCTGAGAGAAAAGGTTTTCAATAAACATGCTTGTCTATTAATATATAGAATTAACCCCAAGTTAAATCTCCATAAGAAAAGTTGAATATCCATTTTTGACCCAATTAACATAAATATTTTCAAAATACAAATAAAACCTGCACATATAGGACCAATAACCTTTCTTTTGGTACAACCCGTGTGTAATTCGGTCCAGTAATATGGTGGCTAGCTGTCATAAGTTTTGCAAAAGTTTTTTTAATATATAAGATTACTAAAGTTCTACTGCAGTACTACAATAATCTACAAAAATCTTTGTGAGGAGCCTAGAAAATTTTATTACGGGTTGATTCTAAAACAACCTTTTGATTCCAATGGTAAAAAATGTAGAATCACAATTACGGGTGTAACTACAACTTCAGGCCGTATTAAGAGACTTAATCAACACAAAGAAAGTGTTTTAAAAGTAGTTGATACAAGAAAGTGCATTTCATTATTTACCAAACAATTTCCAGAGGACATGCTTTATTTAGAGATGATTTATTGAATGAAACTTAAGTACAAGTAAATTGACATCATAGAAAATATCTATTCATTCCAAATTTTACAAAAGCTAATAAGCGTCACAATAAAAAAAAGTGGGGAATTTACATTTTTCCATGGGGTTTTGAATGTACAAGTAGTCTACAAAATTTTAACGATTAAATATTCTGGCCATAGCACTTTTTAAAACCAAGTAGTCTACAAAATTTTAACGATTAAATATTCTGGCCATAGCACTTTTTAAAACCAAAGTTGCAAAAGATAAATTGACAATTCCTTGGTACCGTACTGATAGAATCAAGGGTTTTGAGGAATCTCAATCTAGGTTCAGAATCAGCTCATCCCTTATTTTAAATTTTTCATTCAATACAAAACCCCTCATTAGCTACTTATTTAAAAAGGACAATTCAGTTATTTCCGTTCACACAATACAATCACTGATAAAAAGGTCTTATATCTTATAGACATAAGACTGGGACAGGTGGCGTCGTCCTGTAATCCAGCTACTAGGAGGTCACGAATTGTGAATATTTATAGGCATGCAATGTGGATGCGATACTCTCTGGTTTGGATTAATGTCTGCACGAGTGAGTACTACGACTATCCGCAGTACTATCCTGATAATTAGACCATATTTGTATATACCAAGGCAAAAATGTGGTTTAGATTCCACTATAAACTGTAGGTCCCTTAGTTGCCATTAGCTGTATGGGCTATTAATTAACAGCTGTGTCTAAGGAATATGTCGGTCTTAATCACTAACAAGACTACAAAATCGCGCCACTCATCCTACACTCATCTCCACCATTCATACTTCGCTTAAAATACCTACTTTGTATGGTCGCCAATTCATCAAAAAGTATAAAGTGAAGTAAAGTATAAAGTACATTGTTGAAAAAATGTTGTAGCAACATTTAACAAGCTAAAGAATTAACATATTTTGCAATAAATAGTATTAAATAAAAGATAAAATTAACGAACAACACAAACTTTTAATCAACAGTGAAAAAAATGCTCTAGATATTGTAACACTTTTTTAATGTTTATAAATTCCATATTTAAAATCTATTCCTCTAAAAGTTGATTATTTGAAGACTATTGCGCTTACTAGTCATAACATGCAAGATCCGATAACTTATTTTTACGTACTAGTCGGACAAACACAGTTTAGGATAGTATTTACAAATTTTAACATCCAATACCTTTCCGTTCATATGTACAAAACACACTCACCACTAGGTACATGGAAGATAATAAATAGAACTATACAGTAAGACAAGTGATCTGAGAAGAACTTAAGTGTCATTAGGGCGTCATAACCCCATGTAACTGCATATCACAAATGTGAAGAATAGAGTGACTATGATCAAAACTACTACAAGCCATGATGGAAGTGTCCCTGAAACAAAAGTTTACAAAGTTAGTTAACTAAACAACACATAACATATTTATTTAGTTATATGAGGCATGTTTTTTCAGTAAGTTCCGTTTTTAAATTTCTCCGTTCCAGCGCTGCGATTGGCATTTTGGACATTTGCACTGTGTATGTGCATCTATTGGCAAGCCTGCACCGGAAATTTGGCAAAAATCTACCGTGTTTACATCCTGTTTCGAGCATTCAAAATGGTGCCGCCAATTGAGACTGCCGCCGACTGTGAAGTGCATGCTGTAATTAATTTTTAACTGCTAAAGGTGTGAAAATCATTGAATTTCATCGTGAAATGTATGGCGAGAACATTATGAGTGACGGAATGGTATACAAGTGGGTAAGGGCATTAAAAGACGGCCCCACTAACGTTCATGATGAGCAACGCACTGGGTGGCATCATCACTTCAATAATCTTTCGATGAATTTCAATGGCTTTCACACCTTTAGCAGTTAAACATCTAATTACAGCACGCACTTCACAGTCGGCGGCAGTTTCAATTGGCGGCACCATTTTGAATGCTCGAAACCGTATGTAAACACGGCCGATTTTTGCAGATTTTCCGGTGCAGGCTTGCCAATAGATGCACATACACAGCACAATGGTCCAAAATGCCAATCGCGCAGCGCTGGAACAAAGAAATTTAAAAACGGAACTTACTTAAAAAACATGCCTCGTACAAATTAAACATTATTTTGCATGTTTATTATTTCAATTATATTCTTACTTAGATTGATTCAATTACTTAATGCTGTATAAAAGGCACAGAAAAAAATGTGATTGCGAAACACTTGCAAAATTCCAAAAGACTTGAAATTTTATTTCATTTTAGCATACAACTGATTTATTTATATATAGTGAAATTAGTGATACTTAAAAGGACCAAAACTTTGCATTTCTTAAGTTTGATAAGGAAGTTGAATTAAATTAATATTATTAATTTTGTACTCATACTTTAAGGCAGAATGAATGAAGAAGAAGCAATCATTAATAGACCAGATTACAGTGTGTTATCTTGTTGTTACCTAGTGTTTGTTGTTGTTTTGCTCATATTCCTTTCTACATATTGTAATAAATAATAGCTCCTTACTTTGACCTAGCATGCACATCTTTTTGTTGGTACTTTAAATAATTCGTTCAGCTATTCTGTAGCACAATACAGCCCGCCCTCGCTAGTCCGACGATTTGAAATCCGACGTACTTGGTAATCCGACGCGCCGTCAGGCGCCGCTACGGGAGCAAAAAATCAAGCATGCAATGACATGAAACACTGTGACTCACGTCTCGTTGCCGTCGGAGCACTTCCGTTCAGTGTTCAGTTGACTTTCGGGAGGTGCAGTACACTTTCCCGGTGCAGTGGTATTTCCTTTGTTAGTAAGTGCAAGTGTTCGTGTACAGTAGTTGTGTGAAATGGCTAGTACAAGTGGTGTTAAACGGAAACACAAAACTTTAACAATATCGGAGAAGTGGGAGATTATTAAAAGAATAGATAGCGGTGAAACGCCGACTGCAGTAGCGACATTTTATGAAATCGGACGGCCTACGATTTATGATATAATGAAGAATAAAGAAAAAATTGAAGGGTTTATGAAGTCTGTTGAAGACGACGCTTTAAACAGGAAAACCCTGAGAACAAGCGAGTTTCCTGAGGTGGAAGAAGCACTGTTCATTTGGTTTAAACAACAACGCACACGGAATGTTCCTATTTCCGGAGACATACTTAAACAAAAAGCTCAATATTTCTACACAGAAATAACGAAGAAGAATGATTTTCGAGCTAGTCATGGATGGTTCGAAAACCAACTTCAAAAAATGCCATGGTATACGGTTTATGAAGATGTGTGGTGAAAAGGTATCTGCTGACAAGTCTGAGATTGATGCGTTCATTGAAATGTTAGACAAAAAAATTACTGAGCTTGGTTTAGTTCCTGAGCAACTGTACAACGCAGATGAAACCGGGTTGAATTGGCGACAGCTCCCGGCAGAAACATTTGTAAGTGATGAGGAAAAAAAAGTGTCAGGAAGGAAATTGCAAAAAGAACGACTCACGCTTATGGTGTGTGCTAATGCATCAGGCACTCATGCTTTAAAACTGCTTGTTGTAGGAAAATCAAAAAACCCTCGAGCATTCAAAAATGTCAAGGTTGAATCTCTGCCAGTAACGTACAAGTCACAAAGTCGCGCTTGGGTCACAAAAGAAGTTTTTCATGACTGGTACACTAACAGCTTCGTTCCACAAGTTAAGGCTGAATTAAAGAAGAACAAGTTACCAATGAACGCTCTTCTTTTGCTGAATAATGCACCAGGACATCCTGATGCTGATGAATTGAAAATCAAAACTGCTGATGGCTACATTGAAGCTATGTACCTACCAAAAAATACCACAGCATTAATCCAGCCCATGGATCAAAATGTGATAAAAACTCTCAATGCTCACTACAAAAAGCGCATTCTTATGGATGTTGTCAGTCAACCTGATGCTGATACTGCAGCGATTTTGAAAGCTTTTAACATTAAAGACGCCATTTTGAACGCTGCATATGCTTGGCAACAAGTAAAAAGCATAACTTTGATCAAATCTTGGAAAAATGTATGGCCTAACAATCCATGTCTTACAACATGTAATCCTACATCCAGCAGCGATCCAGAACCCGTTTTGGGGCTACATTGGAGCTTGCCCCCGCATCATTTGAAGAGCAAAGAACATAGATCATGGAGGACAACCTTGATGCTGACGTGACAGACGCAGATATAATCCAGGAAGTTACAGCAGCTGATGACGACGTGATCGAGGACGCAGCGCAAGAAAAAACCTTCACTGTCAGCTGTGATGAAGCTGTATCGGCAGCTAATACTTTGTTACGTTGGTGCCAAGAGAGAGATGTGGACATGACAAAAATTTTAGTTTTAAAAGGATGGCAAGAAGCAGCAATGATGAACTGTGTACAAAAAAAGAAGCAGAAGTCAATCACAGACTTTTTCAACAACTAAATACCATGCTGAAACACGTATGTATTAATTTTACAGGGGCCTACTTTTTTAATGAATTGTGTACTTTTATGCGTATTTTTTGGGATGTACGTACAGTACTGTACTGTAATTGAAATGCCCGCCTTATTTGTAACACTGTAAAATAAGTTTAGCTACATAAATTAAAATTGTGTTTCCTTTATTCTGTGTTTTTAATTATTCCCAAGAATTTAATGGTGATTAATACATTGTTTACAATTAAAATGATAGTTATATCTTTTTGGCAATCAAATGCATTACAGAATAGCCATTTTTGATAATCCGACGTTTTCGGTAATTCGACACTACGTCAGTCCCGCACCTGTCGGACTAGCGAGGGCGGGCTGTACTACAATTTTGAGCATCACAGCCATTGGTTAGCCGAGAAATTGAAATTTCACAGCGCCTTGCATTTGGCACCGAGCACTTGTGGAATGACCAACTTCGAGGTTCCCTCAGCATCGTGTTAACCATACATTTTCCGTCCTTGTCTTTAATTACTCCTTCAGATTTTCTTTCTCAGAGAAGACATCTCAGTTTATAACAGTGTTCACTTACGCCTGTACGGGAGGTTGTGGATGCAGACTTTGTTATCCACAGAGATACTGACGACGGCTGCCTCAGACACGGTGGTGATGGACGTCTCAGAGCCGAGCGCTGGTAGAAACTCTAGTCCTGTGACAAACATGCTGTGGGCATCCTTGACGTGAAGTACCCTCTGTGAAACAAGCAAAGAATGTAGCACTGACGAGGTCACAAAGAGGAAAACTTGTAGGCATAAAAATGTGTGAAACAGTGAACAGAAACACAACTAACCGTTCTTTTGCAGTGAATCTTTTTACATCAGGGGCAAACTACTGGCCATACACTGAATACGTGCTGTATAGTATAAAAATAATACACTCATAGAAGGATTGAGTATACACTTACTTAAGTTAACTCGCTTCAAAGTTTATTTCTAATTCAATACCCGATCCGGGAAGGTCCTGGAGTCTCCTCTCCCTAAACAGTTCAATCATGCTTGTAGCCAATTGCCTAAAGGGTAACAGGGCCATTTTATCTCCCCAGTCCGCCTTTGATCACCCCTGAATTTTGTAGACACCATTGTTGCCCTAACAATACAATGCAAGACTACTCCTTAAAATATAACTGCAAAGAGACCTTTGTTAAATTTCACACCTAATTCCACTTTGAAGATATATTTACCTAGGGATAAGTAGATTTTCATTAGCACCAATACTTAGACATTGGTATCGGTATTGAGAATCGATCGTCAACATTTGATTCAGATACCAATACCCGACACGTCTGCAAAGATCGCGCAATCATAAAATTACCGCTATTGCGCAAGATAATGATGATGTTTCTGTGACTGCGGGAGACAATGATGATATCTACAAGGGTCGGGGAGATGTTCATGATTTTGCCACAATCAGGCAGGATCACAATGACATTTTCATGACCAGGATATGATGATGACTACATGGGCGAAAATGTTAATAAATTTGTTACGATCATAGAAGATGATGATAATGACTACACGATGTCGGGAAATGTTAACAAATTTACCGCGATTGCGGGAGATGATGATAATGTCCACAAGACCGCAAGAGACGATAATTATGTCTACACAACCGCAGGAGACGATAATGATGTCTTCTTGATCGAGGGAAATGGTCAGAATTTTGCTGCCACCGCGGGACGATGATAATGGCTACACGACCGCAAACACGATAATGGTTTCTACACGGCCGCAGGATTAGAAATGTTCCCCCATTACGTGAGAAGATAGTAATGTCCACATAACCGTGAGAGATGTTTATGATTTTGCCGCTATTGCAAGAGTCTATGGATGATGTCTACACGACTGCAGAAAAATTATAAGAAATTTACCTCGACAGCGGAAGACTATGATGATTTCTATAGGACCACGGGAGACCATGATGATGTCTATATGACCGCGGGAGATTATAAAAGAATTTTGCCGGGCACAAAAGACGTGATAGGTAATGTTTCCGTACTGAGGAAGATATTCATTATTTTGCAATGATCCCAGAAGAAGATGATGATGTCTCAGGCTAGCCCAAATATAGTTATATAATTAGATTTTATTTATGATTTGTTGTTGTTAGATCTTCATTTACCTTTGATATGGTGTTATTTAATGTGTTTAGAAGGGGTTAAACTTAAATTGGCTATTTAGAGTTATTCATTGCTGCATTATTTTTTTTCTTTACTGCAAAACACCCCATTACCTAAAAAATACTTTATGGAAGGGCAAAAAGACAGGGATTGCTGTAGTATAACCAATCCATTGGGAACATTTGGTAAAACTATTAAAAATGGTATCGAGAATCAATTTTTAGGTATCTGTGTCAGTATCGAGGATCGATTTTTCAAGTATCGGTATCGAGTCGAGAAACGTTAAATTTTGTTATCGACACATCCCTAGTTACACACTGTGGTAGTAAACATACTGTAATGTAAAAAACAGGGATTGGATTCTGACATTCCAACCACTTTTAGACCCAATAAGCAATTACAAGAAGCCAAGAATGGGGCCATTAACTAAATACTTAAAAAATCAGCTATCAGAAGTATAAGGAAAGAAGATGTAAAACTACCATCAGGCTCAAAGTCCAGTTATCAGTCCATCCCTATGTTAACATTATTCTTTACAAACATAAAGTAGGCTATTCAGAAGCATTCATAACATATCCCATTTAATAATTCTTACACATACAAAGATTATCTATAACTTCCCCAAGATAGTGACAATTTTCTATCAGATTTCTAGAAATACAGATCATAAGCTGTATACTTAAGTAGAAATAATCCAGATTTAAACATTTTACCTGTAGACTGAAGGCAATATAAATGTCGACAGTTCCCGTAAACATGGTGCCGACTGCAATGAACCGTCCGTCGTCGCGCACGGCCAGCGCAGATAGACTCTCCTCCACTTGCGCAGTGCGACGCAGACCTTGCGCAGGATCCCACAACTGTATGTGCGCAGTCTGCTTTCCCACGCGGCTCACAGGGTTGCATATCAGGAACAGCCTACTTTTCTTTGGATCCTCCTCAACTCGACCAAACCTAAACAGGAACAGTTAAGAGTTAAATCATAAATACATAAGAGAGTATGTTTAAAAGGTGATATTGTTCATTACCCCACATTTTTTTCGATTTTCATCCAGCCTTGTTAAAAATCACTGAAAAATATTTAACATTAAGTGTTTAGCAAGTTGTAAGACTATTCCTGGAGCTACAGTACCTGCATCTCTTGTAGAGGTATTTTGTTCCATTTGTGGGGGTCCACTCCAACTCAGTCAGTTTGTTGCCTGTTTTGACACACCAAATGTATCCTTTGCCGTCCTTCGAGACAGAAGCAACCTTGGAAAAAATGAATGTATAGATAAAACATGGTTAAAAACAGATAGCAACTAATGAACGGATTAGTCATTGTCACCAAGATATAGTAAAACGTGCATTTGATGTTGCCATTGCCTCAACCTTATTATTTTGTTACCAATATTTATGTTTGTTCGTGAATTGTGTTTTTTATATAATTGTTGACAACATGCAAATAGATGTTAGATGAGGTCACTGTGTAGACAAAACATGTCACAGAAGTAACAGTGAACGTCAGAAGGTAACTGGTTGGTCTGTAGCAATCTTTGTTTGATCATATCAAATGGATTTATCTTTAAATAGTTATCAATTTTAACCCTTTCCGCTCAATTGGTGGGGGAGCCCCGCCGTTCGTCATGGCCGCATATACTCTAATGTCGGGCCGGGCCCGCCCGTCGCTTTGACAACAAAGGACTATTATGCTTGTATTTTGATTTTTGATTTTAGAAATTTTTTTTATTTTGTGTAAGTATTTGGAAAAAGATTACCAGCCTTCTATAAATCAAGACAATATTTATTGTTTGGTAAACAAATGAAATATGCAAATTTGGCACAAATTAAATGGAGCTGGGGGGAAAATAGGCCTCCCGTAGTTGGAGTAGAAAGGGTTAAAGAGAAAGCTCTGACCAACTGGACACTCTCAGTGTGACAAGTGACTAAGAATTAACTTGTTTGTGTTCTGTTCTGCCACTATACTAGATAAACGTAGGGTAGCTTTTCTGTGATGGAGTGTAATTAGGTTGATGTCTACTTTGAACTTACAAACTGATCAGGGTTAGGATATTAAGTAGGTTATTACTCAATATTGGTGGGTAAGGAGTTAAGTTGGTTGGGTCAAGGTGTTCGGATGAAAGAAAAGGTTGTATAAGTTTTAGTGATACTCTTTTTGCATTAGGATCTATCATACGGTGTTGTAGGGAGATCGAAAGTTGAGATAGATGGACATCTGAGTTTAGTTTTGCTTGAAAAAGGGAATTAATTAACCAATTTAGTTATGTAGGTATGATATTTATCATGATTTTTTATTCAGAATTTGAGTTGACTTTAAAGGCTTTTCTATTACATTAACCAGACAACTTATCATATTCCTGCGGATTTGATTTAATTTCATGTTAAATTCTAATAAATACATCTTCCATAGGAAAGTACTTTTTTTATAGAAACCCCACTCCTAGCTGATTTAAACAACTTTGGCTTCTTTAGAGCGCTGTATACGTGCAAGTTATCCTGGAGTAACATATCACATTTGAAAGCAATCTACTAGCAATGTACTTCAGGACCCAACAGCAAAATAATATGATACACTACACATTGAATAACAACCTGGCTGAAGAGGGCTTATCTATTTTACACAGTTCAGAAACTCACACTAACTACAGTTTATAATTGTATACAACCTAATTAACATACAGAAATGCTGTCAGGGCTAAAGTCAAGGTCATCGATCTCTTTGTGGTGTGCCACAATGTCACAGTGCGGCTTCATGGAGGGGAAGTTCCAGAGTCTGACATGTCCGTCAGTTCCTCCAGTCGCCATCAGCTGACCGGACGGGCTGATCCTTACAACTCTCTGTAGCGCCTCTGAGCTGAACAATGAACAAGAATGACATGAACACTGGGCTGCAGTCAAAACCATTGTTTTGCCAGGATCTTAACATTTTAGAATAAACAATAACTTAAACTATTGATAGTAGACATTCCATCCCCATATAATGGCTGTTGCCAGTTTCCCAATCAAAATGGACATCATTGAATTAAGCCAGCAACAGAGCACGCCAATGTAAATTAGGCTACTGATTCCTCTAGAGTATCAACATTTTTTTAAAGTCATAATTGCTCATAATTGCATCATAGGGTTAACCAAATCATAGACAAATAACCTCATTCCATCATGGAACTTTTGTAAATATCTAGGCTACATACGTTTATTATATAATGACACAGCTTTTCCAGTACAAACTGGTCTCAAGCATAGGAGGAGGTAATCAGGTAACCAGATGGGTTTATTGTAGGCTATAACATCTTATGTCACATACTTTACTTTGAAATGGCGACCATACGAATATAGGTATCTTAAGCCAAGTATGAATGGAGATGAGTGTAGGATGAGTGGTGTGATCTTGTAGTCTTGTTAGTGAAGTGACTAAGGCCGACACATTCCTTAGACATTGCTGTTAATTAAAAGCCCATACAGACAATGGCAACTAAGGGACCTACAGTTTATAGTGGAATCCGAACCCCATTTTGGCCTTGTGATTAATGAATTGGTCTAATTATCAGGACAGTCCTGCGGATGATTTAGTCATAGTACTCACTAGTGCGGATGTTAATCCACACCAGGGAGTATTGCATCCACAGTGCATGCCTATATAAGTATGATGCCTAATTCAGTAGCCTCTACAAAAGCCAATTATAATGGTTATTATCGACAACTCTTTACAATCTTTAAAATTCAGTCAGGTAAACCCAATAACATTCCTAGAATACTAGCTAATCTACACAGCGGTAGATTAAAATTTAAAGCTTTAAATGTTATGACTAATACATTTATTTTTACCAGATAAAGGAATCCTAAGTACATACCTGAAATCAGTTTGAATACTATCAGCTGGTTTAATATGAAACTCTAAATGTCGATCTAAGGTGTTTTGACTATCTTTACTGCCCTCTGTTTTTATATGATCTTCATTAATTTTTGATGGTGGATCTTCACTTGTACTACTCTTTGATTTAGATGTCGTTCTTCTACGAACACCTCCCTCTTTCTTCTGATGTACGTCTGTAAAATGACCGTTTTGATAAGCGCAAACGGCAACAGAAAATTGTATTAACTAAAAAAAATGGTAAACCTCCACCAGTTATTTTGGTCTTTCCCTGAAACGGAATAAAAGCTCGGATTTACATTTGATGTAAATGAGGATTTTTTTGTAACACTTGCTTTATAAACTTAACTGCAATCCTTAAAATTCCAAACACAAAACAAGATCAACCTGGCTACTTTAGTTCGCTTGTATGCCACAATGAGGCTCATAACCATTTACTGGCATCATTTGTGAACAGAATTACACAACTTTCAGCTCTATGACTGTCATGTACCTCCGCTTAGCTGTGTTTTTAGATTTTTTTAGCAATCAATTCTCCCACCGCATCAGTGATACGTTTTTTTGTTACAAGAAAGGGTAAAGTGCAGAAATGGGTTATGGAGTGTAAAAATGGCCTAGAAATCCTTTGTTCTTAGTGGTCTTCTTTAAGAAGTCTGGGTACCCACCAAAAACACAATTTCTTATGAAATTAGCATTTTCACAGCCATTTTTAAAACTCCCTAGCGTATTTCGGCACTTTCCATGCTATCTTTGCATCAGGGTCATAATCTTCAGTCATCTGGTGATAAATGCCGGCATCGTATATGTTTTCTGCAATCCAAAGGTATCACTGACCTTGCTTTATGGGCACGGCGGGAGATTTGATTAGGTACCTATTTAAAAGATTTTAAATCACGCAGCGAAGCATACATGACAGCTACAGAATGAAATTTGAGTCATTCTGTTCACAAATAATGCTAGTAAATGGTGATGGGCCTTGTTGCGGTGTAGGCCTACAAGCGAACTACGGATTTATAGGCTAAACCAGCCCTTACTTAAACTAGGTGGCGTTCGCAGAGGCATCCACAAAATTGAGCGGAGTCATCAAGGGTTCATATTATATTGTTTTTGTCATACTGCAGTAAAAACAGTCGTTTTTAATTTTAACCTACTGTCTACAGTCTCTTCCCATAGAATTTAGCATTGCAGATACATTAATCCATTCCCACACTCGACACTGCTCACCTTTACTACTTCCTTCACCACCCCTCCGTTGTGGACCTGTTTCCCTCTCTTACCATCGCATTTTAAGATGGCAGATACATTAATGTAATTGCCAAAGACCGTTCCCACACTCTGCACTGCAGGCCTTACTACTTCCTTCACCATTTCCCACGTCATAGACCTGTTTCCTTCCCTTCTCATAGCATTTATTTAAGTATTAGATACATTTATCTAACTGCCCAAACGGTTCCCCCACTCTGCCCTGCCAGCCTTTACTACTTCCTTCACCACTTCCTACTTCGTGGGGCATGTTTCCTTCCCTTCTCATAGCATTTTAGGATTGACGATACATTAATCTAACTGCCACAGACGGTTCTCACACTATGCTCATACTTTACTACTTCCTAAGCCACTTCCTACATCGTGGACCTGTTTTCATCACTTTCCATAGTATTTAAGTATTTTAGACACGTTAAACTAATTGCCACAAACATTCCCCACACTCCACACTGCTAGACTTTACTACTTCTTTCGCCATTTTCTATGTCGTAGTAGTATGTTTTCTGTGATCGTGGGCATGGATCCATCACTTCTCATAGCGTTTCATCATTGCAGATACATTAATCTAACTGCTACAAACAGTTTCCAGTTCCCACACTCCACACTGCTCACCTTACTACTTCCTTCACCTCTTCTTACGTCGCGGACCTGTTTCCCTCTCTTCCCATAGAATTTTAAGATTGTAGATACCTTAATCCAATCGTCATAAACAGTTCCCACACTCCGGACTGCTCATCTTGACTACTTCCGTCACCTCTTCATACGTCACGGACCTGTTTCCCTCCCTTCCCATAGCATTTTAGGATTGCAGATACCTTAATCTAATCGTCATAAACAGTTCCCACACTCCAGACAGCTCGCCTTGACTACTTCCGTCACCTCTTCATACGTCACGGACCTGTTTTTCTCCCTTTCCATAGCATTTTAGGATTGCAGGTACCTTAATCTAATCGTCAAAAAAGATCCCACACTCCGAACAACTCACCTTTACTACTTCCTTCACCACTTCCTATGTCACGGACCTGTTTCCTTCCCTTCCAATAGCATTTAAGGATTGCAGATACCTTAATCTAATCGTCATAAACAGTTCCCACACACCGGACAGCTTGCCTTGACTACTTCCTTCACCCCTTCCTACGTCGCGGACCTGTTTTCCTCCCTTCCCATAGAATTTTAGGAATGCAGATACCTAAATCTAATTGTCATAAACAGTTTCCACCCTCCAGACTGCTCACCTTTACTACTTCCTTCACCACTTCCTACGTCACGGACCTCAAGCTCGTCACTTGATTATATTTATGATCCATACCGTTTCTGTTCTAATATCTGTGGAATAATGCTATCAGCTATTTTTTTATCTACTGCATTCAAAAGTCAACAGCTGATCATACGTCTTTGTTTATGTGTCAACTGTCAAATACTGCTTCCATAAGAATTACATTGAAACTTTGAGACCCAGTGGGGCAGATTCCTGAGAGAATTTTTTAACGCCATATAGGCCTAGATGTTGGCACTCTCCGATATGGTCTTTATCACAATGCAAAATTTTAAAACGATTTATTCAGCCGTCTAGGAGGAGTTTGCGTATTACGAAATGCATAAGAGTCGACATATAAGAGCTTCACTCGCTCCGCTCAAAAACCACCCTCGTTCGTATTTACTGAGCTACTTTTTTCTCATTTCCAGTCAAAATATTCTCTTTGTTAATGCATTTTAGGCTAACTGTTCAGTCCTAGCATTGACTAAGGAAATAAAAGACTTTGTTTCCCTTGTCTGTGGTCCTAGTATGTTATTTTTTTTTTTTTATTATTTGTAGCGTTATAAACTGTTTAGATTTGTTATGTTTGTTATTTGCCTAGGCTACTTAAAACATTGCAATTTACCTAGTTATTATTATGTTTAGATTGCTATAATTTACAATGATGTAGCCTAAGTGTAGTCTTGTCATATTTTTAATATTTTACTAAAGTGTTTGTGCGTTGCATTTTTATTATACTATAGGCCCTAATAATTAATTGAACAACTCTTTGTCTAAGGGTACATTCAAATTACTTGTAGAAATATGAAGGAATGTAAAATGCTTTTCTTGTCATAATACATTTGAATAAGTATAATGTAAACAAAATGTATGTAAAGTGCAATTTTATAAAATAACCTCTATGTAACTATAAATATTAGACTTAGTATTATATGCTACACAATGTAAAAATTGTCAAGAGCAATAAATAAATATGTAGGCCTAACTTATTTCAAGAGAGATTGGCCTACTAATTTAAAATATGAGGAGTATTATTTTAACCATACCGTTTGAAGTGCTTATGTTCCTTTTCCTTGAGACAATTTCTGATGTGACCAGATACAGTTGGCAGTGGCTCTCTTGTCCAGCGACCAGGTATGTTTTCTTTGGTGTACTCACACAAGCGCAATTCATAACAACACTGGGCCCTGTCTCATGTCGTATCATCTCTTCAACGACAAACCGATTCCCGTTGTATGACAGCTCAAAAATTTCCTAGACAAGTGTGTTTAATATAAATAGCAAGAAAAAGATCATTTAAGTATGGAACAGTAAACCTTTGATAGTTCAAGACTCCTTGTCGTTTGACACGGGCTGAGCTATTTTGTCAAGTGAAATTTAATTGTTACTATTGTGATGTAAGCTGACTTGAACATGAATTTGTCATTTATTGTTGACTTGAGCTTGATGCTTAACTAATGAACAGTGAAATTGTTGAGCTTTTTATTTAATAAATTTGGGCGATTTCTATAAGACTTGTGTTTTTACTTTCCTGTATATTAAACTCCATTCACTACCTATAGTTCAACATTTCGATAGTTCGACACCCCTTAAGTCCACAAAGTGTCGAACTATTGAGATTCTACTGTACCTATTTAACTATACTAGAGGTCGTCCAGTATCGAAAACTCAACCACAAATATGTAAATGTAAAGACTTCTAGCTATTTTCACCCACACTATAAAAAAACCATGTGATGGGAATTTCTTCTATTTGTTTTGATTTTCCATTTATATTTCGTCACCAGCATGGCAACCTACAAGGGCCATGTTAATTTAATTTTTATTTTTATAAATTCATTTTTCGTAGGCCTAACTTATTTATTTTTGAGCTTATTTTAATTTATAAAGGGATTCTGCACATCTACAGTAAAATATCTTTCTAAGAATACGCGTAGATATTCTTTGTGATGTACACAAGCTGAGGAAAAAGGTTTTTAAGAAACATGCTTGTCTGTCAATATCTATAGATACCTAGTCAATTGATAACCCAAAAAATGTATTGAAAATGAATGGCAAAGTTGTTGAGTATTATTAAACCATAAATTAATTAACTTAGCTTGTGACAAACTGAAAGTTTTTTATTATTATTGAGCAGTGTGTAAATGTAAGTTAACGTGGGTAGGCCTACTGTCAAATTTTAAAATTCAAAATAAATTGAACTTATTGAACACAACATTGTTGTGATATTACTTGTCAATTCAAATTAGCCATTTAAGGCAAGTCTGGGCCGATAATCAGAATGTGTAGAAGACACTGCGCTATAGCATAACCTAGGCTATGTTTACATGTGATGTAGGCCTACACATCTAATAGCTGTGAACCTAATAATGACGTTGGGTTATTAACTCGCAGACAAGCCATTAACGATTAAGTGCTCCTACTGCTATCAAAAATTACTTTAATTTTAGGATGTATTAAACAACAAGCCTGGTAGGCCTATCTTGGCCTATGTTCCTAACAGCAGGTTTGATCATATCACACATTCCAGGCTGCACACAAATATGACAAATAGTTAGGGCTGGAGCATCACAAAATGTATAATGATAATGTTTAAATTATATGTTAAAGCTTCTTCACTTACAAACCCGTTAGCAACCCCTGTTTTAGATGAACCTCCACCACCTCCAACAATAACATGACGGCTTGTAAGCATTTGTAGAGTGTAAAGAGGAAAATTCACTCGAGCTAGAAGACCAGGCTGATTTCTGGAAGGCATCTTAAATAACACTCTGAAGCTTACGTCTACACTTAAGCCAAGTAGGAAGATATTCTTTAATTATTGTAAACCTATTAATTCGTTATAAAACTTTGTTACTACGGCTTCTGCTTTCTGCTAGCAGACAGAAACAGAAACGTGAACATTTACGTCACTACTACGCTCAGCTGATTTGATGGTCTGTCAAAACTGCTGACATGTAAGATGAATTTGAAAATTACAAGCCATGAAAAAAAGAGTCAATGGAGTACTATACAAAGCATGACAGTCTTTTAAAACGCTTGATTGAGCTCTTTTCTTAGATTTTATTAATTTTTTATTTTACCATACCTTCTTCCACCATGATACTATACGCTTTTAGGTTTTAGGACAAATTATAACGGGCAATTTGCTATACTACTTTCCTCCTGGTTTACCAAAGACTAAAGTTCAAACTTAACAATAATTATTATAGCTATGAATTCCCAAGAATTACTTGGTAAATATATAATCAACGATACGATTACCCGCAAAATATAGGAACAATTAATTAATTACTCGACAACGCAACTACACAAACAAATAGATACAATTGATACAATAGATCAAAAACCCCTATTGTTGGTTATATCATAGATAAAACATACTTTCTCGTTTTGGTTAGTCCCAACCATTATGTCAAGAAACATGTTACTCCGATGACTTGCAGTATCTACAGAGAGTAATTTTGAGGCATGTAGTCATAGACTAACCAAGAAGGGAATATATTTTATCTGAGGTTTAATGTACTCTCTCCAGCCATATAGACAAAAGAATTAAATATAGACTGTCAGCCGTCCTGCGGTTACCATAGGTTCTGGCGCACACCACTGGGAGCGCAGTGTAGTTACGTAGCTCGTACGCCGTAACTACATGGCGCTCCCAGCAGTGTGTGCCAGAACCTATGGTACCCGCAGCACGGCTGATGGTCTATATTTAATTATTTATTTAATTATTTTTGTCTATGCACCAGCTAATGAAAAACGATTTTGGTTCAGGTATATTGCACGAATACTAGAAAAATATATTGTATCAGTTTTCGGAACTTTTCGAATACGTATCTTTATTTTATTTTATTTTTCGTTGAAAATGTTTAGCATTTTTTGTCAGATTTTGATGAAATTTAACTCGAATTTAACTTGAACTTTAATTTAACCAATGTCTATATAGTATATACCTACAGATATTAATACTATATAAAATATATCTGTAAGTGTATATTGCCAATGATTGAACTTAGGGCGGGATAAACTTGCATGAGTTCGCGAACCACAATAATCGGACCATGAGAAACGGGGGTTTGTAGTAAAAATTGGGTTTTCTCATTTTTGACCCTCTAAACATAAAAGCTCCCAGCAATTTCTCTTAAAAACGTTTTAAAGAGCTTAAAACAAATATTTTAGTTTATTGAAGTGTTTTTACGGTTTGGTACGGAAAAAAAATATTAGATAATAATTTAGTTTCTATGCTATTCTTAAATCTTATTGAGAAGTAAACTGTTGTACTAGTTGTAAGTTTGCTTGTTTATGGATATTTATTTTTATGTTTATATATTTTATGGATATATTTTATATTTATGGATTTATAGTATCAAACTTGGCAAACTTATTTAATTTATACTAAACTATAATATTTTATTTTACCAATATTTACTTTTTACCCTCCATGATGTAGCAGCAAACCTAGGTATTCGTTCAACCTAGTATTTATATAGATTTTATTGAAAATTCAATCACGCAACTAAGAGTTCGCTTAGAATGCAGATTTGCTGTGGTGTATAGGTATTTCGTGTCCATTTGATTTACTCCGTTGGTGTAGTGGTTTGTGTATATTATATAATATTTATTACATTCCACTATTATGATTTAAACACGTTTCTTCCATCCGTGGTCCCTTGGTCATTTATTACTTGGTACAGTTCCGGAGGTTACGATTGCAATAAAATGATAAAGGTAATTTGTATTTTTCCAAAATACTGTATTCTCAGGGTTGCTAGTTGTGTTGCATTGGAATTTGGAATGTCAGATTGCGAATTGTGAGTGTGACTGCGCTGTGGCACTGCCTCTATCTGTGCCTGCCCTGCCCTGCAGTGCGAAGCGAATGAGAGAGAGGCAAACAAAACGAAATTTAAAATTTGAATAGAGTAGAGTGAGTAGAGATTGATAGACTAGGACAGGACCACTGTTAGAATTATAGCAGCTCAGTGACTAGGACTAGAGAGTGAGTGAAGAGTGAAGCGGAGTGAAAGAACCGAAAAAACAACAAGACGTCTTGTTTGTTTTTTGTTTATGTTCATGTTTATGATTTGATTTTAAAATTTAAACTACACTGACTCTTGCTTGAGTATGTTTTCTGTGCTCTTGACTGCTTGACTCACTACCACTGAGCTATATAATCTATATTATCTCAATGACCACTACACACTACAGTAACACAGTCAGTGAGTCAGTAGGCTGTGGTACTACTGGTAGTACACAAACACAACAACAACTCCTACAGCAACACCAACACTCAACATCGTAGGTAGGAAGGTAAGGTCTGCTAGGTTATTAATTTGATCAATAGCATCATACATAGTTTAGAATCGTCTGGGTCGTTTTTAAATCTAGACCTAACCCCCCAAAAGTTAAGTAACTTAAGTATAGGCCCGTTCACACGGGGCGAGTTTACAAGCTACTCGCCAGCGTGTAAGAAGCTGGCGAGTTGGCGAGTGTGCTTGTATTTGTTCACACGGAGCTTGTCCACTCGCCTACTCGCTGACGTGTAGAAAGACGCCGGCGAGTCAGCGAGTGCGCTTTTAATCGTTCACACGATGCTTTTTCCACTCGCTCAGTAGCTAGCTTGAACCATATCCTCCAACATCTTTGTGTAACAAGCGCACAAGCACAAGCAACTGTGTTCACACTGGGCTACTTTACACGCCTACTCGCTCAAAAGCAGGCGAGTTGGCGTGTAAAGTAGCGGCAGCGTCAACTTTTTCCAGAGCTTTTTTACAAGCAGCTTTTGAGCGAGTACGTCGTTCACACTGAGCTATTTTACTAGCTGCGTGTAAAAAAGCCGGCGTGTAGCTTGTAAACTCGCCCCGTGTGAACGGGGCTTATTGGAAATGGAGCTGGAGCTAGTCTTTAAGCAGCCTAACAACTTACCAGTACATTGGAGATTGGAATCCCTTATTAAACCATGTGTAAGCTTCTCTAGGCCTAGTTCAAGTTCACCAATTATTTTGAGATCAATGGTTTATTCTTTCCAAGGCATCTTTAAGCCTAGTTGTTATTTGTCTTATTCGAGCCCAAATTAAACCCACAATAAAATTGAAAAGGCTACACTACTTTGGCTGAAACAACCAAAGGTAAATTGCTTCAGAGTATTTTATTCATGAGCATCAAGCATAGAATAGTAAGTTAGGAGAAGGCTATTAGTACAAAACAAAGCCTGTTTTTAGATTAAAAATCTAGAAGTTATGAGAACTTCTAGATTTTTAATGTCTGTCCAATCAGAGTCTTGTGGGGTTTGTGAACTCTACAAGTTTGTAGATTGCTTAGTCAGCCTTTTGTTTGGAATGTGTGAAATTCAGTACAGTAGAGTCCCGCAAACTCGGCGTAATGTGGACTGGAAGGGTGCCGAGTTTGTGAAATGCCGGGTTATCGGGAACTAGGGTTAAAAATCAGAACAATTTAGCTTTTTAACCACCTTTTTTATTTATATTTATATTACAAGTCAGTATTAAGTCATCAGATAGTCTATAGTACAACAAATCCTTACCAGTTGCAAATAATTTGACTAAAGCTGACTTGAATCCAGCTTAACTCGGACTCAAAAAATCACTAATTTTTTGAGCCAGGTGATGGCCCAGTATCCAGACTGCCGGGTTATCGAGTGCCGAGTTTGCGGGACTCTACTGTATTATATTGATAAAGAAACCTTTTTTGCATAGGTACGTAGGCCCTAATCACTAAGTAGGCCTAAGTTTACTTAATCATAAGTTATAATAGTCAAATACCAATGACTTACAGATGATCGCTAGGCCTAACTTTATTTAAATGTGGACGCAAAATTATCTTGGAAAACACATATTGAGGCAGTCCGACCAAAATTATTGAAATAGCCTACATCCGGACATTTTATATGTTGAGGCCAATATATGTAGAAAAGATTTTTTGAGAGCTAAGTTATATAGGTAATGCTCTGATAGGTTCAAAAATTGAGTATAGCATTGAGGTGGGGGGAGGAGCATGTATTACTTTTAATAGGTACCTGAATACTTTCTTATTAAATGGCGACCATTCAAAGTAGGTATTCTAAGCCAAGTATGAATGGAGATGAGTGTAGGATGAGTGTGATCTTGTAGTCTTGTTAGTGACTAAGGCCAACATTTCTTAGACACAGCTGTTAATTAATAGCCCATAGGCCTACAGCTAATGGCAACTAAGGGACCTATATAATAAGTTAGGCCTACTTTGTAATCAATAGCCTATATTGAATTGGATAAACATCTATATTTATTGTTAAATTCATCCAATAATATACCGTTAGCAGGTTAACTCTTTTAAGTTTACTGTTACTGTGCCTAATAGGCAAAGTGGTACTTTCCTGTTAAAGGGAACATTCATTATTATCGATGATTTTTTTTGCAATATAGGCCTAGGGCATATCAATATTTTTGTTTTTCCTTACGATCCATTACAAATTGACAACTGATCCTGTTTAGGATAAAATAATCTATTATATGGATTAAGAAATGAAACTGTTCTAAGCTAACCTAACATTATAACCAACCAAATTTGCTGTATCATTTAAAAATTCTGTTTGATAACAGAAAAGGCAAGTGGAGAATATCAAACAGTTTTTAAATGTTACAGAAAGTTTGGTTAGTTTTGTTAGGTTAGTTTAGAACAGTTTTAATTTAAAAATTTTAAAATTATTTTTTGTTGATACTGAACAATATTTATATATCGTAGTTGTCAGCTGATAGGTTTCAATTTGTTAATATCGATATATCGAGAAAAAAATCATCGAAAATAACTCAGTTAAAAAAAAAACTGTCTGCATTTACCTTGATTTATTCCATTATAAACCTGAGACATTTTACATATAAACCCGTACTGGTTTTTACAAAAAAATTGATTTTATTCAGGAAGTTTATCAAACGCTCTTTTACAATCTTTTCTATTATTTTTGATAATATAGACAGTCGATTTATGTTCAATGTTTCAATAATTTTTGTTAATAAAAGATAATAATTAATTTAGAGTGTTGTTGTTCGACAAAAAAAAAATAAAGAAGATGGTTTTTGTTAACATTACATTTGTCATTTGGGAAGTTTAATCTGAAGTAATCACAGAGGTGCCAATCCCCCCAAACCCAGTGGCGCAATCCCCCCCCCCCCACCAATTTATACTGCCCTCTATTTCAACCTACCCTCCTCCCTCCAATTTACCTGGCAATTTCCCCTTTACCACATAAAACGAGCATTTAAAGTATTTTTAGTAAACATGAGGTAAAGAAAAACAAACTTGCTGATAATCAAAATTAAATGTTTAATAGGAAATACCATTTAACAATACAAAGCTATACATAATTAATGGACCAATTAAATTAGAATCTGTATTGTCAGCCATTACGTGCTCAGTATTAAAATAGGCAACATCTTCAAAACATTCAACAATATACTCGGTGAATTACTCTACTCCAACACAGTAGGTACTGTAACTGTACAATATACGCCTATTAGGTGGTGTAAATTTTTACAGGGCTTAAGAATTCAAATAACTTTATGTGCACAAATAATACTTTGGCAAAAAGTATCTTGTTGCAAAATTAGGTCAAGAAATAGGGTAGACTAGGAGGCGTTGCTATCCACTCCTAGGCTGCTTTGTACAAAAATCGCCGGGCAAAATACCCACAATACCTTAATTGCCACCAGCACCACAAAAGGTTTTGTGACAAGAAATCTTATAATTCATTTTGATAGCCCCAGGTTTTAGTTTTATGACTAATAATGGTAGTGTTTTGACGGTTCTTTAATTCCACCATCGTCAAACTTACAAAAGCATCCACTTTTGGAGGTGTCGTCAGAATATGTTACAAACATTAAACAAAAAACACAAAACAATAACAGATATGCCTATCAATTCACGCAAGTAAATTGCCGCGGGCAGAACTGGAAGTAAACTGAATCAGGTTATGGCGGACCGACGTGGATTGTCGTCTGTGTTATCTACAGCATATTGGACTAATTGTAGTGTAGTGACGGAGGAGAGTTTTGAAAATATAATGGGATTCGTAATTGAGTTTTCCATTCAAAATTATTAACAATAATAACCCATTTATATGCTGGATATATATGATCTTGAAATGCTACATTACTGCGGGGAAGAAAATTTATTAAATATGTACTTTGGATGAGTTTGAAATATTGAAATTCATAACCTAATACTAGGGACGGCACACAATGTTTGAATGAAAACACTCGATTAATTATGAATCCAGTTATTTTATCAACACTCTTCTCAGTCAGTACAATATTCCAATATCAGCTGTTGAAAACGCAGACGACAATCCAGAGACCACGTCGGTGTTGGTCCATCCATAACCTTAATCTGACTCAGTTGACTTCTTTGACTATCAATACATAAATATCCAATAGCCTAGTCTTCAGTATCCAATAGTCAATGGTTTACTTCCAGTCTTGCCGACGGCAATTTACACACGTGAATTGATAGGCCTATCTGTAATTGTTTTGCGTTATATTGACATTGCCTATATTGACATTGCCTATATTGACAATTTCAATGCTAAATATAGGTACATCAGATATCCTTTTTTTATGAATTTAAAGCTGTTAACATTACTTACTCAACTATTTGTTATCCTTACATTTTCAAAAATAAGGCCGACATTTTATCGGAAAGTAAATAAAGACATTTTATCTAACACTATAACCATCTGAGAGCCTTTTCACCCAATATACTTATTGAATCTTATTGAATCTTATTACTCTTAGTAACTTACTAGTATTGTCGTCCAAAAAAAAAAAAAAAAATTGTTGTCCCAAAAAAAAAACCTATAAAGCCCTAGAACTGTGACCAAGTAAGTTGGTTCTAACAAAATTAGAAGATGACATATCAACCCATAGACAGACTTCAAACGGTAGTCACATGTTTAGTTATATACTATAAACAGTTATAGAATATAAAAATTGGTGTAAATACCTGCTTCTTGTAATCCAAAATGTTGCTGTTATGACACAACTAGTTTCAACTTCTCACGAAGTCATCTTCGGGCGTCCAGGGGATGTCAAATCACTTCACCAGAAGGTCGTCAATACACACATACGTTCATACACGAACATGGTCACGGTTACGAACACGAACACAGACACGAACATTGAAACGAAAAAAGTACGATTTAATGAGTAAAAGCTAAAAATGGTAACACCAGTGAGGATGATGCGTCACGACCGGATAGATTTGACATCCCCTGGACGCCCGAAGATCACTTTGTGATAAGTTGAAACTAGTTGCGTCATAACAGCAACATTTTGGATTACAAGAAGCAGGTATTTACACCAATTTTTTATATTCAACGTAATCCGGAGGCTAACATCAACAATGAAGTTATAGAATGATGTAAACAAGTCTTGTCTGGATTTTGTTAACTTGGGAAATAGTTTCAAGTGCAGAGCTATGTGTTTAAAAATTTACATTTCAAATGAAGTCAGGCTTTAACTTTCAGGAAAAAATAAATATAATTTTGTAATTCTCTATGTTTTAGCATAGAAGAAAATGGACCAATTTGGAGATGAAGATTTGCGTTCAATCTTATTCGGAACCATTCCAAAACATGAAGATTTGATTTATCTCCTAGGAACGATTAACTTCTCTGACAATAATGCAGCAAGTATATCAAACAAAGCATATCAATGTCAGATTTTCAAGTGCAGGTATGTGTAAGACTTTACCTTCCAATTTGATTGTTATCAAATTGGAATGTTCATTGGAAAAAAAATTTAATAAAGACTTAGGGAAAAAGGAAATAACTTTTCTTTTGGGTAAAAATCCAATCCTTCAAAATCGACTGTTAGAAATGGTTCTATGCAAACCTGCCCTATTTAAAATTTTCTTTGTTATCTGTATAAATAAAATAAAGCCTAAAATAAACAAGTTTTATCTCAATTTCTGCCTTTCTGACGTCTCTGTGGATGCCAAACTGCCGAAAATAAAGGTGACCTATGCACTTTGAGAAAACTAGATACCGATCAAGATTAAAATAATTTTCCTGTGTTTACCTGGTACCATATATGAATTGCACTAGGCCCCAGGCCTATATTTTTCAGATCTTTTAGGAATTAGAAAACACAACTGATACCATTATAGGTGCATTATTTTGTTTACAGATGTTTAATTTTCACCGTACCTGATGTGATTTCTTCTCCCATGCTCGGAGCTGTTGAAAACATACACATCATAATAAGTAAAAGCTATTATAAATCTGGCAAGTTGGTTCCTCATCTAGAAAGAATGAACATAGAGGTAAATCTTTCTCAGTAGGCTACTATTTATTCTTATACATTACAGGAATTTCTTGTAAAAATATAACGAGTCCTTGGAGTCTAGACGTTCTAACTCATAAAACAATTAAAAAAATCCAAAGACAAATTTTAATCTCGCAGTATACTAGATATATAAATTACAATCACTTTGGTACCGGTACTTGAAAAAATATTTTGAGATGGTAACTCTTTAGCAGCTGTTTAAAAATTACAAAATTAATCCAAATCGTGCAAATCCAAGATGGTCATTGGCTTCCATAAACTGCCTTGGAAATCAATTCAAAACAACAAATACAGTTTTTAATCTCACCTATACAAGATATTTAAATAATTTTACTTTGGTGTATGAACAACTATTTTTGGATGATAATTAACTTTTCTGCAGCTGTTTGAAATTATCCAAGATGGCCACTAGCCTCCAAGGACTCTTGAAGGTTTTCAATGTTAAGTTGGAAAATTCCAAGAAACTTGTTGTTCTTACTCTGAAGTGTAAGGTGTAACAATTATGGAGCAATACTGATCAAGGTATCAAGTTTTATCTTTGTTTAGTGAAACTTTCAAACCTATTGGAAGATTTTTTTTTGTTAAAGAGGTTGGCGGCCTCTTTTAACCTTGCATTTGCCCGTCCACATAGACTAAGCGCCCGTGCGTGGATCGTTTACAGCAAAGCAAGGAGTGAGCCGGTACAGTACAAAGGTGAACTTTACTGATAAAATGTTATCGGCAGTGACCAGGATCCGAACCCACGACATCGCTGCCTTGGGCACGAAGTCCGCGACGCTACCGACTGAGCCACCGACTCACTATTGATGTGAAAGCCAATAACAAAGCTTAAACATCAACCCGTGGTTTATCAAAACTATGTACCTTTCTTTGATGCCAAATCCCAATATATTATTCTTTAATTATTAATCAAAACATTTTTGAATGCTAGTAATGTTGGCAGGTAACTGAGCCACTGCCGCTCACCAATGCAGTCTATGAAGCCTGTCTGAGATACACAATCCTCGCTCGGTTGGCTCCCTCTTGGAACCAGGTGGAGAAGTATCTTGTACGAGGACGAGACTTTCTCCTCTCCGCCTCCCCTAGCGATGCTGTCAAACTGGATATAGTCATTAATGGTAAGTTACATGCTAGTGTGATCAATCAACTATAGTCTTATTTAATCGGTGCTTGATATTCTGTACTGCCACCTTAGTTCTATCTCTGTTATATAATTAACAGTTACAATACCCTTCCCAAAGATTTATCATGTCCATGATAGTTGTTTCCTGTAGATTTTAAGGCACCAAACAGTTCTTCAGAGTTTGCATTAGCCATCGATTAGTTGTCCAGGCTAAAGAATGCACTGTCATTGAAAATATACTTCGACAACAATTTAACTTTTTATTTGCTTAAATCTTAACTGCTGGTCACCATAAGTCTGTCTATGGCCTTAAGTCCACTGATCAGTGTGGTGACCTCAAGACCGTAAATAAATAAATAAATTAGTACCGTTTCCTTGTAAGTCACAGTAGGCAACCTAGTCATGACTGCTATGACCAAGAGACTACCACTGAGCTACCAGGATCACCAAACCATTTGCAAAGACAAACAAAATCATGATTGTTGGTTATATGTACATATACATTGCATTGATTAGTTTGAACTAGAGGTCGTCCAGTGGTAGAAAACTCAGCCAAAAAAATATATGCCTAATGTACAGACTTCTCTATTTTCACCCCACGCTGTGTGTAAATAAAACATGTGATTGGAATAATTTCTTCCATATGTTTTTGTTGTTATTTCGTCACCAGCATGGCAACCCATGTAAATTTTTGTTAAATTTTAAATTGATTTTTTGTTCTTATTTTTTAGCCTATTTTAATTTATAAAGGGCTTCTGCACATATACAGGAAAATATCTTTCTAACAGTATGCGTAGATTTTCCCTGCGATGTACACAAGCTGAGAAATAAGTTTTTTAAGAAACATGCTTGCCTATCAATCTATAGATTTCCAAGTGACATAAGACTGTTGTGTTACCGGTATGACAGAAGTAGACATGCACATTGTGTTGTGGCCGCTACGTGTGAGACTTCCCTTGCTTGCTCCCCAAGACCTCCAAGCTACCTCATCCCATCCTTTCTCCTGGGATCTGTCCGCAAACAATAAAACTGTCCATGTGTTGCCTAGGTAAGATTTCAGAACTACTATGTAGATTGCTGTCGTTGTACCTTTAATATTGAAATTCATTGGATTATAATTTGTTATAATTGGACTTCAATAAACCGTTGTGTTTTACAATTTTTTAGTTTTTACCCCTGGCAGATTATTTGGAAATAAACTTAGAACAATTATTATTTAACTCTGATGGAGGAAAAGTATCCTATTTTAGTCAAATTTGCTACGGTAGCCTATATGTAATGTAATAGTAATAGGGTAATAGTAATCAAATTTGAATAATAATATTAAATAACAATAGCGATCAATTTTGAACAGTCACAACACTCATCGTCAGGACCAATCTAAGACTGAGGAAATCAAAGTGATGCTTAGATGATATTGGTCACTGGAAGTACCAGAAGCAAACTCTGAAAGTTCCAGCAGAATATAATAATATAACTGTTTATTTATTAAATTTCTCCCAATCATTTTTGGTTTTAAATGAGAAGTCAACTTCTATCCCCCAAACTTATCGAGTTTGTTTCTGGCACCTCCGTCAATCAAGGATGCCATTTTTATCCTCTCAGTTTTGTTTTTATGTCTAGGGTGAATTAATTGCAAGGGTCACTACACTATTTACAATACAAGTACATGTATATGTACACGCTCGTGACATGTAAGCAGGCACTTGACCGACTACTTTCAAAAAAATTATGTGGCGTCATGCGGGTTGCGTCAACTGTCCTGACAAGTCATGTGAAGGTGCTCAAGTATACAAAACATGGTATACCCCCGATGAGTCAGTAAAAATTCCTTACCTCCAACCTCCCCCAAACAACACTACCTGCACTAGGCCCAAGTGCCAGCTTACGTGTCACGAGCTATACAACAAAATGGATTTGATTACTGTTTGTACTTGAAGGCAGACCATTAACTAACTAGAATATTCCAGTTACACTATCGAGTTACATACAGTTACACTTGCTTATACTTGTTACTTGCCAATATCTTAATTATTAATTCTGTGTCAATTATATTTCCACTGTATTTTTTAGTTTGAACAAAGCCAACGTTGAGATGGTGTCAAGTTCAATACCGCAAAATTCCTTATTCAAGTCATATAAGGACCTTAAGAGACACTGGAAAAATTCTGTAAGTTTTCTAATACATTAATGCACATTGAAATTTAGTGAATTAAGTAAAATTTAAAAGAATTTCTCATATAGCGAATTTTTACTGTTATTACTTTTTACTTTTTATTACTTTTCTTTTATTAGTTTTTGTACTATAGCAACCCGGGACCGTTTTACTTTTTTGTTTTGATGTCCCTAGAAGCTAAAAACAAAAATAACCCGTACAAATGATCTGATTTTGATTAAATTTGGTACACACATGACAACCTACCTTTATTCAAACAAATTCGCAAACCAGCATAATCAGACCATGGGAACAGGGTTGTATGGAATAAAACCTGGATTTTTTCATTTTTTGGGCCTCAAAAATGAAATTTTCCAATTTATTTATCAACTATATTCTAAAGTTAAACAAATAATTTAGTATCCTGTAGCATTGTATTCCCAAAGGTTACCGATAAACTAAAAAAAAACTTTCATGTTCTCATGTAAAATTCTCATGGTTTTTTATGTGGAATAAATAAACTGTGGTAGTTTGTTTGTTAATGGATATATTTTGATCGAGCTTGGCAAATTTGTTAATTTCATACTAAGCTACATTTCAGTATCAAACACATTTTATTACCCTCCCTGTAGCAGCAAACCTAATTAGGCCTACTCATTAAAATTAATGTTATTTAAAAATAAAAATGAATCTGACTGAATTTTAAGAAACTTTTTTGTAGAAATTAGGGATGGACGAGATTGGATTTTTAGTTTGAGACGAGTCAAGACAGGATTTTTTATTTCTCATAAAATTTCGAGACGAGATCGAGACGGGATTTCCCTTCTCATACATAACGGGAAATGAACGTTCCACATTTTAACCTGATTTTTTTAACATTTTTAAATACCGTACCTACTGATTTATGACAGACTGGTGAAATACAAAAATAATAATGGACAAAAATATTTAAAATCTTTTATTAGGAAACATTAATGAAAACATCAGTATAAAATAAAATATTAATAAGGCCTAACTTATTAAAAATAACTCTTCGGCATAGGAAACATGGAGATATAAGTTATAGTATATAGTTCAGCTTTGAAAAATATCAAATTTATAAGTCTAAAACAACAGTATTACTTTACTAGTTAAGTATCTAGTAACAATTTTTAAGTCTTATGTTATTATTTTTAGAATGATTGTGGATTGACTTATTTTGGCTATGTTTACAGTAGTAAAACATGTCTGACACTGCTTACACTAACAAAACTTCTCATAATTTGCTATGTAAAAAAAATTATAAAACAATTGAAGCAATATTTCCATGTAAAAAATTAATAAGCCTAACTAAATAATAATTTTTTTATTTAATTTTTTTATTATTTACAATTTTTTAAATAAATTTTTTTTTAATCTCGTCTGGAAAAAATCTCGACCAAAATAGAATCTTGTCTCGTAGAACAAGATTTAAAATTTCCCAAAATTTCGAGGCCCGACCATCCCTAGTAGAAATCCAGCCAGGTACAAGGAAATTTTCGTAGTCTGCAGGGTGTTTTTACAGCGGGATTATTATGATAAAGTGGTGGGACCCTGGTTTACTTGAGTTTTTGAAAACTGCTCCACGCTATGGTAATATTTACTTGTATGTCACAGTATGGCTACAGACTGCCTGATAGTGAGGAAGGAGTGGTTTACGTCACAGTCAAGTTCGGTCGTTGGTTTTCTGAGAGTTTGACATACCCAATAATGTGTGTCAGGGCGAGACGGCCAGTCTTTCTTCGCCAACGAGAGCCAGAGCGAGTCCTGCTTCAGGTATATTCAGTTGAATTAGTGAACTATAACTAGTTTGGTAATTAGGCCTAATTGATAAACTGTTTGGACATCAGTTCACTGAGAAGGTGATACAATGAACGGTGTGTATCAGTGGGGGGGGGGGGGATGGGTGGGATGTATCCCCCCCGAAAGATTTTATATTTGATTGGCTAAAATAAATACTATTAATTTGAGCCCATTTTAGAGCTCAAATACGTATAAAAATTGTAAGCGCTATAAAAAATTAGGGGTGTGCGATGCATCGAAAATGCATCGAAATTTCGATTCGATTCGATTCGATGCATCGAATCGCGATTCGATTCAGCGGTGGTCAAAAAACTATTCGATTCATGAGGGAGTCAGTATCCATATACGAAAACGCCTGCAGAAAGTCAATGCAATACCCGCAATACAGGAGCGCGTTGCTGTTGCGTTTACTTTACGAAGGCGTTCTTATTTAATACATTCTTTGCATTAAATAGAGCTTTAATTGTTTTATATTATTTTTTGTTTTGACATTGCAAATGATGAGAGGTTTTGTTTTTTGTCTTAATGTAAGCAGTGTGAGAAATATTTTACTACTGTAAACCTAGCCAAAACAAGATATGTTACTCCAAAATCATTTTAAAAATAAGTCTGAAAAATTGTTACTTAATACTTAACTAGTAAGATTAATGTTATAGACTGATACATTTGGTATTTTTGTAAGGGGTCTGTTCGGGCAAACGAAAAAAAAGGATAATTTATTTCCAAAGAAACACTTATATTATTATATCTATTATTACAGAGGAATTAAAATGTTCAAATGAGAATTAAAGATTAAGTTGGCTCACGACCTAAGAATAAAAACACAACAGAGCAATTGCCGCACTGCCACTAGCCAGAACCAGTCTAGTCGTCTACTGACAAGAGTGACAAGACAAAAGCCGTGACGCAACACTAATAATAGTGCAAAGAAAACAAATTCAAAAGAATAGAAAGACTATTTATTCAGACATACTAGTTTAATCATTTATTGTTTATTTCATACCTAATTAAAAATATATTTTAGTATTTTACATAATAAATTATAAACAAAAGAAATATCTGATATAGTGAACAGATCTGTATCTTGGTTGGATGGGGTTAAAAAAATTTACAACTCACAAATTACAATGAATTAATTTCTTTGAAAATGATCTGTAACAGTTTTGTGTTTTTGAATAAAGAAATATATTTTTTTGTCTCTACTTCCTTGTTTCATCACTTGCATTTTGTCAGCAATTGAAGCAACTGGGTAGCAACCGGGTGGTTTAAGAGGGGAGGGGGAGGGCCTATGACCTTGAATGCACACATCCTTGCCGGGCCTGGCTGGTGAGAGTGATTCATTGTTTTTGTTGACATACTACTACCCTTCCTTCAGAGAAAAAGACCCTGCTGTTCCAAAAACATTGAGGGTAGTTTAAAAACATTGACCTGTGTTGCCAAGGGCACTAGAAGTTAGCATTTAACTTTCTTATCTCTTGATTTAATATTATTTTAATCTTCTATATATTATTTAAGAGTTACTTTTCAGGTAATTAGGTACCCGAAAAGTAACTCTTAAATAATATATAGATGTAATATTGTGATATTGTTTGGCTTTATTTTATGGATTTTTAATTCTTTTCAAAATCAAAATCAGTTGTTTTAGGATTTTAATCTCTTGCAGTAGGTCTATACTACTATATGACATGATATGCATTTTTTACATTCCTTAATAATTATACCATAAACAATGTTTGTGTGTTATTTACTGTTTTTGAGTTTTATAGTAAATTAGTTTACACAATATCTTTTCTTCAATGAGTTCTCCACTTGTCATGTTGCTTAGCCTATTACTATTTTAGGCCCTATAAAAAATAATGCCTATGTAAAGCTGTAGGCCTACTGATGCCAATAATAGATAGTTCTTTATTTACGATGATGTAACAAATAATGTAAGTGTGAGGTTATTATACTAAGGAGGTTAGGAGGCAGGGAATGAATGATACATATTGCATGGTGGAAACATATTATTTTTATTTTCTTCTTACTTGCAGTCCTGAAGCCGGTCCTCAGGCTCTAAACTTGTGATATGTAAATTTATTTCTTAATGGTCTTTTTATATTAAGTACCATTCAAATTTGTTGTAATTTAGCTACCGGTACCTATTTAGTTATTTAAACATTAAAATGAGAATGAATGTCTTGATAAAAAAATATTTTCTTCTTTCTTGCAGTTCAGCCAATTCCAAGTAAAAATTATGAAATAGGCAAGTAAAGCAGCTCACTGGTATTTCCAGCAATACAGGTTATTCTAATCCCTATGATTGAAAATAAATATTTTTTCACATAAAATTCATATGTTAAGTATGAATAGGCCTAATACCACATCAACAAAAATTTGTATTACACAAATGTGGTAAATTTTAATTATTGTTAATCCACTCAATTGACAATTATGAATAGAAAAATACCGTATCGCTTCGAATCGAGTTGCATCGAATCGAATCGAAAATCTTTTGAATCGAATCGTTGCTTCGAATCGAAAATTTTTTGCTGCTTCGCACACCCCTATAAAAAATTGTACATTTTTCCCAGGGGGGGGGCTGTCGGACCCTCCTTTTTCAGGGTCAACCCCCCCCCCTCCCCAAAATGTGCAATTTAAAGCCTAAAAACATATTTTTAATTTAAATGTGGTGTGTATCAAGAGAGTTTTTGCCTTTCTTTGCTTTCTAGAGCCAAATCCAGTTTTAATATATTTCTATCAAACCAAAAACAAAGGGATCTTATTCATAAATGGTACGTTATCTCATTACTACTTCTATCTCGTTCTGATAAAAATAAAATAAACTTATTGTTGTAAATATCGTATTACATGTGAATAACATGTAATATGATATTTACAACAATAAGTTTATTTAGACCAGTTATTATATAGACCAGGCCAATAATTATGAAATCCATCTCTATAAAGTGCAAGAAGCATTTCATTTGACAATTGGGGAAACAACATTTTTAGGGTAATTCGACCCTGCTGAGTACGAACCTGCCTGTTGCCAAAGCGAAATTTGAACAGGATGTGCGGTACGTATAAAACATGTTTTAAATAATTAGATAATAAGATAAATGCACCGTTTACAAAATCTCTTTAAAAACAAGATTAATTGTATGGATGAAACTTTCACTCTTAACGAATTGTTTCTCTGTTTCTGTAATGAAAATCGACGTTCGCCTTAAAAATAATAGCAACGTCGTTAGAAGTTGTATCGGCGTTGGTCTTGAGCTCGATCGTTGACTATATGCATTCTAAGTTCTTTTTGCTGTTCAATAGGAGTATTTTGTAGGACGGAGCTAATCATGCTGAAGACTTGCGCGTATGGATTAATATCAACTAAATGTTGAGTCAAAATGTGCATGAGTTCAGTGCTGCAAGAGCCATTAGCATGGTTTAGCATTCTTTCTTGAACAGCGGTTTCAACGTCGTAGATATAAATTTGGGCATATGTGGGATGCTCCCCTTCTGACGAATGTAAGGTGCCAATTTGCACATTTACACACTTAGACGAAAATTTTAGTATATAATATGTTGGGTTAAATCTTAAAACAAAAAAGCCTTATTGTTCACAAAGTTTCCCTGTCGCGTATTAAATATATAGATAGATATGCGGAAACAGAGTTTTTGGCGTAAATATTGTGTGCCATCTTGGAACATACGCCCCCAAAAGTTGATGTAAGTAAATTTTGAGTGTTTCAATGTGTTTGGCATCCGAGAAAACCCCCATAGGCTACAGATATTTAAACCATTATTTTAGGCCAACTAACAAGAGAGATATGGCCGATGTGGGGCAAACAGGGTCCGGCCGCAATCTTGGATACTGCACTTCCGGTTCAAATTTCGCTTGGCAACAGGCAGATACGTACTCAGCAGGGTTGAAGAACCCTAAAAATATTGTTACTTTAGTTGTTTTTGTCCGATTTTGATGAAATTTGGTTTAAAGGTGTAAGGCAGGATAAACTTGAATGAGTTTGGGAACCAGTGTTATCGGACCATGGGAGCAGGGTTTTATGGGGTGAAAAGTGGGTTTTCTCATTTTCGACCCTCAAAACACAACATTTCCCAACTTCTCTACTCTAGACCTTTTTAAAGAGCTTGAAAATCAAATAATTTAGTATACAAAACTGTTTTTGTACAGTTATTGGTATTGGAGAAAATTCAAAACATTATAAATTTAAAATTCCCATATTATTCTTATGGAGAATATTGTAAAATGTTCTAGTTGGCTTGTTTATGGATATACTAGCAGAGTACCCGTCCTTCGTACGGGGTCGGCATATGAGTATAAAACGCTTATTGCAGTTATACTCGAGCTTTGCATTTGCATTTTCAATGGGGGAGGACACAGTTTGATAAAATTTGCTTATTTAAATTTACGGTATACCATAGTATTACACATCTACCATAGTCATAATGTTCTACCACTTCACCTAAACAATAGAGAAAAATAAATTATTAAAAGTTTGCAAAATATCACAAATTATTCATGAAATTAAAAACATAAACATAACTAAACAATCCTACTTTGACAGTTCTCATTGCGGATCACAGTTTTTGTTGCTGCTTGCTGTAGTTATGATAAATGCAAAACAAATAATAGTGCTGCACCCTGTTGGTAAATCTTATAACTTTTTAATGCTTTTCATATCATAGAACCAACTTTTTAGTTGAAACAGCTGACAAAATTCTTTAATTCCCTTTTAATATGAATACTCATAAGGTTAACATGGGAAACTGCAGAGCCACTGGGGCGGAGCCCGAAAGGATTTTTCCGGAAAAAATATGCCTATATGTTAATCGGGAATGTGAGCTATCATCATGCAAAATTTCAGCCCAATCCGTCCAGTCGTTAATGCGTGATTGAACTTCAAACAAACAAACAAACAAACAAACACACAAACTTTCACATTTATAATATTAGTAAGATAAGATTTTGATCAAAATTTTATATAATTTATACTAAGCTAATAATATTTTACTAAAAACACACTATTAGTTTCCTTGTAGCAGCAAACCTAGGTACTCGTTAAACCTAATGTTATTTAAATAGATTTAATTGAAAATCAATTCTGACAAATGGAAATTCGCTTAGTCGGCAGGATTGCTGCGGCGGAGGTATTTAAAAACGTGCCCGCTCTAATACAATTTATTGACTCCTATATAGATTGGATATTTTATTTTACTATATGAACATATTTTAATGTCTCTCATGGGTTAAAAATACCTTTATAGTTATACATTTCTGTGTTTATCATGTGGAAGTATAGCTTATACCTTAATTATCTATATATTAATTTGAAACTGTTTTTCTTTGTCATAGCTATTTTGAGAGAATGGCTGGGTGTAGAAACTCGGTAGAGGTGTCTAAAGAAAGGTCTTGGTCTGTACATGAGCCATCAAAAGAGAAAAATGATGAATTCCCTTGGGGCTCTGCCCCAGTGGCCTTTAAATTCCCATCCCATGTTATTCTTATGGAGGAAAACGGGGTTTTTGTCACAGCTAATTTGAGAGAACGGCTGGGTGTAGAAACTTGGTAGGGGTCTCTAAAGAAAGGTCTTGGTCTGTAGATGAGCCATCAAAAGAGGAACGAGGTAAATTCCCTTGGGGCTCTGCCCCAGAAGCCTTTAAAGTTGCCTCTTCAGATCTGTTTACATTACGACCATATGCATAATTAATTCTACACTACTTTTTAATGAAACAGCTGTTAATATTTAAATTGTGATTTATTGAATTTGTCAAAATGAAGTACAGTATTTGCAATGGGTTTTTCTGATTGATATAAATTGGATTTTCTTCTGCATCGTGTCATGTTTTGCAATATAATGTTCTATTACCAAATCAGTGGAAAATCCTAATATCACAGTAACTCTTAAAATTATTTCTTTTGGAGTTAACTTATATCTATTGTATGGGTTGGTTTCTGCCTTTTTTACCACTTCTTGGAGATTGTACTTAGGTGATATTCGTTTGCATATTGCATCTGTAGACGAAACTTGGGTTGGTGTAATTATTACAATGGAAAAGAGCGAGAAATCCTGGACAATTTGATATGGGCTATAAATAAAACTGAATTAACACTGTTATACATTTCTTGAGCAATCATTGAAATAATCGATTTGCAAACAATGGAATCATAGAAAAAGTCATAGAACACAACCAAGTAGAAGAAATAGAAATAATTTATTTTTCATTTATAATCGTTGTCATAGACAACCTAATGCGGCTATTAGAGGGAAAAATTTGTAGAAAACACTAAAAAAACAAGATAAGCTTTTTGAAAAAAGATAAGATATTTACAAAAGATTTTGATTATATCTTAACTGTTGTGTAGATCGTGAGTATTTCCATAAGCTTTGATTCGCCTGTAATGCTTCGCAATTGCTCGAATTCGAGCAACAGGTACACTAGTTACAAATTAATCTACAGTACATGTTAAGTTTGTCTTATTTTCCCCCCAGATACTTGCAGACCTTCACTCCAAAGTGCCAACCATCTGCGGCTATCCATTTGCAATAGATGCTAAAGTCCGCTACGCAATGCCCAAACTTAATGTCCTTTCTGAGGTTTGTAAGAGTCAAATTTCTTATTATTATATTGCCATTTTAAGGAATCTGTTTTAGAACTCTAATACTATTAGATAATTAAAGGTTTGTTGTAGAATGAAGGTTCTGTTACAGTACTGTATCATAATTTTCATTTTAAGCCGTTATACTCTTTCCTTTGCTTTCACTTTTGTTTCCCAACGTATTTGTCTAACCATGAATCCATGAAGCGTCATTAAAGTACGAATTTCTTTCTGTTCTCAGTGTTTAAGCATTTAAAAAATCTTTTTTTGACATGACTTAGTTATTGTAGGTTATTGTTGTACTCACACACTTGAATCATACGTGTAGAGCTAAACTATTAACTTGATTATATATTGTTTTTAAGGTTTATTGTTTGTTCAATAAGCATAATGTGAAATGAAAAAAAAATAAATTGTGTAATGTACCGTTAGTTAGTTATCCCTTTTAAATTGCATGATTCAACTTAAAACAGATACTTTACCCAAGCAACTTGACCGAGGTCAAGCCTGAGCGAAAGAAGGAGTACATAGAGGAAGACAACTCGGAAGCTAGCCAGAATGTAAGCATGTGTGGCCAGCCAGTTACCCAGTACAGCCAGCCAGTCAGCCAATATAGCCAGCCAGTTAGCCAATACAGCCAACTAATCAGCCAAACCCTTATGAGCAGACCAAGAAGTCAAGCGGAGAACAAAGTACCGGTAAGTTAAACAGGACAGTAACAGTTAAGCCCGTAACAATATTGAATTTACGTATCATACTACCACTGTATTTTTTAGGGATAAGGAACTGTACAGTGTATAATGATCATCTTCCTTTAATCCTGGACCTACTATGAAAGTTTGAAAGGAATATACAGTTTACGTGATGAAAAAAGAATCCAAGAAGTGAGATATACTAACAACACTGTTTGTCTTCTTTGTTTATTATTTCTTAGTAAACTTCTTTAGTGGATGTAGATTTTACAATTTATTTTTGTAATTTTTTAGCGCTTAATTTGCTTATTGTTTACAGATAAGAAGTCAAAGTCCTCCTCCTTTTCTCCCCCGCCTCTCCCAACTTCTACCACCTGCTCCAGTTAAGCCTGTGTTTGTGCCTAAGTTCACCTCTCGCACAAAACCAACCACCTCCACCTCCACCTCAACTCATACGTCGTCTGCTTCTCCTCCTCATGCACCGACTATGTTTTGTGGCACTCCAATGAAACCAGTCTTTGGCTTGGCTCGGTCATCCACAAAACTACACTCTGACACAGTAACTTTTTTTGTGTTTTATTGTTGTAGTTTGTATTGATTTGTTTATCAAATCAAAGTTTAGTAAAAATATAAAACAACTTTTATATAACGACAGTTTACAACTAGGAGTTCTGGGGATTGAAACAAATTTTGAAGTAAGAACGTGACTGGCCGTCTCGCTCTGACACGCATTATTGGGTATATCAAACTACTAGTGAAGTTTAATTGATATGTTAATAAATGGCAACTGCAGTCTATGAATATCCCTTGCTAATGAATCTAAATTTACAATAATAATAATGATAATGTTTTGAGATATTTTGATAAATATCAACACTTTTTGCTGAAAGGTGCGTTACATGTTTAGTGAGAAGTTTCGATTTTGGGTTACTAAAAGCAATCGGGTTTAGGGATCTAACCACTAACATACTTAACTGTACTTCGTTAATACATTTTCTATTAGCTTTTCAAAACAATTTGGTTGTTTACTGAAGATTCTTTTGTTTCAGCCATTGTTATTCGAATTACTGAAGAAAAAGAATACTTCTGCTCAACCTTCCTTTGGTTCTCCAAAAACAAACCCTATGTCCAGACCAAAAAAAGTGAAAACGCTATTGAATTTCCCTGATAATGTAAGTTTGCTATTTTGTTGTTGTATCGTGTCAGCAGTGTTAATTGTTATTGTATAGTAGCCGCCACTTAAAACCTGTAATTTTTAATGGTGGATATGGGAAATCTAAATTCTTAAGGAATGAGTTGGTCATACACCACCTTGGTTTGGGTCTTAGAGCCTACTATTAAAGATTTAAATCAGACTAAAATTATCAAGCAATATAGTTGGAGTTCAAAATGTTGTGGTTTTAACTTCTTTAAAAGCCTGCACCCACTTGCACACATTACTGTCACTAGTCATTCATTAAGCACGGGTCACACCAGGCTGCTCGCCGCTGGTGATCAGCAGCTGGCACCAGCATCACCAAGCCGGCTGTGTCAGCTGATAATTTTTTGGTCACATTACCCTGATAGTAGCGCTTCTTTCAATTCGCCGCTGATGTCAGCCTAATGTGACTCGTGCTTTATGTTAGGACTGTAAACTTCAGCAATCTGCCGATGAATTTCTGCTGCTGAAACGTTTCTTGCAGAAATAAGCCTTATCACTAAAACTAATGATAACCAACCGTATCACAAACTGTACTTCACAATCGGCGGGCCGATCAATTGTCTTAAACATTGTGAACTGACACTATAAACAGCACACAACAACAGTAACAACGCTAATGGCGGTGTTTGACGCGCAAGGCATACCAGGAGTCGGTGTGCATGAGTTTTTTGTCCTTGGCACCCAATTCAAATAGTTACAGCGAATCGTACCTTACTTTTGGAATAACCCTCGTACTATGCTGCAAAGGCTGGGTAAACTCAGTACTGACTTAGTAGCTGAATGGAGTCAAATTCCCCCTTCTTTTCTAAGGTTTCTGGTTCAATCTTCAGTTTTATTGTTGACCCAAATAATCTTTTTTAGACCAACAAGAAATCAAGGAGCAGGCCACAACTACAACTAGACGTAGACGTGAAAGAACTTGCAAGGAAAAAGGGAGGTTTGGACAAAGTGAACACTACTACGCTGATAGCTTATCTGCGAGAGGTCGGTGTTCATTGTAAGATCAAAGACAAGAAAAGTGACTTGGTCAACAAGGTGTTGGCTCACCTACACCTGCTTGCTGAGACACCTGCGTCTGCGACCCACACCAGCAGTCAAGAGATGTAGTGTCATGCTCGCATTACAGGAGTAATAATACATTGTTTGGGAGCCATAATCTGTGATATTTGAGGTACTAATCTTTGTATTTAGATTAGGTTAAGTTACAACCTTTGTTTGGAGGCTTTAATGGCTTGTGTTGAAGATCACAACCCATAGTTGAAGATTGCTGCTGGACATTAATGACTTTGAAACCTCAGTGACTAGGCTGATCCTTTAGTTAGCTACTGAATATGTCTCTTCAAAGGTCAATACGTCTGCAGCAATCTTAAACTAACACTATGGTTAACGTTGAAGACTTCTTTAGATTCTAATATTGAGTTACAAAGTTGGTATACCAATGTATAAGATTCGCCTGTGATAACCAAGGTTATAGGAAAAGTTAACACATTTTTTGTCCAGTTTTTGTCTTTATGGTGTAAATAGTTGTGTTTAGTTGTCAAACGAGATTTGTTAAAGGTTAGAAGTTACACAAGGTATTGATGGGAAAATCAATTCATAATGTGTTACATTATAATTATAGAATATACGAGAAAGGTCTTTTGTAGAAGGATTGGAGTAAAGATTACTGTTTTAAATATATAATATTTCCATGGGTAAAGAAAATAATTTAAAATCTTTCTGAGTGTAGTTTTACTGATGATTAATAATGTTGTCAATACTGACTAGTTTGTATGTATTTTGAAAATGTGTTAACGTTCTTTTGCTTTTCTTAGTAATATAAAAATATTGTCTAGGAACTATCCCCCAACCTTGCTGTGTGTGGTTTTGAAATAGTAAACCAAATTGTCAAAATAATTTAATTGTTATCTTTGTAATACATACAATCCATGAAATTGTTTCAAAATAAAATGTTTAAAACTTAACCTAATTTTGTCTTTATTAAAGCCTATATCTGAGTTGTTCGGAGAGTTTGTATTCCTGCCAAGATACGGAGTTGCGATGAAGCTTTGTCAATCCCCATTGCTGCAAGATCATGGACGGTCAGTGAGAGAAATGTCCAAATGTCAAGCTAGAATAATGAAAAAACAACATTTAGATGTACTTCAATTAACTATAACTATAAAATGTTGTTAAATGAAAACTTTCATACTGTTCGGTATTTAATCGATCTCATGCCCACCAGGCGTAGATTAAAATGCATCAGCTGTCGCAATATTTATTGTTTACAATCTGACCTGTCAATTGGACACTGTTTATTGTATGTTTATTGTGATACTGTAAACAAACATATTCATCTCACCGTTCAGTCAAAACGGTTTATAATGTCATAGACACAACATAAAATAATACTGTTTACAACCAGACAGAAAAATCCATATAGTGTGAAAGGAGCGTAAGGTTGTAGGTTTTGTTGTCAGACTAAGTAAAATATAACCTTACTTTTGGTAGCATTTAAGTCCTGTAAAGCAATTTAATAAATGGCTCTAAATTTAAATGATTGACTCTTCAAAATGTTAAAAATATCTGAAAATTCCAAAGGCATGAAAATTTTATAATTATTAAATAGGTTTTTTTAGTTAAACTGCAGGGTATTTATATTCCTAAAAATTATAACTCTATTAAGTATTCCTTCCTTTTAAGGCAGCGGATTATTTGTAACTTCTGGAAGTACCAGTACTCACCTCTTGCTCTTTAAAAACAGGGAAAAATTCTTCTAGTCCTAAGTCTTTCAACAGTTTTAAAAAGTCAACTCCATTTTGTTTATTAATATTCAAGTCATCATAGTCATCTTCATCTGCCAAAGACTTGGACCTCCTAAAAATCAAAGTTTTTTGTTAATTACCGGTACGCAAAAAAATTATTCAGTCCAAACTTTTGACTGCTATCAAGTCAAGGACTTCTTCAGAACTTTATTTTGTTACTGTACCACAATTCTCAATGAGGGAATTGGTTCTAAAAATATGTTTTTTCCATAAGTTGAAGTTAAGTGTTTACTGTATATAATATTCTTTCCTTTTTCTTTAAAAAATGTCATTTGTAGTTTGTACTGTTGTGAAATATTTTAATTAATTAGTGACTGCTTTTAAACAAAACTTGGCACAAGTGTCCTAAGTCAAAATCAAGGAAGATCCTCCTTTGAAAACAAAAAACAGATCATTATTTGGACTAATGATTTATGATTATTTTTGGAGCTCCTCAGTGAAATTAGGAAACTAACTACTGCTTACATTATGATTTGTTACACAAATAAATTCAGCTGAAAAAGGTGTATTGTTTTTGTATTCATAACCATGCATTTCTCATGCCATTTCTAAACTTTATTCATGCTAAAAAGTTCCTAAAGCAGAACATTAATGTTTAAATTAAATTTTACCTTTTAGTAATTTTTTTAAGCCAAGATGAAAACCCATTGACAGATGTGAGTTTCCTCTTGCGTCCCTTGCTTGGTGTCTTAGTTACAAACCTCCTCGGAGTCGCAATAGTTGCCAGGTTGTACTGACAGACCAATCCTCTACTATCTGGAGTCCTTTGTTGTGGAGATAGAATAAAAACACTCTTCATGGATGGACTGGAATACTGTTTATCCTCATTGATCTCATCATCACTATTCTTAAACACTGGACGGCACTGAGCGCTTTTACCATCTCTTGGAGTATCAACATACAATTGGTTGGTAAAAATTGGATCTATAGATTCAAAATCTGTGTCTTCAACTTTTTCAAAGCTAAAGCGGATGTTGTGCGTAGGTGTTGTAGGGTTGAGAAGTAGGAACAGCTTTCTATTACCAGCCGCTAGAGCAAGTTCTGATGCATTTTGTCCCAATGGACTCATTACGAATGGGTCGGCTCCGGAATCCAACAACAGTTTCGCCAACTCACAATCTCCTGAAGTCATGGCGACCAGCATTAGAGGAGTTACTCCTGTGATTGAAAATACACAAGTTTAGTAAATTGTGAAATACTAAAATTAGCTTGCTTAAGGGTATTTTGGATATCTAATTAAGTTTTGAGCAGGTTATTCTTTTAAAAATCCTCAATTATTTGAAAATATATAGATTTGAAATATCAAATGAATTTTGTGATTAGTTCAAGCCCACCAACTAAAACTGCTTCTGAGGTCTTTGACACAGTTGGTGACTTGGCTCACTGCTGCTACAGTGCCATAGTTGCTAGTTATTGCTAATTGTACTTAGTAAGTACAGTAAACTGCAGATGCTTCCAGTGGTAATCAAGTCAAAATTTACTTACACGTAGAGTCTAATATGACCGATTAACCATCTTTGAAATGTTCAAACTTGTGAAAACATTAAATATTATTTGTAAGTTACAGCTTCATGGTCACATCCTGTAAATATTTTGGGAGGAGGTAGGAAAAGAAGATTGAGAGGAGCTAGGGATCAACAAGGATTGTTCAAGGGCTTACAATAATCATTAACACTGGACGGATTGTAATATACACAGTACACACAAAACGTAGCAAAAAGTGAAACCCAGCATAAGTTCTTACCTTTGAATATATGATTGATTTCAGCTGAAGTATTTTGTAGAAGCCATTTTACTGCCTGGTGTAACCCATTAGCACAAGCCACTAGTAGAGACATGCTACTCTCTTGTGGTTTCATCTCTGATGACAAACTGTTGTACAACAACAGCTGTAAATCCTCCGCAAACATGAGAGTTGCAATTGTGAAGGCTGTAACTCCTGGAAAATATTGTACAACATGTTCAATTGCAAAATTTTGAATGTAGGCCTACTGTAATAGATACAAGGTAATATTTCAAGGCTTTGGATTTATGCAAAGGAAAGGAAGAAACAGGAGATAATTTTTTTTAATTTGTGAAATATGAAATCATTGAAGAACCTCAAATTAAACAAGATTATTGAGCATTATCCCATTAAAAATGCTAAAAAAACTAACTATGGTTATAGTCCTCGCCACCCTAAGTTGAGGCAGCCCAAGGCCGCACGGCGTATTTCTAGTGCGGCCTTTGGCTGCCTCAAATTAGGGTGGCGAGGACTATACCTACTTTCCTCCTTTGCATCACATAGTGTCATTTCCCTTTGATAATGACTGTTGTTCAAGAATTTCTATGTTCAAGTGTTAGGGTTAGGTGTTTCATATACCTTGTATTATAACCTTAGGTTAATTGGTCAGTAATTTCCTTATTTAAAACCATTGTAGTTTGAAAAAGAAATTATATAGTTATTATTACAAAAAAATATAAAATATATTAAAATTATATAGGGTTGTTGTCTTATGTTTTGATTATTATTGATGTTAAGGGTAGACGAAAGAACTATTTTACTAATATAGGACAAAGGTACTTTTATATGAAACGTAAAACGACACTTGATATCTAAGAGGTACAATGTAGTACTTACTAACAGGCACAGTAAATGGTACTTGCTATTTGCTACAGACAACCAACGGCTCTGGCAAATTGAAAAGACAATGCGCTACTTGCTAATTACGACTTCAACAAACCATGATAGTTGCAGATGGAGACATTTGCACCTTTACACACCAACTCCCTTGCAATGTCATGGTGTCCGTTATGTACTGCATGCATGAGGGGTGTCCATCCCAGCTGATCCACATCGTTCACATCTTCCCCTTCAGCAAGTAGCTCTTTCAGCCTCACCCCATTGCCTTCAGCTGTTGCCTGGTGGATGCTTTCACCATCACACTCCTTCAGAATTAAAACAAATTGTAAAAATCGTGGTTTATGGTTTTAAATATTTTTATTATATTAATTTAGGTTACAAAATAGGTTGCTTTTGGATGCAAAATTTAGAATCTTGGTTGGAATAAGATATTTTAAGCTACGGTAAAATAAAATTGAGGGATTTATATGTGGAACTTTGACATCATTATATAACTATTTTTGAAAGAGGTAACCTATTTAGTTCTTGGCTTGAATACCCAAACAATCATTTTGTAGTATATAAATGAACAAAATATATTTAGCTCTAATGTCAACTAGTTGTGGGCTTTTTGTGTTGAATACACAAAAAATGTGCAAAATTCTATTGCCATACCCACATTTTTAAACATATGTAGGTTTTTAGTTGCAGTTAAATTGTAAAAACATTGTATATCAACAATTAAAAAATATATATATAATCAGTCTTACGCTATCAGGCTTATAACAAAATAATATCTAGAAAAAATAAACGTGCCTAATCGTAAGTACTGTAAATCTAATCTCTTTTGTTTAACCTCAAAATGTTAAGAGAAACATGAAGGTGATTATGGAAAAATTGACATTTTTATTTTTACAAAACCTCTGTAAATAAGAAGACTTATGTTTTGATAAAACGTGAATGCCATCATACATTATGTGTCACATCCTATTTCACCTTGTAATATATTTTGTACTAAAAATCCAGTGTAACAAGAACTCTGTCAGAACTTGAAGGTAAAATTAATGTGGAAATATAACGAACATCTAACATTCTATAGCATTGTTATTTATGACAAATATTACCTCATTCATCTTTTATCATTGTATCAAACTGACAATCACATTTCAAAACTCTCTTAACCTCATCTGCTTGAAGTAGGAAGCTAGCACTTCTTAAAAACAGCAAGTAACTCTTTTCTTATCAGTCCTTCTGGATGCAAGGACAAAGTTCAATTTTTACTAGCCAAACAAAACAAATCATAAGACCAGGAGAATATCTATGTTAAGTTTTTAATTTTGCAATTTTAAAGTTACTGGTAGTCAATGACCACAAGCATTCTACAAGATTTAATAGAGCTTTGAATAGTGGTTGAGATAGTGTATTAATTCACTTATTTTACATAATATATCTAATAATATTATTGGTACTTTATAATGTTAATCTATGATTTAAATATCATTTTACCATATTGAGAAAAGTTGTTGTGTGTTCATTATTAGAACATAATTTAGACTTTCAAAACACTTATCAAAACTATTTTAACATTTTTTAAAGTAATGTGTGCATGACTAATTCTTGAGACGACCAACAATTTTTCACATTACAAATTTTAAAACGTCAAAAGGTGTATTGTTTTTATTCAGTTTTTACAGAGTTTACAAATGTTGTTACATATGCTCTAAAGGGTTTTCAACATTTTGATAATTATTTTTTTATGCTGAGATTATTAATTGACTACCTACCTAGTATCTATCCATACAATTTCTTAGGTGGATTTTTTTCTTATTTGCATTCATATTATTAAAGTCATTAAAATGTGGACAGGGAAAATTTAATAGCAATTTTTTATATATTGCATAGTACGATTATGCTGGTAATATTGGCATCACCAGCTATTGTACTTCTGTTATTAACTTTGACATTGATGTCTGTAGTGACTAGTGATAAAGCCACTTATCACAGGCTTTTAGCTATGTTGGTATACACAGTCTAATCTGAATGATTGCTTTTCATGTGACAGTGTTGGCTGTGCTGGTTCCTATCATTACACAATCAGTAAACAGGATTGCCAACCTTGAGGCTGATTGTTGGGAGGAGTCAAGAGCAGATGCACTAGCAGTGTGGACACTTAATTGAACACAATGTAAGTTGGACTTTGTTGTTAAACTATCTGTGTTGGGTGAATAGCAGTAGGAAAAGAAATGTATGGCCTGAGACCTCTAGTTGATCAAGTTTTAATCAATGTAATGTCAAGCAACAAAATATTTTTTGTTAATTTTAATGATGGCTAAATAAATACAAAAGAAAATGCCATATACTAGTCACTAAAACATACAATAGTCGTACTAAAGGAATTCAAACCTCAATTTTTATTTATAACAAAACTTTAATTTTATTTATATAGATGTATCTATCTGCAAAATTAAAATACAACCTTCTTCCTCGCCCTATGATTTTTTTACGGTATTTTAAAGAAAAGCAAAAATTTGAAACTATTCTATTAAGTAAGTGTTTTTAAAAGTCACTATAATCTTAAGATTATTTTTTTAAACTGTTGACAAACAAGTTAACTGTAATTAATTGTTCATACAAAATGTTTTTGCATCTGGATTAGTGATGATTAAAACAGCCAACATTTTTTCATCCCTGGACCAGAAACCATCTAAAATATTAAGTAACAATTTCCAAATATCATTTAATAACCGTTTTTTTTTGTGAATTGAAATTTGGTAAATAGATTAAGTTTAGGAAATTTGTAACGTGATATAGGTATCTAATAAATAAATATATATATATATTAGTTTGCCTTTGGTCCATGAATAATACCTTTAAAAGGTTGGTAGAGAGTACGGGGACACTATATATATAGATACAGTTTTGATTACAGTATGTATTCTTTTTAATCCTAATTATAATTTATTCCTCGGCAATTTTTTTTTTTTAATTTTTTACACTATAACTTATTTAAAATTATAAAAAGTGTTTAATTTTCAAATAATAATGCACAATATAAATATATTAATATTTAACTTCAAGTCACCCTTTAATTTGATGGTTTAGGTACCTACTGAATCGTTTTTAAAAATTTAACAAAATATGGATTAAATCTTCTTTATAGAAGCTTGTGAATAAGATAGTAAACAAAGTCACTGACATTAATGCACAGACCCAGTTGATTAGTCTTTTTAGTTGCAAATTAGCACAGTGTAACACAATGATCATTTAGTGCGGGAAATTTTCCTTATTTTACTTACTATATATCATTACAAGTACATAAAGTGGTATTCATCAGTGCAATTCAACATAGTTTACAAGTGATGCGTGTGTAGACCACTGGAACGTCCAACAATGCAAGGCCAGAGTTATAATTGTAGCAAGTGTCAGAAATAGTCTCAAACACACTTTTCATCACAATGTGAATATGGGATGGCTACATGAGTTTTGAACCAAAGTTTCCAACAATCCAAAGAACACAATAGTTCATTCTTTTACATTTTTATGTTTCCAAAAGATTTTCAGTATTCACAACACACATGTTTTCCACAAGAAGGCGTTGGAAATTATTACGGAGTTTAAAATATTTTGTTAACAGCAGTTGTTTTATGCATCAAAATCACTTATCAACAATTTGTTTTAATTAAAAAATTTTGTTGTTAACTCTGTTAAATCACTGTTTTTTTATTACAAAAATACTATCATAAGAAAATGTATGGTTTGCTTAGTAGGTAAATATAAAACTAGTTGAAAAAATGAGAACAGTAAATTGAAAGAAAAATACCCCCGCCGCAGCAAACCTGCTGTCTAAGCGAATTTCCATTATTCTGAATTGATTTTCAAATAAATCTATTTAAACAAAATTAGGCTAACAAGTACCTTGGTTTGCTGCTACAGGGAAACTAATAAAGTGTATTTTTAGTAAAATGTTAATAGCTTAGTATAAAATAAATAAATTTGCCAAATTTAATTAAAATATATCCATAAACAAACAAATTAGAACTTTTTACAATATTCTTCATAAGAATAACATGGGAATTTTAAAATAACATTTTTTTAAATTTTCTCCGTAACTAATAACCGTACAAAATCACTTTGATGTACTGAATTATTTGGTTTTTTAAGCTCTTTAAGAAGGTCTAGAGAGAAATTTTGAAATTTTATGTTTTAGGGTCAAAAATGAGAAAAACCAATTTTTACCCCATAAAAGCCCCCATAAAACCCCGTTCCCAGGAAAAATGTAGTTTTATACATTCAAGAAGCTGAAACAAGTCTTATCTCTATTTCTGTCTGTCTGTCACGGCCAAAGAGGCATTTTACGAGGCCTTCTCCTGAAAAACGAGATTATCTATCAAGATCCAAATCGTTTTAATGTATTCACTGGATTGGCGAGAGTGTCTTTCGCCATTAAAATATGGCCTCACTACTTTGTAAATAAAATAAGACTGTTTTTGGTAAAATAATAAAAATATATATCCGGAAGTTGATCATAAATCAAAGAGGGAACACTATATTCTAAGTATATTTTCAGACTTGCTGATAAATTGCTGATTAGTCATTGCCAACCAAAAGCATGTATTTTAAAATGTAATATAGAAATAAGACTATATTACATTTTAAAATACAAAATAATAATTTTTTCCAACTAACATAGCACTTTATCTTTCAACATGTTTGAACTGTTTCAAGCCTTGTGCAGTAAGTGCTCCATTCAGCAAAACGAATGACTTGCATTATCCAAGGCCTCTCGTCTCAAGATCCAAGGTTGTCATTGGAAACAAGAATAAAAAATCTCTTAGTTTCTTTTCATTGTATTTTTACTTTTAAATCTTCAATGAATAATAAATACAGGGTTGTCCCAAAAAAATGGATCAAATCTACAGCCATGGGCGCTCGCAGGATTTGAAACAGGGGGGTGCATAGGTCTAATGAACATTCGGGGGTCTGAAAATGTCTGTAAATATAGTGTTTTAAAACGTATTTTTACACTATTTTGTAACACATAGAACCAACCAAAACAAAATATTGTGCATCAAGTCATCATTTATATACCAACATTAAATTAATAAGCTATTTGAAATTATTATGTATAATTTATATGGTCAAATCCACAAACCAAACAACTATAAAGAAAAATAAAATTACAGTCGAATAAAGCCTCAATAACAGCCAAGAAAGTTTATGTTTTGTTTTCTGAATAGTAGTACATAGAATAGCACATCTGTGAGTCAACTACTTATTTGGTTTAAACATAAACTTCAAACATTTCTTAGACATGACCATTATGAACGTACTTTTATAAATTCCTTAAAAACCTAATTGATTACAGAACATTATGGGTATTAAATTTATTTCTTATTTTTTAGCCAGGGGGGTGCAAGCGCACCCCCTTGCACTCCTCTGTGGGCGCCTATGTCTACAGTTAGTATACAAGGTGTGGCTAGAAAAAAACAGAATTTTTAGTGTAACTGTTTTAATTTTTTCCCTTTACAACTTTATCCTTATCACCTTCAATATACACTATATACTCCACTATCCCTTCATCTTTTTATTCAAATTTCCCATTGTTCAAAACAGTGTTTTAAGTCATTTTCTGACAGCATGTTCAAAGTCTCCGTCGCTTTTTGTTTCACAGCTTCCACAGTCTCTGGCCCCCTTCAACGCCTCCTTCACTTTTGGGAACATAAATAAATCACGCAGAGCTAGGTCTGGTGAGTAGGGTGGATGTCCCAACAGAGGGATCTCATGCTTGGCCAAAAATGTCTTATCCACGACTTGTTCTTCCACAACTCTGGCTGCTTTCTTTGTACTCCCTCACGAAGGGTAGTCAAAATCTCAAGATAGTATTCTTTATTCAAGGTTTGACCTCCAGGAACCCAATTTCATGCAAAATTCCATGGATGTAAGAAAAAACAATCATTATGGCCTTGAATTTTGATTTTGACATTTGAGCTTTCTTCATTCGTAGTGAATTCAGACTCATCCAGTGCATTGGTTTTCGCAAAGTTTCTGGGCCATAGGTAAAATACCATGATTCGTCACACACAATAACTCTTTCCCACAGTCCAGGATCTTCTCTAATGTTTTTTAAGATGTCAGATCAGATGTCAGGATTTTGGCACCATTTTGGAACACACTTTTCTCATATTGAATTTTTCATGTAATATTTGCCGAACAGATTCTTTGTCAATTCCCACAGTTTTGGCAACTGCACGGATACTCAATCGACGATCTTGACAGATTAATTTGCCTATTTTCCCTATACTATTGAAGGTGTGTACTATAACCAGACAATCATTGATGTATTAAAAAAATACAACAGTCAATATTAATCCAACCATTCGTACGTGGATAATTATAGGAATGCACTGTGGATGCGATGCTCCCTGGTGTGGATTAACGTCCGCACTAGTGAGTACTACGACTATCCGCAGTACTATCCTAATAATTAGACTAATTCGTTAATTACAAGGAAAAAATGTGGTTTGGATTCCACAATAAACTGTAGGTCCCTTAGTTGCTATTAGCTGTATGGGCTATTAATTAACAGCTGTGTCTAAGGAACATGTCGGCCTTAGTGTCTAACAAGACTACAAGATCGCGCCACTCATCCTACACTCATCCTTCACTCATATTTGGGTTAAAATACGCACATAGTGGCGTCCCCATCTTAAATAATTGATAATTGATAATTGATAATTGATAATTGACTGAAAACAAAAGCAGTGCTTCAGAGTTAAGGGAAACTGTGTAATGTCATAGACCAACCAACACAAGTAGTCTTCTCATCCCATTGTAAATTTTCAAGCTTGTTTTTTGTGTCTAGTTCATGTCCAGTGGCACTAATCGCTAGTGTCAACAAAATTTTGTTTCTATTATTTTAGGTTTAATTCCTCTTGATTTTTTCTTTATTGTTTGGTTACAGCATAGTCAATAGTTACGGTATATATACCTTATATATTAGGGGACGAGTTATTGTTTATGATTACTGTAGATCGTTTTATTTTGTAAGACAAGGTTTTAAATGACTGAAATAACAAGAAACAAACTGTAAACAAAACACAACCTCTACAGTACACGGGATGGAACTAACAATAAAATTGTCTTCAAATGATCCATATAAGGATGAGAAATCTACTAAGGGAGTATGTTTTATCCATGGTGTAACTTTTAACTAATAGTGTTTTTTGACAGTTAATCCTTCAACCTAACAGCTGCTTGTGAGATTAAGATGGAGGAGCAGATAGAAACCGTACTGATAGAGACAAAACTAGGAACTCTGAAAGGCAGAACTCAAACTTCTGCATTTGATGGAGAGAAATACTACTCTTTCCGAGGAATTCCCTACGGAAAGCCACCTGTCGGAGAACTCAGGTTCAAGGTAATACATAAAAGAAATGAATGTTTTACACAATTCATAATTGTCACTACCTTCACTTTTTCAAATTGTATTTTACAATGTTTCATGCATTGATTATTGGTAGATAGCACATCATGTTATGTTATGATGTTGCTATTCAATATTATATGACATCTAGACTTTGATGGTATTAAAAATAAAAGGTATCAGCAATCTGACACATACTTTCTCCCATTAGCTCATCAACAACCTTTATCATGGGTAAGCGATGAGAGTAACTATGGTATTTAATAGGTAAATACAATCTCAAAAGTTTCATTAACTTTTGAACAGTAATTTTAACAGGAATGAAGGGATGCACTATTTTGTTTAGAATTATAAAGAGCATAACAGAAGGATTTCAATCACAATCGGTTTTTTCTCAAAAAATCCATTTTCTGTTTTTTAAAAGGGGTTTTATGGGAAAATAACATAAGTTACAATAACTTTAGAAACATAGTTTTTACAGCGATGGGGGTTGCTCTATGTGGTTTGGAATTATAAGTATTATCACATGCTAATTTCAATCTAAATCGGTTTCTCTCGAAAATAAGATTTTCTCTTATTTTATGGGTTTTTTTAATGGGAAAATAACATAATTTAAAATAACTTTTGAACCGTAGTTTTTACAGAAATGAAATTCTACCATTTTGTTCAGAATTTAAAGGGCTACAACATACTAATTTTTTTTTCAAAATCGTTCGGGCCATTTTTGAGAAAATCTGATTTTTCCGTTATTTTATGGGTTTTTATGGGAAAATCGACATTAAAATTTTAAATTAAAAAAAAATGAAAAAGAGAAGGGAAATTCCCCACAAGGTAGGTGTAGAGGTATAAATCATCTTTTGGGCCATGTTGGCCTTTTAAATATATAGATTGTAATTATCATAACAATTTTGATTGTAAAATGTGATTATTTTTGTCCTTTGTGTTAAGGTTGTATGAGCCTTAGCATGGAAAGTTTATTGTCTTTAACTAAATTCACTATGATTATCTAAAATTAGGTAGTCTTTTAGCGAATTTTCCATATGGGGAATAATCTATTACTGTAGGTCTCATGGTAATATTTGGACCCAGGATCGATTTACTTTTTCATTTTGATGTCCCCAGAAGCCAAAAACCGTTCAAATTCATATTATATATGTGTCCGTTAGCACGATAACTCGAGCAAAAATGATCCGATTTAGATTACATTTTTTAGGTTTTTCTCGTTTTTGACCCTCAAAACAAAAAATTTTCCAAATTTTCTCTAGACCATTTTGAAGAGCTTAAAAAACTAATAATTTAGTATATTGAAGTGTTTTTGTATGGTTATATGTAAAAAATGCCCTTATTATTCTTAAGGAAAAGTATTAAAGTATTAAGTATGGAGAATAATTTTAAACTGTTGTAGTTTGCTTGTTAAGGATATATTTGGATCAAACTTGGCAAATCTATTTATTATATACTAAGCTGTTAATATTTTACTAAAAAACACACTTTATTTCCCTTCCTGTAGGCAGCAAACCTAGGTACTTGTTAAACCTAATGTTATTTGAAAAGATTTAAAAAATCTAATCAGGCAAATGGAAATTTGCTTAGTCTGCAGGCTTGCTGCGGCAGGGGTATTTTTACTTAAAGTCAATATTTTTTAAACATCAGTTAAGGAGATTGCATATAATTTGTCTGGGAGGAGGGGGTGTTTTGTATGTTGTTTGTTAGATGGGCTAAAGGGATCAGTCCCGTTTTTCTCTGGGGGTCGTACCACATCAGAAAGCAATGGTGTGGACCATTGTATATATCTGGCTGGTTTATTGAAATACATATAATAGGTGTTGCTCATTTATGAGCCATCGGTGATCGTTTTAAAACCCCTTTAGAGATATAAATATGTAGAAATTTTTCAGAATAAGTTTCTACTGTGGAAAATTACCTCCATTGCAATTTTCAACCTCAACACTTGAAATTAATTCTAAATACAAATGTTTTAAAAATTGTCACTGTTTTTTTCAGGCCCCTCTGCCCTATGGTGGATGGACAGGCGTGAGAGATGCATTGGAAGACGGACACGACCCTAAGCAGCGTCTGCTCCTGCGACTCCCAGGGACTGACCCCAACAAGGAAACTGATGGAGAAGAGGACTGTCTCTATCTCAACATTTACATAAAGCAGGTTAGACTTTGGTGGTATCATAAAAGCACAGACATTTGGTTTTTAACAGTCTGGAAAATTAAAAGAATCATAGGATATGAAAATGTGATTTAAGATAACAATTAATTTTAATATTAATTTTAATATTTACCTCAGATCATAAGTTCTAGACCTGTTTTGCTCCTTTGTTGTTTCCTACTCTTAAACCAATAAGCTATAAGAAGTTGTAGCTTATTGATGGGACCACATCTGAGGGTGTATAAGGAAGCTTATACACCTCCAGATGTAGTCACTTATTTTTCTTTGCAGTTATAGGTATATGTCAAAAATAATTAAGAGTTTTAATTTTGTGTGTGTGTGTTCCAATCTCAATAAGCCCACAACTCTTATTAATTATATAATAATTTTGTTGAATAGAAAAGGCTGTACATCATTTTCACAAGGTTGGTACTAATGCAATGAACAAATTCTTCAATAACAAATAAGATAGTTATTTACTAATTGATCAACCTAATGCATCAAATATTGTCAATAGCAAACTGTTCCAGCTGCCAGAGAAGAGTGGTCTCAAGAAGCCAGTGATGGTCCACATCCACGGAGGAGGTTTTGCTGGGGGATCTGGAGGCTCAAAGGCTGCAGGACCAGACTACTTCATAACAGAAGACATTGTGTTGGTGTCCTTGAACTATCGATGTGGAGCGTTTGGTAATATTGATACAGTGTAATATGTATACAAATTTGATGTTTTTAATAACATGGCAATGTTTAGCACAAAAATACAAGGAGAACTAGCTATTTTTTATCACCATAGACTATACAAGTAGCCACAGTTATAGCCAGGAGTTTTAAAATGAAAATTAATGTATTTGAATTGTGCCGTCACAAGAGTGTGCTGATATTAATAACTATCTTTTGTCGAATACAACAACTTTTAAGAAAATGCAATTTGTAACAGTAATGCAGGTAGTTTTATTCATTTATGAATGAAATAATTTGGCTGAAGACTATTATGTGATGTGTTTCATTGTCTTGTCAGGCTTCCTCTCTTTTGAAAATGAAGAGGTTCCAGGCAACGCAGGACTCAAGGACCAAACATTAGCTCTCAGATGGGTCCAAGACAACATTGATAGTTTCGGAGGAGACTCAAACAATGTCACCATCTTTGGTATCAGTGCAGGAGGTGCTTCAGTGCAATACCATCTGCTGTCTCCTCTGTCTAAAGGTACTTAACGTATTTTCTTATTTTAAATTTATGAATTGATAAGAAATTATCAATTTATCTTTTAAGTAAGCACAACAGAAATTCTAGGATTAGTTAAAAAAAACTGAAAGCCAGGATGGAGGTAATTAGAAAGATTTTCGCTAAGACGTTTATACTTTGGTCACAGTAAAATATAGTCAGTTGGAACATCCCATCATGTCTGATACTAATTGGCTTGATCCACAAATACCTACTTAAATATATTCCTGTACCAAATTTAAGTAAAAACACCAAGATGTTAAACATTGTACATCTGTTATGCATATAGAGCTTGTGTAAATATTTCATATGATTCCAACTAACCCGGTCATGTTTTATAGGTTTGTTTCACAAAGCTATTATCCAAAGTGGGTTTTGTCAGGATCCATGGGCTTTTCAACCATCACCAAAAAAAGTTGGAATGAAACTTGCGAAAACTTTAGGTTGTACATCAGATGATCCTCATGAAGTATTTGAATTTCTGAAGTCTATTCCAAGTGATGACATTGTTAAAGCTACAGAAGTATTCATCAAGGATGAGGTGAGCTTTTTTAGTTTTTACTTGAACTTACTTGCTATACACCTACAACTTTTTTTACAAGATTATGAGTTTTGTGTTCATAAGATGATAGAAAATAGTTAAATAGTATATTGCATCACTAGGGAGTAAGTAATTCTTTTCGACCCGAGCTCAAGTTTCACACCTGAGGCAAAGAGGAGGTCGAATAATGTACGAGGGTTGAAAAGACACTTTTTGCCCGTATGATGAACTATATTTTTCAGCATATTGCACAAAAATGTTTAAACAACTGATTTGAACACGAAAACACTTATCATGTAAAGATAACCTCTCAAAACAATTTCCAGCTTGTTTTAAATTTTGCTAATTCAAACAATCAGCTGTTGGTTCCATTAGTTCATCTATTAAAATTGTGTTAGTGTAAATTACTACCAATATGCCGAACTAGTAATAAGCTCACAACAATAAGCTACAACCGATCAAAACAATCGATTTAATTAATGTGATCGTGTCGCAGGTCGACACCATCTCTTGTAGTCTTCGTACCGGTTGGGAGCAGGAGACCAATTAAACTCGTGGATGAGGGATCAGATAACACTTTATTACTTAAAAATTCAGCTTTAACAATTATATCGATCAAAATAACACATTACAAATTAAAAATCAAACCGCAACCGACCGAATACTACGAATTACAATACTGAATTTAGACCGTACACGGACTTAGAAGAAAGGAGTAAGAGTAAAAGAAAGGGTGGGACCGTGCGCGCGGACCCGACCTTAGGACCCTACATCACGGCGCCATTTGAGGCTTTGGCGTTGTCAGAGCGGAAGCATCAGCGTGGTTACATGACCATCGTCAGCCAATCAGCGCACGCTGAGCGCTCAGCCCATGATTCAATGTAACAACAGCTGTCCGACTAGTGCTGCGCCCAAACGATTACAACAGGTGCTAATGAAACTAATTGAAGCGAGAAACGAGTCTAGAAATGTAACATTGCTTATCACGATCCACGTGCACTGCAAAGTCAGCGCATTCCAGGGTATATCCGGCTAAGCCACGACGTCTGGTTAGGATTATTGTAGGGTTAGAAAGTAATGAAATGAATTGGAATATGAGTTTTAAAGTTCACTTGGAGACTTATATGAAGTTAAATAAAATACAATATTGCTAAATACGGTCGACACATCAACCTAGCAAATATTCGGTGATAGCCAACGGGCCAGGTTTATGGAGTAAGACCAATCAGCTTAAGCTCAAATTTAACAAATGACAACAAAATGAGGCAAATATGCCAGGCCGTCACAATCGCTTACAATCAAAGTTTACAAGTGAGTTTACAGCAGCCGAATTTTACTCCTTAGGGACTAAAAAAAACGATATACTTCCCAGAGGGAAAAGAGCTATTTTAGACCAGGGCATGTATTAACTTGTTTATTAACTGTTTTACTTTTACTGCAGTATTTACAAAAAATTATGAAATTTGCTCAATTAAATTATTATCATTATCATTCGAGCTGGGGACGCCACCTATATTTTTAACCCAAATAATGTGAGTGTAGAATGGAGTGTATGATGGCTTATCTATCTTTATTACTGACTATAAGACCAGCTGTGTTTCATTAGTCAGCATAATTTATTAAAAGCCCAATGATAAAAGACAGCTGGATCAGTGAATGATTCTTGGAGCTTTTAGTTTCAAGCATTCACTTACTACATTCACTTACTACATTCAATACTCTTTCACAGGACTACATAATGTTGGTCGGATTAGTGTTCTCTCCTTGCGTAGAGGTTGCTGGAGATGACAAATTCCTCCCGGACACTCCTACTAACCTAATGAAGAGAGGAGAATACAACAAAGTACCAACCATTCTGGGAGTGTGTGAGAATGAGGGATCTGTGTCTGCTTTATTTATAATGAGTAAGTCCACTTTAAACCGTACACATACACAACATATAACAAGAGACAAAATATTAGTAACTCTACGTTTATAGAGACCAAAATTTTATGTTTAAACGGTATATCACTTAATGGAACTAACAAAATTGTAATATAAGTCATATAATTAACAAAAAACTTGTTTATTACAAACCAAATACATTTGATCGCTGAAATGATAACAACTCTGTAATGTAAAAGTATGCAACCAAACAAAAATAAGGTACACTATTGTGATCTTGCTTAAGTTGAAGTGCTTAACTCGCACAGCATTTTTCTCCCCTCTAGTCATTGAAACCCGTTGTTCGACTTTGTTGCTCACTGATGAAAAGCAGATAAAAAATTAATATTGGTTTCAAAATGGCTTGTTATATAAAACATTATATGAACTGATTTGATTGACTGAACTGATGCTCTCACACACAATCAAACTCCTGGCTTGAACTTTTACTTCACATAATTTTCTAACCATATTATAACGTTAATTCGGCTTGTTCACCTAGAATTTACAAGTAAAATTGAAAGTGTGGAGCAGGCTTTGTATTTTCACTTGTTGGTTATTAAAAAAAAATATATAGTATATTTTACTAACACTGGATTTATTACGATAATCATGGCACAGTACATGGTAGTGGATCCATACAGTTTCAGAGCCTGTGTCTAGTATAGGATAACGGAAGTCACCGATATACAAAAGATACGTTTCAACACAGTGTTACCGTAACACAACAAATCATATAAGACAAAGAATATGGAATAACTTATAGGTAATACTAATACTTTAATATACCACAGGCTTTACATGAATGGCACTTATACTATAAAGTAAAGTAGGCCCAACAAAACATTTGAATCATTTTCATGAATCATTTTCAGTGTACAAGCTGAGTTTTGACCTCCTCCCCAATGCAATGAATGCCAAGCCAGAAATACTCGTTCCCCCATCTTTGGGGATAAAGCTGGGTAGTAAAGAACATAAAAAAGTACAAGATGCAATCAAGGAGTTCTACTTCAAAGGAAAAGCTGTGAAAAACATTGAGGAATTACTTGCTGTATGTGTAGTATATTATAATTATAGCCTATGTATATTTATTTATTTTATAACGTACACCTGATATCATGAGAGAACTAACGTTTTTTTATTGGCAATTTTCTTCTTTGTTGCAAGAGTGTCACCCAAAAACTAATTAAATTAATTGTTTAACAAATTCTGTTTTTTTACAAATTGAATTACAATATTATGTTAGGCAACTTAACCGACTAACTTGGATAAATATTGTATATATGGTTAAATTAATCAAAAGTGTAAAATTTCTTTTGTCTGGTACAAATTGTAAACATTTTTACACTACCAAATATTATCAAGAGAACTTAAAAACTGAAACAAAACATTATCCTTTGCTTGTCAGATGTGCATTGATGATACATTTACTATCTTAAATGATGACCTGATCCGAACATCGTATGTAAAATTTAGCTACGGTATTTTATTATTTTCTCATAAATATTTTATGGGGAATCAGAATACTGATTTGTTATTGCTAAATTTACTTTTCTACTCTGCAGTTTGAGAGTGACTACCTGTTTAACGTCGGACTTGGTGATACCAGGAGGTACTTGTTGTCAAACTCCTCTCAACCTGTATACTCCTACTTGTTCACGAACCACAAGAACTGTTACTGCCAGTTATTTGCATCCATGATGGGTCCTGACAATCCCATGGCTGCCTTGCTATCTCGTTCAGGTACAGTACATGTGTGAGGAAGAAAATATTCCCAAACAGTGTAACAAACTTGAACATGGACTGAGATGAAAATTGAAATGACCTTGAGAGAAAAATTAAGTTTATTCAGTAAATAAGATTCATCAAGCTACTTTTGTAATCAAATGAAAACCACAGAGCATAGAATAAATATAGAGTCGCCACTCCTTTACCTACAGCTATACCAATAGTGAAGCCGATTTCCACCATCTTGGTAAGAGAGTCAGGCTCGGAACTTTGAAAACAAGGCGTCATTACCACTGTGTTATTCTATGCTACTTTATGAATTAGATGAAGCCACTGCTTCAAGGATACATATAGAGCTATCCGCCCTTCGATATTGACCTAGGACTCTGCCCCGCGAGCTTTCAAAGTTCAGAGGTGAGAGTTTAAGTGAGAGTAAAAGTAAATATTGATTGGTGGTTTCCATGGTTAAATGTAAATGCAGACCGGGCCGGCCGCCATCTTGGTACAAGAATCCTGCTTCACTCCAGACGGCAAGTGCCGCCTCTATATTTATTCTATGCTCTGTGATGAAAACTATGAACCTAAAGAGTCTTTTCATTATACTTGTTACGTCTTTCTAAAAGAACAAATTCTGTAAGCTAAAGTTTTGTAGAAGAATCAGCAGGAGTAGAAGAAAGCTAACACCAGTAAGGAGTAAAATATGTATTTCTGCACATGTAAATTACAAGGCTTTGTAGGCTTTGGCCACACGGGCGGTTTTCACGCAAAAACGCAGTGGGAAAACAGCCAAAAAATATGAGCAGCATTAAATGTAATGGGGAGTGCCACGCAGAGTGTGTTCCTGCAGTAGCGAGCAGTTCATTTCAATGCCACCCTAACTTATTTGTGCTGCATTTGTGCGTGAAAAAAATGTCAGTGTGGCGGCAGCCTTACACACAATGTTTCACAACAGCCAACAAATGCTGCCAAATTGACATAAGCTGATTTTAGAGATGCAAAATGTGTAGCTGTTACCCTAAGAGTTGCATGGCAAAAGTTTTAAAAATCTTGCTTTAGGAATTCCACACTAATCACAACACTATAAGAAATATTTGTAATGTGTTGTATTTTGAAAGCACACAGGGTAGGTAATGTGAGGAACCATAGTAGGAGATGTTAACCTTTTACTAGATATATCACATTTAAAGAGTAACATAAAAAAACATTCATAAGCAAGCCTTAATAACAAAACGTTAACTTTTTTATGAAGATAACTAAAAAAACTGCTATAAGCCTGACATGTGCTAATCAAGGTGACAAGTTAAGAAGTACTTCACCAGAACTAGGTTAACCAGTATTTGAGCTTTCCGATATGTGTACAGCTCTGTCTCCCACTTGGAAATACATTACTATGTTGATCACGGTCAGGTCTGCTGGTGTGCAACTCATGAAAAGTGGTAGAGCTGTTGAGGAGAGGATCTTAAAAGTACATAACAGTATTTAAGAATACATTTATCATCGTGAATAGTGATTTAATTAATTTTTCTGGCGAGTTACTAAGAGTCGTTTACAAGGCTACATTACTCAGAGAACTTAGCTCATATCCTGCTTTCAAAACTAGACCCATCTGTTCCCATCCATGCTTCAAATAAAATCTGGCTATTGAAGCAGCTGATCTTAGTCACTAACAAACAAAGCTACTCAGATCAGGGTCTGACTTAGGGGAGGTACGAATGAGGCATTAGTTCAAAATTCCTCCGTGAACAGCGCTGTAGTAGAGAGTACTTTGGCAAAGAAGGTTTACTAATCGCAAAAATAGTTCTGTTCATAAAATAAAATTATAAATGCCTCAAATTCAATTTTATTATTTTTTAATTATAAAATTAAACTATCATAACCTAACCGAACTAACCAAACTTGCTGATAATGAAATAATATAACAAAAGTTTATTAATAGAAAAAATAATTCTGTTTATTAAATAAAACTAGAAATTGCTCTACTAAAATTTTATAATGACTTAATAATAAAATTAAACTGTCATAACTGAACCAAACCAACCAAACTTGCTGATAATAAAAAAATCTTGGACAAAAAGATAATGCCACGAGCGGGATTTGAACCCGGGACCTTCAGCATATCAGCCCGGCACGGCACGCTAACCATTAGACCACCGAGGCCGATGACTACTGATCGTTTTGTTACGGTAATGGCGTTCCCTCAGCTAATAAGAAGCCCACAGCTGTCATCGTAGCCTCTTCTATACCTCCCCTGAGTAAATACCCTCAGATCATCTCTCACCATGGTGGAAGGAAAAAACATAGGTGTGCTATTCCCGTCATACTCTGACGTCACTCGGATTACAAACAAAAGATCACCTGATTGTAACTGTCAAATTAGTATGTATTTGTTTTGATTTGATTGTTATTGTTTTTTATAAAAACACACATTATACAAACAATAGCAACCAAATCAAAACAAATACATGTACTAATTTGACAGTTACAATCAGGTGATCTTTTGTTTGCAATCCAAGTGACTTCAGAATATGACGGGAATAGCACACCTATGTTTTTTCATTCCACCATGATCTCTCACCATTTTACACTCATATTTGGGTTAAAATACGCACCCTGGTGGTGTCCCCATATCAATGATTGATAATTGATGATAATAATAATTTTAAAATGCAAATGGTCTGTTTACTTAGAAACTTGCCATGCAGCCGATTTTATGTACCTCTTCAGAACCACCTCCTTCTTGTCATTACCAGAATTGACAGATGAACACAGGGAAGGGATTTCCAAACATGTAAAAGCATGGACTACCTTTGCACGAACTGGGTGAGCAAATTACTCTTTATATATCCATTCAGTAAAGTGTGATAGACAATTAATATTTTCATTTTAATAGAGGCCTGCATACTTAACAGTAAATTTTATACACACTCAATTTCTTTGCTCAACAAGTGGAAAAAAGTTTACAATTTGTTTATTGTAAAATAAAGTTGTACCTACTTCAGTTAATTACTTTTTCAAACCACATGATGAGACCTCCAAAGCCATTTTTATACCATTCAATGGCCAATATATCGGCCCCAGGGCGCAATAGCTTAATTTAGGACTAGTAGTTTACCTATGATAACCAAGCTTGATGAGAGAGGAACAACTATAACAATCCACAGTAGGTAGATTATTTGTGAGTTACATCTAAAACCAGGAATTTTGCTCATCTATATAAATAAAATTAGAGTTTTGTCTGTACATTGCTTAGAATAATGAACTTTTTGGTTATTTTTACATTTCATAGGTCAGAGAAACCGAATCAAACCTTATCTCAATTTCTGTCTGTCTGTCTGTCTGTCTGTCTGTCTGTCTATCTGTCATTCTCTTGGTAACGCTAAAATACGCACTTTATTACAACTACTCCTCAATAACTATAGCACTGTCCCGCCTGAAACTTATTTTCCAAATACTATACATATATGAGATGGTTTTAGACGTATTTCATCGAATATGAGACAGTTAGATATTTAACAGTAAACCCTTGAAAATCAAGTTTTTGTCGATTTTTGACGTGGAATTTCTGGAAGCCCATGTTAACCTTATGAGAAATGAAATTATTGAATCTTAACAGCTGTTTCAATTAAACAAGTTGGTTCTGTTCTGTGATGTTCAATAGCATTAAAGTTACAAGGATTACCAACAGGGTGCAGCACTAGCACTATTATTTCTTTTACATTTATGACAACAGCTAATTTGCAACCTGGAGGCGAGTGAGCGTAGCGAACGAGCTAACCTGAAGGCAAGTGAGCGTAGCGAACGAGCTAACCTGAAGGAAAGTGAGCGCAGCGAACGAGCTCCAACATACAGGTGAGTGAGCGTAGCGAACGAACTTCAACCAGGACGTGATTGAGCCATGCAAACGAGATCAGATAGTAAAAATAAAAGTAAGCCTACCGTTATAGGATCGACCGGCAGACACAGAGGTAATTTAACCTTTTATTGATTGTCATACCGATCCGGAACAACAAAAAACAACATAAAATGAAGCTATGTATAATAGTTTGGCCAGCATATCTTAAAATATGCAAACCAACTGCTGTTCTTTATATAAGAAGGTTTCAACTGAATATTATAAGATCCCCGTGCGTAGAACGGGTACACAGCTAGTTTTTACCTATTTCTCTCTTGTGAGTGTGTCCACCAACTTGTTTTTCAAAACTCTGAATCTTCTATTTGAAAGATGAGGTGAAAATACTATAATAACAATCACAAATAAAATAACGAGTTCAAGGAGGTTTTTTATTCATTTAATTATGGAAAGTAAATAAAAGAAACGCCACAAGATTGTAAATATACATAAACAATGGTAAGTGGTGATCAATTTCAATTGGGCACTCTAATCACCATCAGACCCAATAGGTGAATGACTATTTTTATGACTGACTTATTGACTTACAGAAATATGAATGACTTATTTTTTTATGACAAATTTATGAATAGTCTATTTACAACAAATTTTAACCTCCCCAGCCCCATCAGTGTAAGAAATTAACTTGAGGAGGAAAGATCTATGACTCCGCCGTATGTCCGTCAAAGTGTCACCCGTTTGGCCCCTCCACAATACCAGTGACTAAATAATTTGTGTAGTAGACAATTCGTAGTGTTGGTGTTTGTGATATGATGATATAAGACCCCCTTTAAAATGCCATAATAGCTGACAAAATGTACATAGGGTGAATACACCCTTCAGCGAACGTAGGCAACAAAAAAGGTAGGTAATTACAGTAGTACAATTCAAGCTCTTTAAACTGGAATAAATTCAGCATTGTTTTATGATGTCGATCCAGAAATCCAAATGTGGCTGAATGTGGAGTGAGGTGGACCCCGGACTCCCAGTCCAGTCCCTGCTACATGGACATTGGGACTGACTGGACTGTCAAAGAAGGAGTGCCTTTTGCTGACAGAATCAACTTTTGGCTGCAGATCGCAGACAAATATTGTTAATATAGTTTAATTGGCAGTTATGGAAGCTTAAAGAGTAACTAATCAGTATTTTTAATTTTGCTCACAATTATTTTCTCAAAATCTCTCTCGGGCTATAATTGAGGGGTAAGTAAGAGAACCCAGTGTGATGAGACAGTGGCTCTGTGGATAGTGAGACAGTCTACCAAATTTAAGGTAGCGATGTTGTGGGTGCACGACTGCACGTCCCTGTGCCGTCAGTTAAAATATATCAGTGCAGTTCATTCTTGTAATGTACCTGCTCCCCATTTGCTTGATAATTTGCATGCACATGCATTTAAGACCTAATGTCAATGGCCAAATTATAGGTTAAAACAGGCCGCTTTTCTCTTTAAAAAGGAGAGAAAGAACTACATGCAACTCTCTTATTTATTTTCTGCAAGTTCATGATGAAACCATACTGTAAAGGCTACATGGAAGTTATAGTCAGCTGTTGATGATTGACTAGCTTTGCCTCTTCTAATATCCTGTTTGTAAATACATTAAATAAAATGTTTCATGGTAAAACATACTATTTCTTTTAATAATACACCAAAGTTAATAAACGGTATCAGCATTCTGACACATACTTTCTCCCATAAGTTTGTCAACAACCTTTATCATGTGTAAAACATAACTTTTGGACCATTTAACTCATTTTGATATATTTTCTATTCATATCAGTTCATATCTTACATATAGAACGTATATTATTTTACATGTGTTTCTTGTAAGTATAATATCTTCTCTGATTTAAATCACATCACTGACCATTTCTCTTAATGCCAAGGTCAAGACAGTAAAACAAAATTGTTTATTTTGTCAAGGCTAGAACATTGCAGGTCTTGTTCTGTAGTAAATAAACTGTGGTAATTTACACTGGTAATACACTGTTGAAATTTATTTTTTATACTAAGCCATATCAATGTTTATTTTGCAAGCATTTGGATATATTATCTTAGAAAATAGTTTTAGAACTAATAACTGTAGGGAATGCTGTCGATTTTAGATTGCCACTCTCATCTGAAATGACATACTGCCTTACTTTATAGTTAAGGTACTCCATGTAGTATTGTTTTTGACTTGATAACATAAAATGTTCTCATTCCTTACAAGAGTTAATACAAATAAAATTCCAATGAATGATGCTTGTTATTACTGAACCTTTCCGACAATAAGTTAAATACGTTGTTGACAGTTCTGATAAAATACTTTTTATTTTTTTTTTTATTATGAAAAGTACTGCCTTTACCAATTCATGTGAAAATAAATTTGTTATCAAATAAAACAACTTCTGTTAGCACGTGCATATCTACCATAACATTTCATCAAAAACAAAACCTATGTTATTCAATTTTTTGTTGTTCTCAATGAATTTTTAATAGTGTCATCTTAGATCATCTAAGTGTAATTTGAGATCCATTTTAAAAGTTACAAATAAATAAGTGGTACAGTATCAGCAAACTGACACGTACTTTCTCCCATTATAGCTTGTCAACAAAGCTTATATTGCATATGCGGTGGGGGTTAGGTACTATGATATTTTATGGGAAAAATCACAAAACCTACAACAACTTTTGAACTGTAATTGCATTTGAGTTTTTAACATAAAAAAAAAATTAAAATAACCCTACAATATTCTAAAATTTTCTAAAAGTTGTTGTAGCAATTTTTATTAAAATCCTATTTTACTATTTTTCTTTTTCATAGGAAAATCACCATCAAAAACCTAAATAAAAAAATTGAAAATCCTGTCAAACCGAAACACTAATTTATAATAAAGAGTGCTAGCAGCCTGTGTCACTTTGTAACTCAAAATCTGTGATATATTTGGTATATACCTGATAAGGGTGAAAACAATTACCTATGTCTCATCATATCCCTATTATTTACACTGCGAGCCCTAATATTTATATTGCATGCACAATATCTTCAAGCATCTAAGAAAAATTACAAATACTAATGAAACATACAATGAAAACAGAAAATCGAATGCAAGTCATTTACTTCTTTACACAAATAACATTACAACATTTTACTTGAATTCCCCAAAACATCAATAAAATATACTATGAAAACAAAATCTTCTCACAACACAATATCTAACGTAAGTCATTTTCTTCTTTACATTTTTATACAAATATTATTAAAAAATTTTACTTGAATTCACAGAAATATCACCAACTACAGATAACCCCATTTTCATATAGATGTAAAAAAATTGTATCATGGCCATCGGTTTTGATGTAAACAAATGTCAACTTGAAAAAGTTCAGATGATTGACAACAGAATGTAGCACAAACTAAAAAAAAAGCCAGAGGGCTTTCACGGGATATCATCCAAACCCGCAAAAGGCACACCTAGAAGATTAGAGCTTTAAATTGATACCCAATATGCCTATAAAAATAAATATTAAGGGGTTGATTTGCTGCACAGAAAAATCCTAAAAATTCTTCTAATAATATATATATGCAATGTTTATGTTTACACTTTTGTTATTTCTGTTATTACCATGGCAACAGGCATGCATTGCGGTTACTACACACAAACTCCGTGGTCTTGTATTAGAGGAGGCTATGGTGAAGGTGTAGAATGGAATGTGATGATCCGTGTAGCTTTGTTGCTGACTAAGATTAGCTGTTTTGTTAGCCAGGATCAAATGTATAAAGCTAAGGATCACAACCTTTTGTGTCAGACTATATGGGGACAAAGTTAAAATTAACAAGTGAGAATAAAACAGTAATAATATACAAGGTATGATTTTTAGTTGATTGTTTAGTTTGAAGTCCTTGATGTAAATATTTTACGAGATATTTACTATTGCAATTTAGGTGTTAGCTATACAGTTACTCGTATAATTGATGTTTGTTTAGCTAAGTGGTTTTGATATCTAACTATATAAACACTAACCTTGAAGCATAAAATAAACACTTTGACTTGTATGACTTTTTACTCCTACACTTTAGGGGTTTACACAAAACTGAAACTAAAAAGAAGATGTTGCTAGTTAAGGCTGAAAGTGAATGCATTTTTACAGCTGAAATCCTACTTATCATTTTCTGTCTCATTTCAACCCCAGATAACAAAGTGGAATGGGTTTATATAAGCTATCTCCTGCTGACTGCTTAGTCATATGATTTTCAACTTCTGCTACGGTAAGTTGACCTAATTCTTTTATTCTTGCAAAGTATTCAATTTCATTGCTATATAATTGTTTAAAACTTAACAAAAAGTCTTATTAGTTAATTTAGCACCCATAATTTCAATATGGCTCATTTTGTTGATTTGTAAAAACAATTTTTGTTATTTATTGTTTTACTATTTGTTCATAAAATTTAATCGTAATAAAAAAATAAACAATAACAGCTGCCAAGAACTACAAATAGGCACCTTATGTGATCATCTTTACTGACATTACAGTCGCAGATAATAATTCTGATTGGCTTTTACTTTCTTTTACCCCCCTATACATAGTACCTATTTGAAGAAAGTATTGATTTGACTTTTAAGTGGAAATATCCGTTTTGGGCTCCCACCTGAACCCCAAAAAGTGGTTTTTGAAGTGATGTGTTCAGAGCTTCAGACTACACCTGTGATCCAATTTCAATGCAATTTGGTTGTGGGTACTAATCCATAGTACCCCCAAGTTTTTAAAATTTCAATTTTGATCGTGATTTTCCCATAAAACTCGTCAAATAACTGGAAAATGAGATTTTTACAAAACAGCCCGAACGATTTTAGTATGTCATTTTAACTCTAAACAAAATGGCACAAACCCCCATGTGTAAAAATTACAGTTCAACAGTTATTGCAACTTTTATGATTCTACCCATAAATATCATAGTTACTCCCCCCACCAATTGCCCATGACAAGTGTTGTTGACAAGTTTATGAGAGAAAGTATGTTTCAAATTGCTGATATAGTCCAGTCAAGGAATGAGGTGTAGAGTGCGTTAGTGCGTGAGCAGGTAACTAAGCAATTCCTTCAGAAACTTGTTCAGGGGGCTTAGGGTGTTAACATACCAAAAGTCCTGACTCCTAGGGGGTGAGGGGGGGGAAGGGGGGGGGGGTTAAAGGTACACATTTTGGGTTTTTCGATTATATCTCGAAAACTACCAACTTTTTGTATACTACTGTATACTAAATTATGAAATTGAAGAAGATTAAATTTTCTACAAGAAAAGTATATAATGTGTTTATTTTGGTTAAACAATTGACGAGTTATTACTAATTTAATTAATATGGTATTAACAATACTCCTTCCATAAGAAATACATGTAAATTAGTTTGCAAAATGGGGCAAATCCTATCCGCCCAAAGGAAATATAACCAATATTCTAGAAATCTTGGTAAAATTTCCAGCCATTTGACACTTTAACCCATTGGCGCCGACATACGAGCGTTACTCGTATGGCCGCTGCAGGCCCGGCGGCCAACTTACGAGTGCCGCTCGTGTCACCGCTAGGCAGCGCTATTAGTTATTTAGTTATTATTATTTTTCGCCCTTTTTGTTTCTTCTTACTATTATAATGTTTATAAATATCTTGCTTCTTGATTTGCGTATTTACTCATTTATTTTAGCGAATAACAAACAATTTTGTGTTGCCATGGAAACCACATATCACCAAAAATCAGCTGCGGTAAGGTAAACAAACAATTTAAAAAAAAATGTTACTTATAAAAGTACACAACTTTTAATTTTTCTACGTAGGGAATCGATTGAACTTTATAATAGTAGTGTTATTTGGTGTCTGGATTAATCTTGGAATTTGTATATCAACTTTACTTTCAAAATATTGTTTTTAAAATTTTTATTTTTATAATCTTTATATATATATTTTTTTTAGTTTAGAACTTTGACTATCCAATTACCACTTTTCTGTAGACAATTTTACTGTGAACAAAATGGTGAAAGAATTATTAACACGTTCGCTACCGAGCGACGCACATTTGCGTCGGTCCGGTCACTCTTACAGACTAAAAGGAATGATCATGACGTTGCTTACAGACCAAGTGATATAGGAATAACATTGCCGACAGACCAAAAGAGAAATATCGTTTAAATGGACTAATTGACTTAATAATAACCTTAAGTGAATTAGTAAGCAATAAATATTGTTTTTATTTTTCGTTATGAGCGAATTTTAAAACGCCGCATATATGCGTCGGTCAGTCTATTTAACGAAATCCAGTTAAAAAGATTACATTTTCGTTTCAATAGACCAGGCGACGCACGTAAGCGTCGTTGTAAATTTGGTTGTTTCAAGCTTTTACATAAACAACTAAAGAAACTCCACTAAACACTAGCCAAAACTGCAAAGGTTATAACGTTTACATCTGTTCTGTGATGTCGCGGAATACACAATGTAAACAACAATGTTGCCAACTGTTGTGTGACGTAACCAATCGTCATATCCACGGACCAAGTGACGCACATTTGCGGCAGATATCCCTCTAGACCGATATGATAAAATCCGGGCTCTAAAATAGACCGTTGCTAAGAAATACGCTGTTTAATAACATTAGAATACCGACGCAAATGTGCGTCGTTAGTCCATTTCATTGTGACCAGCTGACGCAAATATGCGTCGGTGGTCTATTGTGAGAAACGAGTCGACGCACAATTGCGTCGCTGGTCTATGCGAACGTAAATTCCATATAATTGTGGTAGCGAACGTGTTAATTTATTACCTAAGGTTTTCTTTCTATAGCAGTTAGAGTAAAAGTCTACAAATTCGGTAAAATTAATTGCCGCCAGAGGGTGCTGCAGGTAGCGCATTAATTCCTTCCCCAATGGGTTAATCATAAAATTTTGTCAAAAATTAAAGCGAGAGTGAGCGTTTAAAAACGGGATGATTTGAGGTTTTTTTATACTTCTTAATAAAAAACACCAAAACACAACATTTTTGTTACCTCGCCCTTGCCTTAATTTTGGATAAATTTTTATGATTAAAGTGTCAAATTACTGGAAAGTTTGTCAAGATTTCCAGAATATCAGTTATATTTCCTTTGGGCGGATAGGATTTGCCCCATTTCGCATACTAATTTACATGTATTTCTTATGGAAGGAGTATTTTAATAAGATATTAATTAAATAAGTAATAACTCGTAATCTGTTTAACCAAAATAAACAAATTATATACTTTTCTTGTAGAAAATTTAGTCATCTTCAATTTTATAATTTAGTATAGTATACAAAAAGTTTATAGTTTTCAAGATATAATAAAATAACCCAAAATGTGTACCTTTATTTTTTGTGTGTTGTTATTTCATGGTCATAAATGCTTGGTGAAGTGAGCTCTGACTGAATTTAAAAAAAATCTTTTTCACAAAACGATGTGCACCTATACCATCATTTTATGGATGTGTTTCAGATTTTATCTCAATCCGTTCTGTAGTAACTGAGAATTCTTGTTAACAAATACAACCTAGTGGTTTCACACATTAAAGTATTAATTTTCATAATATAATTAATATATAATATATCATATTGATAAAATTATAGCTTAAATACACACTTTCTTCTGTATAAAAAGTGAACTTTTACATCTTCTTTTAAGTCCTACTTGTTATATTTGAGATTTGAGAGTGCCAGGTATATTTGAGATTGCAAAGAAGTGAGCAATGTCAGCCAATTGAATATTCATAGTATGGCTGAACAAGCTACTCATGGTGTGTGAGTCTATACTCAACCTCAGCCAATCTTTTAAGGTGTGTATGTCTTGTGTACTGTAGTTAAATTAAATTTATTTAAATTTACTCCTTACCTAAAATATAACTACATTTGGTAACTTGTGTGTAAATATGTTTTTTTGTAATTTAATGTTGCAATTCTGATTACTTAATTAATTTCACTATTGGTATGCATGACTATTACTATTTAACCTTAATGCCATTTTAAAATAACTAGGATACCCCATGAATAATTAATTAATTGTCTGAGTAAACTTTTGTAATGGTATAAAAGTGTGTGTTCATCTCTCTGCCTTTATACAACCTACAAAAGAGTCTTTAAATAACTGTGGATTTACAACTAAATTGTAGGCTATTGTTTTGTTTACAAATAATGGTAGGTATGCAAACACATTTTCTAAGATTAAATAACCCAGATATCTAAACAATCACAGTATCTAATGATTTTCATTCCTGTGTCCTGTCAATTTCAGGGTCGTATTTCCCTAACGGGGGACACGGCGGTTGCCGGGGGCCTCAATTTTTTTCTTGATAAATTTATTTTACTGATAATGTGTTTCTCCGCGATCGCAGGAGACGTTGAAGAAATCTGTGCAACCGCAAAATATCTTCACTATTTTGCCGTTAATGTAGGAACTGTTACTATTCATATCCGTGATCACTTGGAAGATCTTCACAGTTTCGTCATGAACGAAAAAAGACGAAGATGATGTCTCCGCACTAGTGAAAGATATTCACTATTCCTCCACGACCATATGAGACATTCATGATTTTGCCGCGATCGGAGGAGACGAAGATGACGTTTCCGCACTCGCGCAAGATTTAAAACATTTTTCCCCCCTGCCACATTGTTTATGATACCACCCTGATCGGTGGAGATGAAGATGACGTCCCCGCACTCGTGCAAGATGCTAACTTTTTCTCCGTGGCCATAGGAGAATGCGAAGAGACATTCATAATTTTCACCGCCATTGCAGAAGACGAAGATGATGTCTCCGCAATCGCACATAATGTTCACTATTTTGCCGTGAACGTAGAAGATCTTCACGATCCCTCCAGGACTGCGGCAGATTTCTACGATTTTACTGTAACCGCAGAAGACCCTTACAATTTGGCTGTGATTTAACATTTTGTAAAAACCGATTATAGTATATCAATTAATATATCCTAAATTAATTATTTCCAAAACCACCCAATTTTGATCCGATGCCCGAGGATCAACATTTTTTACTCCCCACGAAAGAAATTAAAAATGTGTGGCCCCGACCTAAGACCCTTAGTATTATTATTTGAAAAATAGTCTCTAAATTTCTTTAGAAAATCTGACATGAAACTTTTTCATTATTTTCAGGGGAAATGGAAGAACACAAAGTAGTGCAAACCAAGCAAGGAAGTCTGAGGGGATCAGTCAAATACTCCTCTTTTAGTGACAAGAGATATTACTCTTTTGTTGGCATTCCTTTTGCAAAACCACCCGTTGGCACCCTCAGGTTTAAGGTAATACTACATCTTGGCTACAAATTGAATTGTTAAGAGAAGTGATTAGCAATAGTGTGTAGTTGTGCTTTAATTATTTTTAAACAATAACTAGGTCTGCTTTGTTGTTAAGAATATTAGGTTTGTATTGAGAGTTTTGAGTTTGATCCCAGGCTATCTCTCCAAAATAATTGGATAAAGCTCAAGGGTATTTGTATGTAAGAGACACCCTCATTACAACATGAACTTCAACAGTTATTGTTCAGATTTTTCATTTAAAACTGCGGTTGGATATTGTCGTTTGAATTACTCTTATATATAATATTATGGTTAAAGTAAATGATTTAATGGAAGTTGTTCATTTTTGTATTGTTATTTCAATTAATCCATTTTTAATCTGGTTAAATATTATTGTTTAAATACTTGTAAAAATTAAATTAATTATAATATTAAAGTTTAGAAGTATTTTATGCATGTTATTTATTTTTATATATATTTAATTATTCAAAATAATTAATTGTTTCAAGTTTTTGCTAAAGCTAGTTCACTTTGGGATTATATAGAAAGTTGTCTTTGAATTGTAGAGTATACTATACAGTAGGTGGAAACAACAGTGAAAGCAGATCTTGACCAGAAACAAGGAAAACCAAAGTGGTGGTAAGGACTATCCAAGGACAAAGTAGATTATTATCAAGAACCAGTTTTCTCTATGAGCTGCAGACAAGCCAAATCTTCCTGGCTTTTGCAGCGAGTTATTTATACAATTTTGTAAGATTCTGTGATTTAAAAAAATTAATAAAGCAACAAAAATCTACTCAGACTAACTACTTGTTTTTCATGAATTACCGGTACTAGCTTCTGTACTATCTGTGTATATAATTTTGGCTGTATCGGTTTAGTATATTAGTCGTGGCAGCACACAAACAGACACCACCTCAATTTTATAATAGTGTTGTATAGATAGATAATATTCAAGGATTTAAAATTTAGAATACTATCAAGAAAAAAAGAAAATACCTTAATTTTTGCAATCTAATGAAGAAAGTATTTGTTATGGACAATAAGCCATTGACAAACGTAAATTTTCAAAGCAGTTATTTTGTTGTTTATATTGGAAGAGAGTTCAATTTGCTATTGAGTTAATAATTTGGAGGTTGTTTTATTGTAAACAAATTATGTGATGTTACTTCTAATGCTTTAGGACCCTGAACCATTTGGTGAATGGACTGGTGTACGGGACGCTCTACAAGATGGGAACAAATGTAAGCAAGGTATCCTAGTTCGCAACCCTGGAGTAGACCCCAACAATATCTCAGAAGTTGGGGATGAAGACTGTCTTTATCTTTGTGTTTTTACCAACAAGGTAAATTAACAATGGATTTATACTTTTATTAGTTTTTATTTCAATAGTTGTAGCATAGATAAAACATACTCCCTTAGTAGATTTCTCATCCTTATGGAACAGCTGAAGACAGTTTTATTGTACGGTTTATGTAGAGGTTGTGTTTTGTTTACAATTTGTTTCCCGTTATTACAGCCATTTAAAACCTCGTTTAACCAAATAATACAATCTAATCATAAACAATAACTTGTCCTCTAGTTATATAACCAAACAGTAAAGCACAAATCAAGAAATTAACCCTAAAATAATAGGAACAAAGTTTCGTCGACACTAGCGCCTTTGTGTCACGTACATGAACTAGACACGAAAAACGTGCTTCAAAATTTACAATGGGATGAGAAGTCTACTTGTGTTGGTTAGTCTATGGTTGTAGGAAAGAGTGAAAAGACAAGAGCTCACCCCGAATCGAAAACTAGACCAAAAGTATGTATTATGCAAACTTCTCTATTTTAAACCCACGCTGTAAATAAAACATATGATTGGAATTTCTTTAATCTGTTTTGATTTTCTGTTTATATTTTGTTGTTATTTCCTCACCAACATAGCAACCCATAATAAGGCCCATGTAAATTTTTTAAAATTTAAAATTCATTTTTTGCCTATTTAAATGTTATAAAGGGATTCTGCACATCTAAAGGAAAATATCTTTCATTAGGGAACCAACCGCGTGTAATTCGGTCCACTAGTATGGTCAGGCTAGCTAGTTTTGCAAAAGTTTTTTAGTACATAAGATGGACCATTAGAACATTATTACAAAATTAGTTGTCTCTTGACACTCCTTTCAATGTCATGCATTTCATTAACCTATGAGGTGAAGTTTATTATTTTTCAGGGATTAGGTGGCAAAGAAGCCTAAAAACTAGTCCTAACTTAAACTTCTTAATGAAGACATATTTTTCATTCAATTTCAAATATTTCAATGACAATACTGAAACTAAAAGGTACAAGAAGAACACAGTAAAAATATAATACAAAACAGAAACTGGCGTATTGCTTGCCTAGTGGTTATCATCTTAGTCATTGTTGCAAGAGGGTAGGGTTTGAGTACTTAGTATATTCAAGACAATTTAAAGGGGGTTTTCACTTTTCCCTGAAAGAATTTGTGATTTTTTCATCCAACATGCCACCCTAGACACTAAGAATAAAAACCTATAGAAATCTAAAACTGATTTAGTTTTAGTAACTTTATAGTGTCTCATAGCTTTAAATGAGTTTGCAATATTTAATTTAATGAAACGGTTTCTTTAAGTGTTTTATTTTTTCAATTTGCTCACAGCTCCCAGAGGAAAGCCCAACTAGAAGTCCTGTGATGGTTTACATTCATGGGGGAGCGTTTGCTGGGGGCTCCGGGATTTCCAAGAGCATAAACCCTGAATTTTTGTTGGAGGGGGACACTGTACTTGTAACAATCAACTATCGCTGTGGTGCCTTTGGTAATATAAAATGTTATTCTGTTTTTAAACAATTCTGTTGTTATTCTGAGTTTTAGAATCTGATAAGTTTTGGGGGTTTGGGAACTTGTATATTAATATATATATAAAAAAAAAAAATTGGGGTACCTATATTAAATTAAGTTTTACTGGTCAGCAAAATAAGGAAAAAAATATATGATGAGTTAATTGCTCAGTGGGGGCAATACAGACTACAAACCAATTATGTTGTGGGTCTGCGTCCTTTTGGTGCAACCAATATCCATATTGTTCTTCTCCCCTTGCTTTACTTTAATATGTTCCTTACACAGGACAGAGACCTATGTGAATGGGCAAATTCAAATTTAAAAGAAACAACGAATTTCATACAAAAATGTATCAGATATCTTTAGTTTGCAAATATTCTTTTAATATATCTCAAGTCACACAGAGATATATCTATAATATTATCTTTTCAGGATTCCTCTCTCTTGAAAATGAAGAGGTTCCAGGCAACGCAGGACTCAAGGACCAAACATTGGCTCTCAGATGGGTCCAAGACAACATTGATATTTTCGGAGGAGACTCAAACAATGTCACCATCTTTGGTATCAGTGCAGGAGGTGCTTCAGTGCATTACCATCTGCTGTCTCCTATGTCTAAAGGTAGTAAGTTTGCTATGACCTTACAGTTGAGCTACCTATACTACTTTATTGTAGATGAGGCAAGCACTGTCAACACTAACTTTTCTGCAAATTGTAGGTAATTCCATGTAAAGTAAACAAGGATAATAGACTGAATATTTTGGCTCTATACTCCGTTGACAGAATTTAGGTTGTTTGAGGGGAAGCGATACCATCCTCTGCACCTCACCCTAACTATGAAACAGAAGCCAACAGCTAAACAACCAGGACATGATTGAGCCATGCAAAAAAGTTCATCTCAAGACTGCAGTGAGACAAAAGTGGCAACACTGATCTCCCGGCCAGTGCGACGTTGCCACACACACCAACAATACAAAACTGCAGTGAGACAAAAAAGGCAACAATGATCTCCCGGCCAGTGCGAAGTTGCCACACACACCAACGATACAAGGCTGCAGTGAGACAAAAGTGGCAACACTGATCTCCTGGCCAGTGCGACAGTGCCACACACACCAACGATACAAGACTGCAGTGAGAGACAAAAGTGGCAACACTGATCTCCTGGCCGGTGCGACGTTGCCACACACACCCACGATACAAGACTGCAGTGAGACAAAAGTGGCAACACTGATCTCCCGGCCGGTGCGACGTTGCCACACACACCAACGATACAAGACTGCAGTGAGACAAAAGTGGCAACACTGATCTCCCGGCTGGTGGGACGTTGCCACACACACCCACGAACCATACAAGACTGCAGTGAGACAAAAGTGGTAACACTGATCTCCCGGCCGGTGCGACGTTGCCACACACACCAACGATACAAGGCTGCAGTGAGACAAAAGTGGTAACACTGATCTCCCGGCCGGTGCGACGTTGCCACACACACCAACGATACAAGACTGCAGTGAGACAAAAGTGGCAACACTGATCTCCCAGCTGGTGCGACGTTGCCACACACACCAACCATACAAGACTGCAGTGAGACAAAAGTGGCAACACTGATCTCCCGGCCGGTGCGACGTTGCCACACACACCAACGATACAAGACTGCAGTGAGACAAAAGTGGCAACACTGATCTCCCGGCTGGTGGGACGTTGCCACACACACCAACGAACCATACAAGACTGCAGTGAGACAAAAGTGGTAACACTGATCTCCCGGCCAGTGCAACTTTTTTTTTTTTTTTTTTTTTAAGGGAGAGGAGGGAAAATGCTTTTACGCACACAGGTAGCCAGCCTGTAGTGTGAGACTCCTGAATCTATCACAGACTACTCACTAAAAAACCCCCTCTACTCTGTTGGACACAGACCTGGAATTGTTTGTCACATTACTTCAAGTCAGGCCAACATGGGACCTAAGCCCTCAGGGCTCTCACAGTTTTTGGCATTTAGATACTTCATGACCTACACCGCATCCCGGTCAAGGTCGAGCTTCTTGGTGCGGGGAATACCCTGGATGTAATGTGACACACAGGTCCAATTGTCCTCACCCTCCGTCATCATCGGTATGACCGTGTCCACTGACAGCAGTCCTACTAACTGTTGAGCCTCCAGGCGGGGCCTTTCCCAACGCTGGCAGTGGAAAAAGGTATGTTCCACGTCATCGGGAATGCCTGGGCAGTATAGTCATTGAATAGTCATTTATTCAGTCTTTAAACAATACATTATTGTAATTGACATCGTCATTATTATTGTAAAAAGATATAAGATGCAATACTTATATAATTAATAAAATTTGACATGAAAATTCCAAAATATAGGCTGCCCTTAGCTTAACATTTAACAGGTTTAAAATATGCAATCGGGTGACACGGCTTTGCCCATCCTGAACAGGTACGACCGGAAAAAGCCGTGACCCATCAGAAATTGGGTGAGGTAGAAGTCCACCTCTACGCACCACCGATTAACCCAAGGTTGGACTTGCTTTATCAGTCGCCTGGTCCAGCGTCCCCGAGTCTCCTGTTCCTAGCTCTCCTGTCACAGCTGGTAGGTGCGGGTGCGTTCCTCTGTTCGTGCCTGGTCCTCTCCACGGCGCTGATAAATTGCTTTTCTCTCCGCCGCCAAAAGTTTGACGGGGATGACTCCAGCAACCACCAGGACGGTGGGTTCGGACACTGTTCGGTAGGCGGATGCAACTCTTAGTGCTGCCTGACGCTGCACTCGGGCGAGCCGCATCCTATATACCTCCTTATTTAGAGCGTTTGCCCACACCTCAGCACCGTACAAGAGTACGGACTGAACAGAAGACATTAACAACCTTCTTCTACCTAGGCCCTCTGACATTGGCTATCAACCGGCTAAGAGAGGAGACCACCCTAGTGGCCTTGTCCGCCGTACGGAAAATCTGATCTCGCCAGCTAAGCTTGCTGTCCACCATAATACCAAGGTACTTGGCAGAACGAACGGTCTGGACTTCGACGGCCCCTACCCTCAACGGCACGATGGTGTCAATCCGTTTTTTTGTTAACATCACGATCTCAGTTTTGCTCAAAGCAAGCGAGTGACCGTGGTCTGTCATCCATGCGTTTATAGTACGCACTAGTGGCTTGTAGGGACATAAGTCCCTAAAAAGCTCAAATGTTAAACAACTTTTTGCAATACCGGTATTTAAACAAACTCAGAATAACATTATCTATGTGTCAGAATAGGCATCCCTACACCATATCTTTTGTGTAAAAACCAGTTTGTTGTTCTTCTTTGTTTGCTTTTGTTGATGTCATTTTCAATAAATAATTTGAATCACTCCAGTGGTTTAACATGAAAAGGCAGCAAACATATCATTGTTTGTGAATAAATACTGATTTACTAAGGTAGCTTTGGTCTTGTGGTTAATGAGGATAAATAAAAGCTTCCCTGTTTGAAATTTTAAAAATTCATTGGAGGTTCGCCTTCAGATGAATTGAAGACGCCTGCAATTTCATCTGCAGTAGGCTTATTATACCTACGACGATCCATATTTATCCTGTCATCCGCGTACCCAACCAAAACAGTTTCCTCAGGCATTTCAGACCTCAGGAGGCTGTCATACGCGACATTCCAGAGGTCTGGGCCGAGTATGGAACCTTGGGCAGCACCGGAAGTAACACTTATCGTCCTTGGGCCCTCTGTAGTGTCATACATGAGGAGGCGGAACCGGAGATAATCCTCTATGATACGCATGAGGTATGCCGGGACGTGGAAGGTGTTCTTCAGAGCATCCAGCATATCGCACCACCTCGCCGAATTAAACGCGTTTCGCACATCAAGAGTTACGAGCAGCACAACCCTTCGAGAGTAGTGGTTAAAATCCTCAGCTCTCATCACGGCTTGCTTCACCTCTTCAACAGCGTCAACCGTAGATCGCCCCATCCTGAATCCATACTGGCGAGGGGACAGGTCCCCCGCAGCAACCACGGCTGAATTCAGTAGGGAACCGATCAACTTCTCGAGGACTTTGCCAGCCGTATCCAACATACACAGAGGTCTGTAAGACAATGGCAGGTCTGAGCCTCCCTTCCCCTTCCCAACAAGCACAAGCCTAGCTGTTTTCCAGCACGAGGGGAAAACTCCTTCGACTAGGCAGGCGTTGTACATGCGCAAAAGGATCAAGGGGTTACTAGTCAAAACCTTTTTGAGGACTTCGCCGGGTACCCCATCGGGTCCAGGAGCCTTATTGTTCTTCAGGGATAGGACGGCAGCCTCCACCTCTCCAAGACTGAAAAGTGGTACGTCATCCACCCTTCCGAAATCCCGCAGTGGGCATAACGTATGAGCCTGGAAAAGGGACTCGACTATCCTCTCCATAGTGGCCCCATCCATGACGGAAGGTGGAGAGCGGGTGCCAAGTTTCTTGGTTACAAGTTTGTAACCCAAGCCCCACGGATTGGAATCGATATCGTCCCTTAATGTCTCCCAGCAACTGCGTTTACTCCAGTTGATCGCTCGATGAAGAGACCTCCTAGCCACTCTGTAAGCATCCGACTTACGACGTCTGTCTACAGGTTCTCTGGCCCTGGTAGCAAGTCTTCTGGCTCTCAATGCTGACCGACGCAATTCCGCAATCTCGGCAGTACACCAGTACACAGGTCGCTTATTGCACCGGGATCTCCTGCGAGGCATAGACTCATCGCAAGCCGAGATGATTAGTCCCATCATGGATGTAACTAACACCTCTTCGTGAGCCACGCTAGTTGCAGGGGGGAACCACCGGTGTTCCTCGTAAGATGGCTTGAATTTTGCCACGTCCAATTTTTTAATATTCCATCGAACGGGGCCAGTGCAACGTTGCCACACACACCAACGATACAAGACTGCAGTGAGACAAAAAAGGCAACAATGATCTCCCGGCCAGTGCGAAGTTGCCACACGCACTAACGCCAACAGTTTATTGGAACACTTGTATAGTAATAGGTCATGTTTATAGATGTATGAAGACATTGTGTTTTTACTTTTTGTAATCATGATTTTGATTGCAGGTCTTTTCCACAAGGCAATTATTCAAAGTGGGTTCTGTCTGATGAACGAATGGTCCCTGCAAAGGTCCCCAAATCAATTGGCTTTCACATTGGCAAAGAAATTAGGATTTGAATCAGAAGATGATGCTGAAGTATTCAGATATTTACAAACTGTGCCAAGTGAAGACATTCTCAGTGCAACTCATGAATTCTGCAAAGACCAGGTTGTAATAGAATTCTTTGTAGTTGAATAATTAAAAAAATGAATCCTAGTTTGTAAATGCCAATGGCAGATTTTAAGAAATTAAGATTTTTTATTTTTTAGAGCTTTATCTGACAAAGAAAAGTCAATGTTACTTTTTTTGCTCAAAAGAATTTGCAATGGTAAAGTCTATCTATCCTTTATATTGTTTAGTGTTGTTCTATTGAGTTTCTAACTAAACTAAGATCTTGCTCCTGAACAGGAATACATCACCTGGATTGGCCTTCTGTTCACTGCCTGTGTAGAAACAGCAGGCTCCAACAAGTTTCTTCATGACACTCCGACAAACCTGATGAAGAGAGGAGAGTTCAGTAAAGTGCCTGTGATTCTGGGAGCTGTGGAAAATGAAGGAAACGTGCACACGTTTTTGTGTAAGTCATACTATACATCATCAGTAATTAATTCCTGTTCAATTATCACCAAATCTGCTAAATTTAAAACAAAAATATCATAAGAAATTTAATTCAATCATACTTTGATAGATTAGGGGTTTTATATGTTTTTTAGCGAATTTTCCTATAGGGAAGTAGCTATTACCGTAGGTGGCACGGTAAGACCTAGACCCGGGACCGATTTACTTTTTCATTTTGATGTCCCCAGAGGCCAAAAACACCATTCGCTCAAATTTTTATATATGTATATATATATATATATATATATAGACTTATATATATATATATATATATACGTCCGTGAACGCGATAACTTGAGTAATTTTTGTCCGATTTTGATGAAATTTGGTTTAAAGGTGTAAAGCGGGATAAACTTGAGTGAGTTCGCGAACCAGCACGATCGGAGCATGGGAACGGGCCTTTACGGGGGGTTTTATGGGGTAAAAATTGGTTTTTCTCACTTTTGACCCTCAAAACACAAAATTTCCCGATTTCTCTGTAGACCTTTTTAAAGAGCTTAAAAAAACAAATAATTTAGTATATAAAAGTATTTTTGTTCGATTATTAGTAACGGAGAAAATTAAAAAAATTTTAAATTTAAAATTCCCATGTTATTTTTATGGAGAATATTGTCAAATGTTGTAGTTTGTTTGTTTATGGATATATTTTGATCAAACTTAGAAAATTTATTTATTTTGTACTAAGCTATCAATATTTTACTCAAAAACACACTTTATTAGTTTCCTTGTAGCAGCAAACCTAGGTGCTCGTTAAACCTAATGTTATTAAAATATATTTAACTGAAAATCAATTCAGACAAATGGAAATTTGCTTAGTCAGCAGGGCGGGTATTTTATTATTGAAAACACAAAGGCTAAGGTGGTGGGAAATATCAAACTATAATATAGCTTAAGCCTTTGTCATAGTTAATCTATCTTCAGTTCAAAAGTGCTTTGTTTATTTCATGGGCATTCATAAATAGTTCATATAAATAGTACATATAAATCGAAAAATGAGAAAGGGTTGAAAAAACACTTTTTGCCCGTGTGATGAGCTAATTTTTGTCATATTGCGCCATTATTTAAACTAAGTTACAAAACAGAAATACCTTTCTTGTAAAAATAAACTCCCAAAATAACTTCCATCTTGATTTCCATTTTGCTATTGTGAACAAGCAGCTGTTTAGTGAGGTACCAGTATTGAATAATTTTGTATTACGACTGTATTTTTGTCCATTATACTATTGATAGATGTTGATATGTTGGACTACTGATTCAATGGATTTCTTGAATTTCTTAGGCATTCAGAGCAAACTGTTTTCTTGTGTCATCCATCTTCTTAGATTCAACCTAAACAAATGTGAATCCAGTTTTGAAAAGAATTCATTAACAAACTAAAATCAATTGAACACAATCAATACAACCATTACTTTACAAATCGATTGCTTACAATCGAAGTTAGCAAGTGAGCATAATGTACTGCTGACATCATCAACTCCAGCTGATTTTTACTCTCTGGCAGTAAGTTGTACTCCCTAGGGAGATAAAGAGCTATAATCCTGCAATGCTTGAATTGAACATAACTGTTTTTGTTGCAGTATAACAAAAAAAAGTTACATAGCTAAGGCCTCTTTTATGTAATTGCAGTCGCCGCACTGGGGCAGCTGCTGCGATTCTATAAGTATACATTGACTCAAATGGGTGCTTGTATGCACCGCAGTGCGGCCCGCTCTATAGTTGCGGCCCGCTAGGTACATTTGGGACTTATGGGAGCCATTATGCAATGCGACGCAGGCCGCAACCTCTGCCAGTGCTACCAGTGATATAAAACCTGCGGTGCTGCAAGTTCCAAACCAAATACAAATTTTGCAGCCACATGTTTTTTGCGGTGCGATAAAAACCGCAAATGCTGTGCATAAAAGGGCCCTAATGGTTCATTATATCATCATTGAGTATTCTTTAAAACAACTGATATTAATGAACTTTTCAGCTCAAACATGTTTCAGTTTTGATTCGATACCTGAAATCATCAACAATAGACCTGAACTGCTTGTTCCACCATTCTTCAAACTAAATCCTGGGAGTAAAGAAGAAAAAGATGTCCAAAAAGCCATTTGGGAGTTTTATCTTAAAGGGGAACAACTGTCCTTAAAGAATTTCCAGGAATTTACTAAGGTAAGTTTTTAAAAATTTGTATTTGTGACTTACTAATATGTTTGGTACTTTAAGTTGTTAATTTACAGAATGTCGCTCTTGATGTCCATTTAAATCTCTTTTTTCTAAGAAAAAACATTATGTTTCTAGATGTAAATGAGGATAGTTTTTTTTTTTTTTTATACCAATTGTGTCTGGTACAGTTGAACCTCGTTTGTACGAACCTCGATAAAACGAATTCCTCGATAAGACGAATTTTTTTTTAATCCCTTGACACTTTCATATAGGTCAATGCTAAAAACACCTCTATACAACGTAGTAATTAAGTTAAAAACCTCCATAAGACGAATTTGTTTGTGACATGGGCTAGGACTGATTAACCTCTATACAACGAATATTCTAAGCACAAAACCTCTACAAGACGAACGTGACCTCTATAAGACGAATTTATCATAATCTTAACCTCCATAGTACGTAGTTTTCAAAACAAACAGAAGCTTGTCTCAACATGAAGCCCCCACCCATCCCTCCTCCTTCCTCAGTCATTGTTTGGAAAAACCTTGGAGCGAGGAGAAACCTCTATAAGAAGAATAACAGCAGCATTAAACCTCGATAAAACGACCCTCTTTATTAAGAATACCTCTATAGTACGACTTTTTCCCGTACCCCTTGAAATTCGTCTTATAGAGGTTCAACTGTACCTATATTCACTGAAACAAAATAGATTTCACGCCACACTACAACATTTGGACCAGCTTACTACGCAAGTATTTAGTCCATAAAACAGCTGTTTGCCGCCAGCTTAATCAAATGGGGTATCATTACGTATTTAGTAGTATAGCGTGAACTATCGTATGTAACTCGTCCAAAATGTGTGTACCGGACTCGTATGGTAATCCTGTACTCGACTTCGTCTCGCACGGGAACGAACACACTCGTCCGGTAAACACAAATTTTCAGGACTAGTAACGTAATATACTATTTTATCACTCTGTATTCGAAAATAGCCCATTTTCATACAGCTGAGATCTTCGAACATCTTCAATTTCCGTACATCAAAAACAAATAGTGATCAGCTGACTTTTCCTGACATAATCATTACTTTTCGCTACATTAACATTACTTCCGCTAAACAAACAATACTTTGCCTGTCATCAACAAAGTTACAATCAGCTGAATTTTACACTAAAATTAATTGTACAGCCTCATTGTGTTTAGAACAGAAAAATGAATGGATTACGAAATATATTAGATCATTTTTGATGAAGTAGTTTTTTTCATCGTGATAAGAAGTATCGTTCAATACTCGTCACGAAAGTACCATTTCGGGGTGAGATGGTGTTTTACATGCAAGTCCCTATTGTAGTGAAATATAAATAAAATCCAGGACTGTCAAAAGACATTTAAAGTACTCGGATGTAAGCTATCCCTGCCGCACAATCTCTTCCCTTTAGTTATTAGGGGTTTTATAAGTAGATTAGAGTGAAAATACATACAAACTTTTTTTTTTTAGTAAAGGTAATAAAGTCAAGTAGACTAGACTTTGCAAAAATGTTTATGGTTGCACTAAGACATAAACTTTGCATGACTTGTCTTGCTAGCTGGAATTCTGTTCTGCATGCTCACATTTCAAATCCTGTAATTTATCAATGGTTTATGCCATGCTATTATTACAAACTATGTACCTACTCAGGGTTTTTCATTTAAATTTCATATACTTTTTGCCTTTTAACATATTTTATTCATATTTTTTCCAGTATGAAAGTGATTTTCTGATAATCGCAGGACTTGGTGAAACTAGAAGGTTGATGCTGGAAAAATCTAAATGTCCAGTATACACATATTTGTTCACCAACCACACAAAGTGCTTCTGTTCAGGTCTGTCAGGAATGTTGGGTGCAGACAACCCTGTGCTTCCATATCTCTCGGGCCCAGGTCAGTTTAATCGTGAAATTGAATGACCAACTTTAAATTTAATTTGACAAGATCGATACTTGTGAACCAAAATAAAAACTTCTGATAACAATGTATAGTAGCTGATTGAGTAATATTAATACAGTATGTGTGAAGAGTGAGCTGGTTTGATTATAAGAGCACTGGGCATCAGTCCCCAAGGAATCATAGGCTCAAACCCTGCCTCTCATCAATGGCTTTGTTTGGCTTTGTGATAATGCTGTGACTCTATAGGCCTTGAAGTACTGTGTAAAACGGTTCTGGGCTAGATCCTAGGGTCTGATGTGAAGATAGAATAAAAAATGATAATTTTGTAGTAGGAAATTCGCTAACTCTGCACGTTTGCGGTGGCGGGAGTTTATCAATCATATATGATTTTTACATTATTATAAGGAAACAATAATAATAGGCTAGGCAGCACATATTAATATATTTTACTTTATTAAATACCCAAGTTCAAGGATATCTTTGTCGTTTACTGATTTCTCATCTTTTTTACATTTAAACAATATTCTGCTGTAATATTATTTTTGTATACCTAGGTACATGCCATGCAGCTGACAGTGTATACTTAACCAAACATGTCACTGATAAACTGGATTTGACACCAGAATTCAAACAAGCTGTCAACAAACATGTACAAGCTTGGACTAACTTTGCTAAAAGCGGGTAAGTAATTAAAAGTCATGCATATAACCCTGGACGTACTTGGCTGCTTCCGAGTAAGTCAATATTTGTACAATTATTCCGTAGTGTAAAAGCAGAAAAGAATTTCTATTCTTCATTTCTAAGGACATACAAAAGTCTAGGCTACTTTCAGTGATTGTAACCTGATTGAGATAGGTAAACAAATCTAAATCTTTATGTTATAACAAAACATTTAATTTATTGTAAATTAGTATTGTTTTAATAACCTAATACTCTGTAACCGTCTTAAACAAACATCATTTCACAAGGTATAAGAGTATTGCCTTATTTTGTTTTGCCTCAAAAAGAAGCTTTGAAATGTATTAAAATACACAATTTGCGCACCAGTCACATCATGTCATTTTAAAATGGGTAACCATATACCTTATCTTAACAAGGAAAAACATATTACATTATTAGGTTCCAATTAGACAAAAATATTATTTGGCTAGAGTGAAGTGGAAGTAGTGTGTATTAGTATATTTCATTACTAGGACCGAAAGTGGCATTTTCCGGAGCGCGCTCAAGTTTTTGTGTGAGGCGAAGCCGAACACAGGAAAATCCAATTTCACATGCGAGGCGAAGCCGAGTATGTGAGAGCTATTTTCACGTACGAGGCGAAGCCGAGGACGGGAATAATGGAGCAAGAGCCGGAAAATAACTTTCGGTACGAGTTATGAACGATACTTTTCATCACGACGCAAAAATACACAAACACAGAATAACAGACCTCAGTAATATTACAACTAGTTTATTTCTAAATTATTTATTTTAAACATCAAAATAAAATCTTCTGAAAGGAAACCTTTGTATATTTCTAACACTAGCGCGCGTAGTGAATAAATGGAGAACTAATTGAGAGCGACGAAAGTAAATTTAGAGCGAGGGAAAATCAGCTGATCGATTTTTCCTCGCCCTAAATTAGAGCTTGGGAAACGGCTACTTTCATTGATGTTAGCTGTTATCGAAAATAGTTACTTTCGTTACGGAGTGATGAAAATATATTTTTTGTGTTTATGACTCTTATGTGATTTGCATTTCAGAGATCCGAATGTGGCTGAGACAGGAGTGAGGTGGACCCCAGACTCTCAGTCCAGTCCCTGCTACATGGACATCGGGACTGACTGGACTGTCAAAGAAGGAGTGCCTTTTGCTGACAGAATCAACTTTTGGCTGCAGCTTTCAGACAGATATTTGACTTATTTGTAGATGAATTTTGTTATAATGTCATTGATGTATAAACTTCAAATAATAAAGAAAACCGTCAAACTTATTTTTTTTTATTCTGATAATTTTTGCCCTCCTGAAAAAAGGTGGTTTTTGAGGATGTCTGTGTGTGTGGATGTATACAGAGCTACAGACTACACCTGTGGTCCGATTTTTATGACATTTTGCATTTGGGTACGGCACTCAGTGCTCGATTAGTAAAAAACGAGGTACTGGAACTGTAACTTTTTAAAAGTGATTAGTAGCCTACTTATTTATGCACATATTAAAGCAAATATTTTTATTTTTCCAAAAGATTGATACTGGAACACCGTAAATCAAGCCCTGTTACTAATCATAATAAGTGCTGGCCTAACAATGAAAAGGTCACTGGTTCGATCCTGAGAAAAGTCAGCTTTTTGATGGTTCGAAACTGGACCCAGCTGTTCCTGATCCTTATGGGCTTTAAATAAATAACCCTGACTGATGAAACAGCTGCTCTTAGTCAGAAACAAAGCTACACAGATCATCTGAAACCATCTACACTCATCCTTCCCTCTTATTTTGGTTCAAATACACAGGTGACGTCACCATCTCAATTGGTAATGATAATAAGGATCTACAGGCTTTTTCAATTTATTTGAATTTTCTCTTTTTATAGGTTTTTTTTAATCCCATAAAAACGGGAAATCTTCACAAAAAACAGCTCAAGTGATTTTGGTTTAAGTTTATAGTCCTTTTAAGTTAACACTAAACAAAATAGTACTACCACCATTTGTGTTTACACATTTTTGTTTAAAAGTTATTGCAACTTGTGTGATTTTCCCCATAAAATATCATAGTTTCTCTCAAAGTTTACCCATGATAAGGGTTGTTGACGAGCTAATAGGAGAAAGTATGTGTCAGATTGCCGATACTGTTTATTCATGCTAATACTATTTCTTAGTGGATGTAAAAGCAAACTATTCTGCAATGCAAAACAGTGGAACTATGAAACACTCAATTGATAGGTAGAACCCAATAAAACAGATTTTTAAACTGAAATACATCATTTGAAAAAATAATTTACTAACACATTACCTTTATTTATCCTAGTTTTATTCAATTACCTCTATCGATCTGCAACTGCCAAACCACATTATTGCAAACACATATTAGACGCTTCGCTACTTCCTTATCATGCTATACCTTTTTCTCATTGTTTGCATTTGTAAGTTATGATGACAGTTTCCTTAGAAAGATAAGTTAAAGTTTTACAATGTTTTAGTTTTAAACATAAAATTTTATCACAGTTCAATTAACACTCAATTTTGAAATCAGTATTTAGTTACTACTAACATGTACACATGTAGTCAGTTGAGATGGAAGACTTTGTAGTGATAGAAACTAAGCTAGGTAGTCTTAGAGGTAAGGTGTGCAAGACTGGTTTATCCAACAAGAAATACTACTCATTCTTGGGCATTCCTTATGGACAACCACCCGTTGGTGCACTCAGATTCAAGGTAAGCTAGCAGCACCTATTAATCTTTTACTTACTTAAAAAAATAGTAACAGGTAAAATCAGCCTACCCAATCTTCCCTGTTAAATTAAACATTTAGTTTATTTAACTAATACCAACAAACATGGTTCAAGATTTGTGTTTTGATTTAGCTGCTTTTCAAATTGGTACCGGTAACCAATTTCACCAGCTATGGTTATTCAATTTGTTTCAATTATCTTGAGTTAGTCTAATTTTTAATCAGAATCAGTTGTCTGACTTTCAAAATTCTATCACAAAATGGGCTCTATTGCATTAAGATAAGAGATAACAAGGTGAAACCTGTTGAAATTGACAGTTACTTTTAAGTTTTCACGTTAATTCTACTAACTATAGTTATTTGTGCAACTAGTGAGCAAAGTGAGCAATTGACTCACTCGAGAAATACTTACTCGGAATGGTTTCTCGAGTGAGGCAATTGCACTTTGCACTCGAGTTGCACATTATATTTTTCCTACAGTTACCATAAAACAAATAAATTGGTAAAGAAACGTAACATATTTTTACACAGAAGTGAACTTTTAATATGACATGTTACAACAGTTCAACAGCTGACCAGCTGATTTACAGCCAGTGCTGCCAACGTATTTCGCTCGCATACGACCTTGTCTGCATTTTACGCGCTCACTATTTCGTGCCTTCACGTTGCAAATCTGGAGTGAGTGAAACAAAGTAATTAGAGTGAGACAATGTTAACATTGTCTCACTAATGAGGGAATTGGCCACTTTGCTTTCTCAAATCAGTGAGAGAACATGTACATTGTTAGGTAACTGTAGGAAAAAATAATAGATTCACATTGTAAAAACAGCTTCTCCTTGTACTTGTACAAACTTCTCCATCAAAATAAACTTAAAAAAAAGGTAAAATCAATCTAGAGTGGCTTTATTGACTCACTTAATGTGCCAAAACTGTGAACGAACACTATTCATTTCGGCAACACATGATCGCTTCTGCACTCGTATGATTTGTTTACTGTATTACACAATCAAATACTCTTTGAAATATGTTTCACTATAAATATAAGTTAACCTGACAAGGTATAGGTTTGATATTGACATTTTCCACTAATACAAACTTTTATATCATATAAAATTAATATAATTATAATAAATATAATTTTATTTAGTTGCTTCAACTAATCTGTTGTGTGAAACTAACATTTGACACCGTTCAGGCTCCCAGGCCATTTGGAGGCTGGGAAGGCGTGAGGAACGCATTGCAAGATGGAGACTATTCCAAACAAAGCACTCTTTTTACTATAGTGTTTGAGGGCAAATCCCCTGAAAAAGCTGCAGCAGGCGATGAGGATTGTCTTAACTTAGGAGTTTTCATTAATGAGGTATGTTTTAGTCATTAATAGAAATTAATACTATAGATTTTTTCTGCTGGTCTAACTTAATTTATAAGTTTGCTTCAGAAATTTACCATATATCCAATTTGAAAGGTTGTTCGGATGTATTATAGTATAGACTTATCAATCAACTATTCAATGTAAATACTGTAACCTATATTATCTCTGTAAAGGACTGATAGCCTACCTATGTTTGTAAATAAAAAATGTCAAGAATTATTGTTTAAAATAACTTTTTTAAATTATATAAGTTTTATTAATATTTCAACATATTTTTAGCTCATGTTATGACAGTATAATTTTGTTCATATGGGATCTTGTTTTCAAGTTAGACAATTAAGTAGATTTGCCGCCATATTCCACAGTAAGCAGCTGATTTTTTTCTCTTTGTAGAAAGGGATCAATCAGCTGGGGTTTGGTCAGTTTACCAAGGACTTTAAAAGTGTACTTTTCAAAGAGGTAGAATATGAGTGTCTTAAGTAGATTCTCAACAAAGCTACTGCTACACAGTACGAATTGTGTAAAATATTAAGCAGTATATTATGACTGTATATGTATGGGTTGTGTTTTACACCGTTTGTATATTTATTATTTGTGGTAATGAGGCAAATACTATTGTACTCAATTCACCCGATAAAGTGTTAAAAATACTTTGAAATCCTGCACAAGGCCGTAAACCGCTTGAACGGCATGCTTGAACCGGAAAAACCTACTTGGTATCATAGCATAATGCACTATAACCCCTTTTAGGAAACAACATTTTTCTTTTAGCTTCCAGGAAACATGAAGTCAAAGAGACCAGTGATGGTCAGTATTCATGGAGGAGGTTTTGCACTTGGTTCTGGAAACTCAAACATTTTGGGCATGGATTTCCTTATGGAGGAGGACGTTGTAGTGGTGTCATTCAACTACCGCTGTGGCGCTTTGGGTAAATTGAATACAATTCCATCCTGCCATTGCAATATATACTTAAAAACATTTATTTGAATTTAATAATGTTTCCTCTCATATAAAATCAGTTAAGTTCGCAATAAGAACTTATATAATAGTGATGGACTATGAGGAATTTGAAATAATAAATAATAAATTCTCTTTTCTATCAGGATTTCTTTCCCTGGGAACCGAAGAGGTTCCAGGCAACGCAGGACTCAAGGACCAAACATTGGCTCTCAGATGGGTCCAAGACAACATTGATAGTTTCGGAGGAGACCCAAACAATGTCACCATCTTTGGTATCAGTGCAGGAGGTGCTTCAGTGCATTACCATCTGCTGTCTCCTCTGTCTAAAGGTAACTGACTGCTCTTGGTATTATTTTGTTTGATTCTTAAATTTTCCCAAAACTGTTTTTCTTTAAACTAGACCCAGCTGTTCTTGATTACTGCGCTTTTAACAGGTTCAGTACCGGTCATCACACTCCTCTGTAAGTAGAATCTCCAGAAACATGGGAGTGAGTGTGTTAACAGGTTCAGTACCGGACATCACACTCCTCTGTAAGTAGAGTCTCCAGAAACACGGTGGTGATTGTGTTAACAGGTTCAGTACCAGCCATCACACTCCTCTGTATGTAGAGTCTCTAGACACACGGGAGTGAGTGTGTTAACAGGTTCAGTACCAGCCATCACACTCCTCTGGATGTAGAGTCTCTAAACACACGAGAGTGAGTGTGTTAACAGGTTCAGCACCAGCCATCAGACTCCTCTGTATGTAGAGTCTCTAGACACACGGGAGTGAGTGTGTTACAGGTTCAGTACCGGCCATCACACTCCTCTGTATGTAGAGTCTCTAGACACACGGGAGTGAGTGTGTTAACAGGTTCAGTACCAGCCATCAGACTCCTCTGGATGTAGAGTCTCTAGACACACGGGAGTGAGTGTGTTAACAGGTTCAGTACCAGCCATCAGACTCCTCTGTATGTAGAGTCTCTAGACACACGGGAGTGAGTGTGTTAACAGGTTCAGTACCAGCCATCAGACTCCTCTGTATGTAGAGTCTCCAGACACGCATACAGAGTGAGTGTGTTAATACATTGTCTTATGTAACCAGCAGATCTTTGACTTCATCTAAAATTTAGCACCCTATTCTGGTGTATGGGCTATAAGCTGATTGAAACTAATGCTGACACACATTTCCACACTTGGTCTCCATGATATCGCTTATCAAAACAAAATTCTGCCTTTTCACTATAATTGTGTAAAACTGATTCATTTTTCAGGCCTCTTTCATAAGGCGATCATGCAAAGTGGTTTTGCTCAGAACCTATGGGCTTTCCAACCATCACCAAAAACAGTAGCTCTGAAGTTAGCAAAGATGTTAGGATGCACGTCAGAAGATCCGCAAGAAGTTTTAAGATTCCTCCAGTCAGTTCCTTCTGATGACATAATCATTGCTCAGAGCACAATTTGTGCTGAAAAGGTATGTTCCTCCTGTGCTTTGTATATGGTAATTGACACTTAAAAACAACGTTTACAGTTTGAAAAGTAAGGAGATTTAACATAGCCACCTCTAATACAAGGCTGCGGCGAGACAAGGGTGTCAATTGTCCACTTCAGGGGGCAAATAGGAGAGGACTGGAAGAAGTTTTAGATAGGAATGGTCTGGAAGGAAGGTCAAAGGAAGGTTTAGATAGGATAGTAGATGAGAAAATAAAACTTGATATGGGACAAGGAAACAATTGAGACGTGTAGGAAAGTAATTAGGGAAATATGAAGAAGTAGAGATACATACAGGCTAATAAATTTGAAAAGAAACAAAAAAAGGAATGAGAACATCCTTGTGAAGGGGAAGGGGAGAGGAAAGTTTAGAGGGAATCGCTCAGAGCGGTAGGGGGAGGGGAGTCATGCTGTTATGATTTTGGGACACGGAATGTGACTAGAAGAGGATTGAAAGTGACAAAAGCCTAAAAACGGAAAGTGGCCTGGGAGCACAATTTTTATTTCAGCTGCGGTTTTCAATACAGACAAAATGAGAGTTAAAAAATGAAAATTATAAAATTAATTTTTTAATTAAAAAACTAAACTGTCATAACCTGACCTAACTAATTAAACTTGCTGATGATAAAAAAATCAAATGAAGGTTTACTAAGAGAAAAAATAGTTCTATTCATAAAATAAAATTGTAAATGCCTCAAATTCTAACAAAAGATGTACCATTAACACGTTTGCTGCGGGTCACTCACCGGTGAGTGCTCTCTAGTTCCTTTGTTAAAAAGTAATCACATTCCAAGCAAAATCTTTGACAAAAAGTTCAAGTTACCAGTGGGATTCAATCTGGTTACCTCTTGGACATCAGCTGATTACTCTATCCACTACACCACAAACACCAATGGAATTACTTTGTATCGTTGCGGTAATGGTGTTCCCTCAAGAGAAGAGAGTGACGACACACCATGACAGCCAATAGAATGCTCTCATTTCATCCGTATAAAAAAACCGCAGCTGAAATAAAAAAAATTGTGCGGCCTGCAAATAACTCCAGACTTATGCCAGGAGGTGTGGGTGGGAATGAGCTTCAGCCCCAGCATGAGTTGGAAAGTAAAAAACACACATTCTGTTGTTATTATTGAGCAAATGCTACCAGATTTAACAACGGTAACTATGTAATCTGAAATAAGCGGCTAAGTGGCCTGCTGTGTCATTTAAAATACTGAACAAAACAATTGACTTCCAGACAAAATTAGTCTTGCTTTTAAATGTTAAATCAAGATCTCTTATCCAAGTTAGTGTTGCCTCATGAGACGTTGTGGCTGCGATCTGACAAAGGGCAACTGTTCCCTTTACGAAACATTTCGGCTCCACAGTTAGATGACTGATCTAGAACATACGAGTGTGGGAGGACACCTGTTGATGATGAATATCTAGGAGATCCACTCCCCCACATCGGTATAAAAATTGGTTTAACAAATAAAAAACCACTCTCAAAGAGAAAGCTCAGTAAATCAGAGAATATAAGGACTTGTTTTGACGTCCCAGGACGTTTCTTAGGTAGTATTCGACAATAGTTGAAAATCTATCTCTATCAGTTGAATAGTGGTGAATGCTGGTAGTTTCCAATGGTTAACTTTTTAAGAATATCTATATATTTAGTAAAATGTATTAATAATAGTTTTTAATATGACAAACCCAGCCAGTCTAGATTAACAAAAACCAAAGTTTTGTTGGATTGTATATATGAATCTTTTTCAGGAAAACATTAAGAGCGGCTGCAGTGTTTTCTCCCCCTGTGTGGAAATTAAAGGAAAAAATAAATTTTTATCAGACACTCCCAATAAAATAATGAGAAGTGGTGAATACAACAAGGTACCCACAATGTTAGGGGTGTGTCAGAATGAAGGATCAACATTTCAATCCATCCCATTGTGTAAGTTGTATTTACTCTTTTCATAAACCTGTAATACACTATGAATACACTTCCTAATTGAAGCTTAGTCATATCTGAATTTGACTATCTTTTTATTGTTATGATATACATGACAAAAATGTCTTTTGATAATAATAGAATATAAAAATTTAACAGTTTTATGTTCAAAACTTTTAAAGGCGTTGTTTTATCCTTCATATGTATAAAAAATAATTGTTTTACTTCAAGCCATAATTGGAGTGATGTATTTAAAAAATGTTAATAATGTTTGTATTTTCAAGTGACTGGGCTAAAAGTAGAAGAAATTCTTTCTTTTATTAATTCAAGTCATGAAATTCTGGTTCCACATTTCCTGAATCTTCAGCCAGGAAGCTGCAAACAGAAGAATGCTATCAAAGACATAACTGAATTTTACTTCAAGAGAGAACCACTCACTCTAAATAACTTCTCTAAATATGTAAAAGTAAGTTTTATAAACTGTTGAAAAAATATTTTAATTAAACTGTTTTTGTACAAGCGAAGAAACTTCAAGCTTATAGTTTTTGTTTTAACAAATTATGTTTACTAGACGCAACAGTTTTGAGTCCTATTCCCCTTTTTTTATATTTGTATATATTTTTAATTTGTTTATACAACAATTTTTTATTGTTTTAGTACCACAGTGATCTCCAGTTTAATCTTGGCTTTTCGGAAACTAGAAAATATTTGGTGGCAAACTCCTCCCTCCCAACGTATTCATATTTCTTCACCAACCATTCTGGATGCTCTTCGAAGCGTATACAACAGACTATTCAACTAAGTTCTGGATGCGTGTTCGAATCAGGTGAGGGAATAATCTTCTATAATACAACTTTCTTAATAGGAAACTATGAAATAGAGTTTCTAGATGCAAATTACCTTAAACACAGAAGGGCAAACAACGTTATTAATGTTTTGTGAGGTTGGATTATTTTGTGTTGCAATGGTTCCACAGAATCATAATCAATAAAATCTTCCCTATTTGCTTATTTTACAAACAATTCTTTTCTTCAATGTTCAGAAACATGCCATGGTGATGATACGATTTACATCTACAAATCTCCCCTCACTATGCCTGAATTGACTTCAGAATACAGACAGGCTGTGTCAAAACATGTCAAGGTCTGGACCACGTTTGCCATGACAGGGTAAGTAACATTCCATTAACATTAGTGTTAGTTTATAGTATTAAAGTTTGGTAGTAATGTTATGAATTGGTTATTGGACGTTTTAGAGTATAAAGCGACTAATTTGTCAAGAATCAAAGGTAAGAAATATTCTAGTCACAACAATTTACAAGTTCTGCACTGTAATGGAGTGAAATAAAATTGAATTGACTGGTGGTACGTGAAAATTCTTTTATAATTTATTTTCATAGTCCAGTTTGGAAATGAGGATTTTGGACAAGCAGGACCACGTTTTCATAGTTTCCCCCTCAAGAATATAAGATAAGAATGTGCAGTAAACTTAATATCAAATATCAAAGGAAACCCCGCCTTTAATATAATGAAAGCAATACCTTAAGTATCAGGATTTGAAAATAATACTATTAAGGCCTAATACCACAGCCTCTTCTAATACCCGACCTACGTTGGTATGTGATTATGTCGGGCCAGGCCAGCCTGTTGCCATAGTAATAACATTAATAACAAATGTTTAACATAAAAATTAAATAGGGGCTCTAATGAAATTAGTACAACAGTTGTTTCGGTAGACCGGGTTTACAGTGTTGCCACTTTTGTCTCGCCACAGCCTTGTACCATATAGACTAACCAACACAAGTAGACTTCTCATCCCATTGTAAATTTTGAAGCACGTTTTTCATGTCTAGTTTATGTATAGTGACACTGGGTGCTAGTGTCGACAAAATTATTATTTTAAGTTTTACTGGGATGGGTGGCGTCGTCCTGTAATCCAGCTACTAGGAGGTCACAAATTGTGGATATTTATAGGCATGCACTGTGGATGCGATACTCTCTGGTGTGGATTAACTTCCGCACGAGTGAGTACTACGACTATCCACGGTACTATCCTAATAATTAGACCAATTCGTATATACCAAGGCAAAAATGTGGTTCGGATTTCAGGTCCCTTAGTTGCCATTAGCTGTATGGGCTATTAATTAACAGCTGTGTCTAGGGAATGTCGGCCTTAGTCTCTAACAAGACTACAAGATCGCGCCACTCATCCTACACTCATCTTCATTCATACTTGGCTTAAAATACCTATTTTGTATGGTTGCCATTTAATAAGAAAGTATTTAAAGTATTAAGTTAATTTCATGATTTGAGTTTTACTGTTTGGTTATATAACTAGGGAACAAGTTATTGTTTATGATTAGATAGTTTTATTTGGTTAGACGAGGTTTTAAATTACCGAAATAACAAGAAACAAATTGTAAACAAAACACAACCTCTGCAAAGCACCTTACAGAACTAACAATAAAATTGGCTTCAGCTGTTCCATAAGGATGAGAAATCTACTAAGGGAGTATGTTTCATCTATGCTTGTAGATATTAGAGGAGGATATGGCAATGTGTAATCAATGTTTCAATATAGTTTGTTTTAGGCGGGTGTAATTAGTTGAGGTTTTAGCTGTGGAAAACCAACTCAACTAGAAAATTAAAGTTGCCAAAGAGGTTCAGTGCCAATTGTTAAAATAAAAATGTTAGCTTTTATGTGCCTTTTTCGATTGTGTGTTTTCCTCATATCAGTTTTAACATTATTTTTTAGGAACCCTAACAGTGAGGCGTTAGGAGTTAAATGGAAGCCAGACACTGAGTGCAGCCCCTGCTGCATGGACATTGGTACAGAGTGGCGGATGAGAGAAGGTGTGCCTTTCACCGAGAGAACCAACTTTTGGCATCAGCTCACCAAAAATAATTGTAAATTATAAGATAGGTGAATAAATCTTGAGATATTACTTTTTAGGTACCTTCATTACCAAATGCCAATAGAATAATACACTATCTTTTTAATCCAGTATTTTACCAGTAGTTATGATTGCAAAATTATATATTCTCTTAATTTTGAAGCCTCATATAGCTTTAGAAATTTTAGAGTTGCATTTATTTTAAGTAAATGAATGTTGAGGTTTTGAAGGGTAATACATACCAAGTTTTAAACATTAACTAAATACTTTATTAAACGAGGTATATATTCAGCGCAAGAATTTCAAATGTACAATTACATAATATTCAAAACTTGTATAGCAATTTCATTTTAATAGTAAAATAAATACACAAAACTATTGTTACCTGAATACTTAAATGTTCAGCCTATAAATCTACAATGCAGTGTGTCAAATTTAACATACAATGGTTTGAAAGCATTTCACAAAAATGTTAATACAATATAAACACTTATGACTAAGATCACAATTTAAGTCCCTAAATAATACTTATCACAACAAATTCAATAGCTTATACAAACAGATTCACAACTAAATGTACAATATGTTCAAAAATTTACAAGTTAACCTACATAGGAAAAACATTAACCATCCGCTGTCGAACAGCTTGTTAACTTAACCTAACTCCTGGCAACATTAGCGATGTTGAGCCGCGGTGTGCAGAATGACGGCTTTTCTTCTTTACTAAAGCCATTGATATGGATTCCATTCAAGCCGTTCACTACGGTTTCAACTTTTTCCTCTGAAATCTTCTTCAATGGGTGTTGCTCCATTATTTTGTTCCCTGAGTTGGTATTTTCTTTTTGCTGTTCCATCACAATGTCAGTGGCCGCAATGATTTCATCCACACAGTTCTTCACATCATCTACTGTCGTGGAGGGACTGCAAACTACGAAGCGGATGAAGATAGAATCCATCAACTTGCCAGGAATCATGTAGACCTTCTTTCTTCTGTTGAGCTCCTCCACGATGGACGTACTCAGGCTGTTCTCTCCCTGGAATCAAAAATATGCATCGTAAACTTATTCTTTAAAATGTTATTTAAGGATTTTGATATTTAACAGCACAATTTAAAAGATAAAAGATTAGTTTAGTTTTTTGTTTATCAACATTTGCCAGTGGTTAACTAGTAACTTCAAACACTAATAGATCTTCCAGTAGATATATGTATTCAATAGCAAAATGAACAAAAATACTCATGAGAGTGAGTGTAGAGGTTGACTTGAAAAAGCTTTCCAATTGCGCTAAGATCAACAAACAGATCCAATTGTGTATGGATATTCATTACCAAGCCTTTTGAAATATTTAGGAAGGATGGGTTGATCAATAAAATATTCATTCTTACATAAAAGAGCAACCTAATCATAATAAGGTGGGTTACAATTTGACATTTTTATAGAGTTTTCAAAACTAATAAGAGTTAGAGTTTATCATCTGATTATTGTAAAATATATTATTAAAAAATGTGGTCCTCACCTTAGCTCTGAAGCAGACCAGGCCCATGCATGTAGGAGATGCGAGTTCAAAACGAGAGTCAGCAAGAATCATTTTCTCAAACTCGCCAGCAAGAGCGACATGGTTACGGATATGTTGCTGAAGCCCCTTTAGACCATAAGTTCGCAGAGTGAACCAAATCTTGAGGGAACGGAAACGGCGGCCCAGAGGGATCTGCCAGTTCTACAAAACCAAAAGTTACAACTTTAGTCAACATTTAATTCAAGCCATACTGTATTATAACAGTAGTGGAAGAATGAAAATTCAATGTCTAGAACTCTAAAGGAAAGTCTTAAAAATACTTGAACTTTTAGTAAAAACTGAAATTGATCACTCTCATCGTCATCAGTGAGAAAAACTAATATATCATAAAGTCCTACCATCAATGTTTACGGTAGTAAATTTTAAATAGGTAGGTAGGCCTACCTAGTATTTACATTCAAACAAATGACTAAGTTCCACTTAGTTACTTGATGATTTAGAGGTTCCGTTTTCAAAATCCATTGTACCTAGTAAAACAATTAGTAATCTATTTTAATCCTTTATCTATGATATGGCTGGCAAACTATGGTTTAGCGTATGTGTTTCTATTTTTTGTAATAAATTCCTAGTATTAGAAAAACAGTTCATAGTATTATTTCTGACAGTGCACTTACTCTGAGATCTGGGGCTTCAGTGTTGGGGCGGTGAGCCAAGTAGATCCTCTCAACAGTAAAGGCCTCCACAATGTCTCGGCAACTCTTGAACCTGGAAATTACAATTCTTTAGTCATAGGACCCAACTAAACCATTGTAGAAATTAAATGTACAAAGTTTTCATAGCCAATATCCAATGTGAGGAGGAAAGATTTTCACATTGGAAACACTACAAAGATATATTGAATATATCTTTTTTTACTAATGATAAAAAAAATGTACACTCTCTACACATTTTCTTCATTAACTCATTACAATAATAAAGGTAGCATCATAAGGTTTTGTTGTATGTAGATTGTGAAGTTAGGTTTTATATAAATCTGTAATCAGACACTTACCACATAGCAGAGCAGTCAAAGTTGACAAGCAGCCACTTGTGAAGGTTGGTCACCATGGAGTCTGCGTGGTGTAGGGAAGGCATGTAGTGTCGCAGCTCGGGGCAGATGAGAGCTACGCCTGCGTAGGCTGCATCCAGGTGGAGCCACACGTTGTGCGCATGACACACTGGGCCGATTTCATCAAGGTTGTCAAACGCACAAGTTGCTGTTGTGCCGTAGTTGGCCACCAGCTGAAATTTAAGTTCTTATTAGTGATTTATTTTGTAGAAGATTTGAATTATTTGCTATCAACTACAGATCTAAGTAGGCCTACGCTAGGTCTACTAGTGAAAGAATTTATAAATTAGGCCTATCAAATGTTTTACCAAAAAAATATTAATTAAATATAAATTATGAAAATAAAACGCCAACAAAGCTGGTTAAAAAATTAGCTAATATTAAATTTTGATTCCAACGGTCAGAGAAATTAGTTTGAAATTAACATTTATTTTTAATTTTGTTTATTATCGAGACATTACAAAAGAATATAATGTTCTGATATGTTAAACAACAATAAAGAGGCCTTATTAAGTTACAGTAGACCCCTCTTAACCTACCCTAATGGGGTGTAGATTGCTGGATGACTCAAAAGGTCTGTTAAAACAGGCAATCCCCAAAAACTAAAAAAATGAAGTGCTTTCATTTGGAATTATATAATCATTAGCCTATTCTAAAGTCGTGCGTGCATTATTTACAAAAAAACTAAGTTAAAGTTATCTGCCTTCTTTTCTTAAGTATTGACAATAGAAATGTCACGAATAAACCCAAAACACGGTAAAGTCAAATACTGTCAGTGCATTAAATTATAGTCATAAGCATGAGTTAATAATAATTCTTAATTTGATACCTTTAGTACTATTAATTTATGCTTTCCAAATCTATTGTAGGCCCTAAACAGTAGGCTACAGAACTTACTGTCAAAATTAAAAATAACTTACAAGCAACCATTTTGTTACGAAACAGGATGTTTATTAATGGTTAATTTACGAGGATGTCAACATTAACATCCTGTAGAGTTTAGCGTATTGTTCCCATTGCCGAGCGTGGAGCACAAGTGCCGAGATTCCTAGAAAGCGGCGATCAAACCGAACTGCTCTCAAAACAAGGCCCGGTTAAAACAAACTTTAATATTTAACAAACGAGGGCGGATAATCTGTCTAACGCTATAGGGCCTAGGTTGGTTAAGAGAGGGTCTACTGTATTATGAAATTGCTGCAATTCTAATAATATGGGCCTAGCGAGATTCGAACCCGGAACTTTCAGCACATCAGCCCAGCACGCTAACCACTACACCTAGCTTATTAACAATTTATAGGCATACAATTTGATGTCTTTAATTCATCTATTCTTTATCTGAATGACTGGCTGTGTCAGGTCTATCATACTTACATAGCAAGGTATTAGGCCTTTGCTAATATCTTCCTCAATGGCTCGACGAACAGTCTCGCCACGTAGGCTTCCGTTCTCATCAGCCGGCAGCAGTCTCATTGGCACTGATGCCAACATTCCCGCCTTCTCCACTGAGCTATTGGACTGGTCGCTTGAGTAACACACCAACTTAGCTTTGATATCCTGCTCGGACAGCTCTGGGTGTTCCTTCTGTAAACGGCGGACAGCTTTCTCCTTAGCAACCAGCAGTCCCATCAGAGTTGCCTCACTAGCAGAACCCTGCAACATAGGTACACACATTTTGTTATTTCTGTTTTTGTTAGGCTGGTATGTTTTCTTCTTAAGTTACAGTTATCACTTTGTTGCTATGAAATTCTAGCCTTGACTAAGTTGTACATTGTAAGTTCTACAGTGTCTGTTAAGGGTGAAAAATGTTGCCTGTTTTTAGGAAAATTCAGAGGCCCTAAAGAAGGTTTAAACCCCTACGCTTGATTAAGTTTAATCACCTTGCAAATTTTAGGCTCCCTCAATCTTTTAACATTCTCCCCTAAAGATTTCTCTTCATTTCATAGGTGAAATTTGGTTGTTACATTAAACAATAACCTAGATAGAGCTTTTACCTGTAAGCAGCCTCCTCCTTCAGAATCGGAGCTGTTAAGAAGGTCTGTGGGTAAATCCATTGCCTTGGCCAACCAGTCCATCATGACCATCTCTAGCTCCGTACAAGCTGGGCTTGTCATCTGTAAAGTAGTCAACATTAGGCCCAAGTTAAGTTATTTCAGACTTGCTATCAAATAACTTGTTTTGGAATGTTTGTAGATTTGGCTGCACTTTAGTTTACGTCCAACACTCATTCAAATGAATATATTGATCGATAAATTGATTATTTCATTCGATATATCAAGTTTGGTTAGTTAGGTTAACCTAACCCAACTAACCGAATGATATAATCGATGAATCGAATAGTCTATATAACTTATAATGATATTTTTTCATATTTAGATAAGGAATATATTTTTTACTGTTGTGAGTATACTTTACAA